CTCGCCGACGAATCGACTTGACTGAAAAGAAAAGGATTCTCAAGGCTTCAGCAGCAAAAAGGCCCGTCTGGCAAAGGAGTTCAACTTGCCGCAATCGACAATTTCTGCAATTCTCGCAAAAAACAATCAATTTTGGAGGCGATCAATGATGGTAGACAGCCAAAGAGGACAAGGTTAACGAAACAACCAAACACGAGGACCTTGAGAACGCTGTCATTTCTTGGCTGCAGCAGGTGCGAAGTGAAAACGAGCCGATCGATGAAAATTTGTGATGACGAAAGACTTCAAGAAGAACAAAAACATCCAATATCTCATAATGAAGCATTTCGGGAATATATAAGCGAAAATCTTAACGGTTATGCGAGCGGCAAACATTATTAAGGATTTCTTTTATAGCCAAGCTTCACTATCCAAAAAACAATCGCGTTTGACGGATTTCTCTGCTAAACTTTAGATGTTGGTTTATTACCCGTTTTTTAATTGTTGAATTTGTTAGTGAATTCATTTCTTAGCTTTTAGATAACGATCTGGTTAAAAGCCGTGTAATTTTTTGCTTCTACAAAATTATTTTCTCTATAGGGATATTTCTATATAACGAGATTTATTCTTGGACCCTTGAATATCGTTGTAGAGAAGTTCGACTGTATACCTTTAGGCTGATTGATTTTCTTTTTGATCTAATCCTGAAACCTTGTAGAACTACCGCAAGTTATGGACCAATCGGCCCGCTCGATCATCGAGAGTATCAAAGGCGAGATGAAGAATTTCGAGAAGCGAAAAGGTTGGCGATACTTGCGAGCTTGTAGCACAAGCCATTTTGAAATTCAGCGCAGAAAATTAATTTAATGGAAAATTTTGAAATTATCAAGCTTTAGCCAAGCCCTGTTAAAAACTGTTACAAAAATTTAAAAAGGAAAAAGCTGAGTTTCAAAATTCTCAGTATTACGGTTAAATTGACGTAGTCAATTTGAGGCTGGTTTAACCAATGAATTCCGAGTGGATATTTCGGTCTGATTTTTTGGGACAATATGTAATCGACCCTGGGGATTCGGCCTGTCAAATCAGAATTCAAAAATCTCATCTCTAACCCTTTTTGAGCAAATTTGAAAAAACTTAATTTGGCGACGAGAGCAAAGGCCACCAAGGGGTACTTCAAAAAATGAATTTTGGGTTTATTTTCTCAGAATATGTTGGGGGAAATATACTTAACTTTTAGCACTAGAAGCATTTTAAAAAATTTGTATTTTGCGGAAATTCCGATCCTTTGAACTTTTCCGAAGGCGGAAAAGTTCAAAGAGTCAGAAGTGACGGCCAAAACAATTCCGGGTAAACGGAAAAAAAATTTTTTGAACCGGATTAGCTCGGAATTTCTAGTGGCTAGAGGTGATCGTTGTGGTGTCATAGTGAATCATTTGTGCTCTAAAATTTTTCATATTTTTCCATAAAGACACCATCACTCGATAGGGAAATCATGAGATTATGGGTGCCACCATGGTCACCACCATGAGACCATCAATAGGGTAAAATTTGTACCATAAAGTGGAGACTTTCTACTGGCATCGTGGTGTCATATTAGAGCTAATATGTAAACTAAGATTATTAATTAGAAGTTTCTTTGAAGAACATAAACCCAACCAATATTTTAAAACCGAAAACGTGCACTTTAGATAAAATTTTATTGGAGCATTTTCAAAAAGCTTTTTATGGTCAAGCTTTAGGGGGTCAAGATCGCCGAGCGAGATGTCGTTTAACGATCCTGGATCGTTTTTATGATGAAGTGTCTGGTAGGTGTTTGACAATCAAACAATAACAATAAAAAATTATAAGACATAACTTGGAAGCAGTAAACGAAGCTGTTCCATAGCCAAAATTTATGGCCACTTCTAATATAGTTATGTTAGCAAGCTTCGAAACTCTTTAAAGTACTGTACAAAGGCTAATTTTAAAATTTAGACCCAAGCGAGCTCCTTTCTTTGCCAAATCTGACTACGGAATTTCTCGAGAGTCAACTCGGCGACCGGGAACAGGAAAATGATGAGAGATGGTTGAAATGGGTGGCAAGGTGAGGAGTTTGGATACGGAAATTTTACGTTTAAAACTTTAACTCGAATTCACTTCTGAACTTCAGATACGGTCTCATCGGGAACACGCAAATCTGCGGCGGTTGCAGCGAGAATTTGACGCTTGTCAGGTGGGTTTTGAGGAATTGCGTAAAAGGAGACAATTTGAGAAGGAAAATCTGAGTGAGGGCTTTGAAATCTTGAAATTTTGAAATTTGAAGATTTTGAGCAATTTTTCAGATAAAGCTTTGACTTTTTATGACAATTCGTTAGCACTAACTTGTTCCTTAGGCCTTTATACAAATTCCAACATACATAAAGGAGCAGTGTCTGTATGTCCGTCTGAAGTTGAAGCTAAAGGGAGAACTTTGAAACTTGAGATTTTGCATTTCAACTTTGAAACTATTCTCTCAGAGTAATAAAACATTAAAGATCTATGTCGGTGTTATAAGTTAACATTAAAATGTTACAATTGGATAAATTCTAAATTCTAACATTTTAAGGGACGCGCGGATCGACAATTTCACGTGGCGCTGTTCGGCATGTCGCTTGAGAGACAAAAGTCAAGGGAGTGCAACGGGGAACACCCGATCGCTAAGACACGATTCGTTCTTCGCGGTGAGAATTTGATTTCTTTCAAATCAAAGATACTGTAGAAAGATCCTCTAAACTTTTTGCCTAATTTGCACTGAAAAAGTATCTAGTTAATAAAATTAGAACAAGAATTTCCATTTTGAGAAAACTACCACTTTCGATTTTCCCCCAGTCCTTGCGTTATTTTAAACAAAGCTTTTTTTAGGATGCCAAGCAAAAATTTGCGAATATCCTTTTGTTGTTGGCGAGATGGTGCGAGAATCCAAGTACAGTTTAATAATTTGGATTGAGCTAGTTTGAAATTGAACTTCGAGAGCCTTATTTAGAGTATTCCGTTCTTAAAGGATATTCTAGATGCAAGAATCTGACAAATCCTTTCAACATAGTCTAGCTCTTAGCTCTCAAAGCAAATTCTGAAGCCAACACGAAAATTTGCAGGAAGCTGCCGGACCGAGCTCGGCAAAGCGTTCAACATCAATCATTTCACGGTGCTCGACTGGCACACAAGGTTCGGATTTCGAGATTTCAACCCAAGAAAACTTATCTTGGTGTCAATAGACAAAAGATAGAGCACAAAAAGTTTGGTATATAGCCAAATTTTCAGAGGAATTCATTCAGCCAATTTCTTCGTATAGGTTTTTATAGATTTTTACGAAAAATACGTTTTCACTCTCGAATTTGCGCTTGAAAGTCAACCCAAATTGACTTAAAAAGATGGAAGTTGAACAATAAACACTTTTTATTTAGAGCGAACCATAGGTGGATTGGTGAATTTGTTATTTTTCAACGGAATTACGGCGTACTTGCTCAGAACTAGCTCGCTTTTCGGATTCAGCCTATTTAATTACCCTAGAATTCATTCAAGCTAGCACAATTAGTAAATGAGAGGACAGTTCTTCGACTACAAGAGAAACCTTTAAACAGTTGACTCCTTAAATTTCTTAGATCTCTCAAATTAAAGCCAAATTGAGCAAATTTCTAGATTCGCCTTTGTTGCAAAGATGTCGTACTTCAGGACAAAAGCAACGAATTTTAATAGATCAGGGAAAGGTTGGGTTTCAGATTTTGCTAAAATATTGTGTTTCAAAGCTTTAGCTAGCAAAAATATGCAACCAATACTTTAGATATACGGCTTGTCGAGGTGAAAAACGAGGTGCAAGACGATGCCGGGACATTGAGCGAACAACTCGACGTGACTGAGCTGATCGGTGGTGGGAAAAGTGGGGTTTAAAATTAAAAATTAGATAAAATAGCAAAGTTTCAAATCTAAACAAGTCAAGATTCTAGAGATGCCTTTAATTTCAGATCTCGAACCGAAAAATGAGCCCCTAGCTCCACAAAAGCCGACAGTTGCTGTGAGGGTAAGGCTTTTTGAGAGTTATATTTTCCAAAGTGTTGAAGTCGAAATTTGTTTGCGGCTTTGTAATAAGATGTCCTTATCGTCGTAGTCTTAGAGGTTTCCTTTTGAAAATAGAAATTTGTGATTACAAATAAAATGCAATCACTTATCTCACCATCAGTTTTCTGTGCATTTTAGCTGTTTCATTTCTCAAAATCAAGAATTTCTAGCGTCCGATCACGAACAAAACAAAGTCCCGTCCAAAAAGCGATCTCCCAGAGGAGGTTTTAGATATCTATTTGTAAGTGAAAGGTTCAAATTTTCAAAAAAATATGAATAAAATTTTAGAGAAAACATCTTTCAGCTACGGGAAATCTACCAAGTAAAGGATGTTCTATTGGAAACTTTTGTTTACGACTACATGTTGAGGTGAGAATGAGAGAAGGATTGTCGGACATTTGCCCCGCCCCCTTTGCCATTGACAATCCAACTTTGAGCTCAAATTTCTTGGTGTTCGGCTGTCCAATTTAGATAGTTTTTGTACCAATCGACTTGGCGCATTCAATGATACCCAAGAATATTTAAATTGAACAGCCCACGACCAAGAAAGTTGAGCTCAAAGTTGGATTGGCAATGGCAAAAGGGGCGTATAAAATGTCCCACAATATTTCAAGAAACTTTTAGATTGACTAATCGTAACTTTAGAAAGCATTGTAATCACGAAAAGGTCATGAACAATTTCCTCTTCGAAATCACTCAATGCTACGAGGTCGAGAGGCGACTCATTGAGCAAAAACCCGTGCAACCGGTGAAAAGGAAGAGGAAAACCACTGAGGATTTGGAGACGGAGGTTTGGCTTCAAATTTGACGACTTATAGACACAAATCACATGTTAATGGTTCTTTTGAGGAGTCAGTTCTTACATTTTGTTTTCTCATAGTCAACAAAAGCCAACCTTTCTGAACAAGAATGGATATTTGTTCTGATTTACTGCCGACTTCAGCGAAATCCTCTTACTATAGATTTTGACTTATTTAAGTAAGAATTGTAAAAAAACATTGATAGTTTCAAATTTGACGGCTTATAGACACAAATGACATGTTAATGGATCTTTTGAGGAGTCAATTCGTTTTCTCGTAGTCAATAAAAGCCAGGCTTGCAAAAAAAACATTTTGATAATTTCAAGTGTGACAGCCTGCCGATAAAAATCTGAATTAATGGATCCCTATCTCGCTTCGTCTTTGACAAGAAATGAGCTTTTGCTAAACCCACCTACAACATCAACTTATCAACAGCTCAAAATTTCAGAAATACCTCAAGAATATGGATCTCCCGTTCGCGGAATTCGCCACCCCGGTTGCAACGAGTTCGGGCAAGAAAATCTCAAAGGAACAACGGGCAAGACTTTTGTTCAAAGACCCAATTGAGCCAGAAATCCAGCCAGAACAAGCCCCAATCCTCGATTTGACCCAATTTTTCACCGATGAAAAAGCCAATGTTTTAACCTTTTCAATGAAACGTGAACCTGGCACTAGTTAGAGTTAGTTTCACCTCGTTTCTGTTGAGAAAAATAACTCAAATTTATAAGCCATAAAAATGTATCCATTTATTGTGTTTTGTTCTCATTTTTGGCGTTGTATTTGATGATACGGAATCAAGAATGTCTTATTTTCGGTCATCTACCGGTTCTTTTCTTGGTTCTTGTTCTTGTTATGATAAAATATTCATTTTTGAACTTTTTAATGCTATATTATGAATGTTTTTGTTGTTTTTTTCAGTTAATGTTTTTTTAAAGCTTTAAAGCTTTTTAAAGCTTCAAATTTTGTGCAGTAGTTTTTTTTGTTTTTTTAATTCGTTGACAAAAATGTTTCATTTTCGATCGTTTCACAAGTTTTAATGATGTTAAAATATGATAGATGATAAAATATTACTCGGTTGACCTTTGTCACGTTTTATGTTTCAAAGTTGTTGGGCTAGTGAAGGCAAGAAAGTTTCAAAAAATGGTACCATCGCTGTGAATTTTCTCACTTTATTGGACTTAATTTGCAGTTAATCTTACAATTAAACAATCAAAAAGCTTACAATGATAAAAAATCGGCTTTTTTTTTGCTGTTTTTCAATCACTTTTTCCTAAGCGCTGGTTAATGCTAAAAATATATGTTATATCTCAAAGAATCACCCATTTTCTCTACTTTAATTTGATACCTAAGCGCATTGAAACAAATGTCTGGGCGCCGAGATATGAGCGGTTCTTTGAGTGTAAACTTAGACTACACGACGCTCCTATAGGGGGCTACTATTACAGCTTTTACGGTAATTGTGGGGCACCCTGTATATGTTCTCGGATCAGAATTTCTTTTCTAATTGTTTTGAGTCTTCAAAAACTATTGGTTACCTTAGAAAAATCCGATTTTTAAGCTTTTTTTGAAGCCTTTTTTTGAAGCTTTTTTTGAAGCTTTTTGAAGCTTCCGAATAAAACTAACGTCGGATTCGGAAAGAGGGCCCAAAAATCCATGCTCTTGCAGATTTTGAGCTCATTTGCTCCAGCCATTCACGAGAAACAGCCATGACTCAGCATTGAGTACAGCTGTTACTGTTAAGTACTGTTATCGAGTACTGTTAAGTACAGCTTAAAGCAAGCTAACGATCTTTTATCAGCGACCGTTTCTTAAGTTCACTTGTTCACTGTTCTGGCTACTATTACAGCTTTTACGGTAAGTGGGCACACAAAGCAGCTTTTAGATTGATTTTGGTCGAGTAACTACGAGTGATAGCTCTTCACACTGTTTAGACATCAAAAAAAGTTCATTCCTCTCGATTTTCAAAAACACTTACCTTGTACAAATTGTAGAACATATTCGCGTAGAAGCTGCAACAAAAGAGTGCGCCGAAAAGAAAGTAGAACGTCGAGCTTTGCAACATCTCCAATGGTTCTAACGAGGGCGGTGGTGGAGGCTGAAAGTTGGAAATTGGAGGCAATTTTATAAATCAATAAAACTGATGATTCTATGCGATTTTAAAGAACCAGTAGCTAATCGGTTTAAGCAAAAAAAAAAGCTGTACAATAATTTGTCGTCTTTCGAAATTTTATGTTTCAACTTGAGTGATTATGAAACAATCTTATTCGATTAACCACTGAACATCTTATGAAATTGTTACTGCATTGCACTATAATGCTTTTGATTTCTGTACGAAAAATCGTGGAATTGTTTTAACGACTAGAGGAACCTAACTAGAGGTTTGTTCTAAATTTCTGTTCTAAATTTTCGTATTTCAAAGTTTGCTCATTATCTTCACTCAGCAATGAAAGATACTACCATATTTTCTCTAATAGTAGTGCACCAAGAGCGTCGTCTAAACTCCTTGAGATCTCGAGAACCACTTATCAGAACCTATCGATGTGGGGTCGGAAAATGTAGCTGACGATGAGATCTAGTGGGGGATTTGAGTGTTGAGCTCCTACAAAAGCTTGGAAACCGTAATTTAGAGAGATAAGGAACCAAATGTAGAGAGATAAGGAACCAAATCTAGAGAGAAGGAACCAAATGTAGAGAGTTAAGGAACCAAATCTAGAGAGAAGGACCAAATGTAGAGAGATAAGGAACCAAATTTAGAGAGATAAGGAACCAAATTTAGAGAGGTAAGTAACCAAATTCAGAGAGAAGGTACCAAATTGAGTAAGGTAAGGAACCAAATTTAGAGGATAGGTAACCAAATTTAGAGAGACAAGGAACCAAATTGATGTGGGGTCGGAAAATGTAGCTGACGATGAGATCTAGTGGGGGATTAGAGTGTTGAGCTTCTGCACAAGCTTGGAAACCGTAAAATAGTCATCAACTCGGCTCGCCGGGGGTGCACTATTATTAGAGAAAATACGGTATCTAGTTGTAAATCCCCACCGTTTTTTCTGTATCCTATTTAGAATTTTTGAGAAAAAGTGTAGATAAAAATATTAGATAAGTATCAAATATGTTTAGATTATAATTTAAAGATTAGAAAATAAATGATAATACTCGAAAGACATAAAAAGCCAAATTGCTTTATAAAAAAAACACTTTGGCAACTTCAGCATGTTGCAGGAAAGGGATCAGATAATCAAAGTCGTATTTTCATCCTTTTTGATCCAATTTTGAATCAAAAGACAGAATTCCCAGTTTTTCTAACCTTTTGTTCATCATCTTCATCACTCGAAAGCACTCTTTCCTCAGAACTTCCACTTTGCGTTCGGTGTCGGGTCGAATCCTGGAAATAGAAATGGAAATTTATGAAATCTAGCACTTTCATCCCCATCAAAACCAATGATAAAGCTGGAAATGGAAATTTTGAAAGTATAGTGAGGTGTTTAAACGATACGACACCATGTGCTTCTCTTGGTTAAGCTATTTTCTAAAAGATTCGCTTTAGAGAAAGCTACCGTAGCTTTTAAAACTTGAACAACTGAGCCCTGACCATACCCTGATCACCGTACTCTAGCGTTCTTCTTATCGTATTCTAATTGTACTTTGACTGTTACTAGACTTGTAACGAAAAAAGCTGTCTTTTTGTCGATTTTTTTGTCGTTGGCAAAGGTTTTTCATGTTTTTCTCAGCACCAACCCTTGAATTTTGACTATTTTGACTATCATTCGATGCAGAAGACAATTACGCGTTGAATGATACCAAAATCAACTCCAAATGTAATATCCACGCAAAGTTGTTGGTTAAAAACCTAAACCCCGCCTATTATCGGTGGGACTTAACTTTTTACCTCATAACTTTACATGGATATTACATTTTGAGTTAATTTTCGTATCATTCGATGCGCAATTTTATTCTGCATCGAATGATAATCAAAATAGTCAAAATAGAAGGGTTGCTGCTGAGAAAAACACGAGTTTAGCTGTTGCCGTTACTTTAAACTAGAAAAATGAGGAAACCCATCAATGAAACTTTCGTTTATCGAGAGTCCAGGTCGATAAGTAACTTGAAACAACTCAAATTTCGTTGTTAACCCAAAGACAAGTTTACGGTAGCTTCTCCAGCTTTTAGAAAGGTTTAACCAAGAAACGCAATTAAATTTGAATGGATAGCACGATACGACAGTTTTGCATTCATGCGTTGGCTACCGTAATCAATGGTTGAGCGTCGGTGTCGCTTCGGGCGACAGCTGTGTACCGTATACTCGAGAATCTCCCCGAGCCACCTTTCGGGCCAAGAAGACCCCCGGGAAACCAGCGACTGTATGAACCGCTGAGGCCCGATGATTGCAACTAGAGAGGGGACGAAATGAGGATAAAACTATGAGAGAACTTCTAATTGATCTTTTAAAAGTATACATTTATTCAAGATGTGACAAAAACACAATTCCTACTAATACCTTTAAAGATATTGCAGAGAAAAACCCATTTAAAGGAAAAAGAATCAAACTTTCTAGCCGCTGGGGTCGAACCAGCGACCTTCCGACTAGGATTTACGACTGGAATACAAGACTCCTAACCACTCGGTCATGACGGCAGCTCAGCCATGACGGCAGCTCAGCCATGACGGCAGCTCAGCCATGACGGCAGCTCAGCCATGACGGCAGCTCAGCCATGACGGCAGCTCGGCCATGACGGCAGCTCGGCCATGACGGCAGCTCGGCCATGACGGCAGCTCGGCCATGACGGCAGCTCGGCCATGACGGCAGATTCAAATTTTAAAGAAAATGACTGGGGTTTCTGTTTGAAAAAAAGGGGTTTACGTTGAAAATTGTCATAAAAGAGCCTTTAAATATGTTTTGTACTTTGATTAACAATTAACTTGAAACTCGTTTCTCAAAACTTGAAGAAACTCAATTTTTCTTAAGAAACCAATTTTCTTAAGAAAAATTACCTATGAAAGCTATTCTTGCACTTTCCCGGCCTTTTCCCCACCTAGATAACTTTTAAAATCAATTTGAAATTGGTTAGGAAAGGTGTTTAACTTGAAAGTACCTAGGAAACAATGACTGCAGTGTGAGTTGCATCACTCAATAGCCGCAAAAATTTTTGAAACATACTTTTCCCGATGCTCAATTACGTTTAGAATTGACAAAATTGAGTAAAATTTTGCTTAATTTACCTTAAAAATGTATAGATTTAGCTCAAATAAAAATCAAATAAACAACAGACCACTTCTGGTGGATCACAAATGACAACGAGGCCAATTAATTGCATCACCGTGTAGACACTCGCCAAAATGACGAAGACATTCGGAACCCTTTTCAAAAGATCTTCTTGAGGGAAATATCTAGAAAAATAAAAATAAAATAAAATATATTTTTTTAAAGTTTCGGTTCTTAGAAATAGATTGACTAGTTAGACAATTCTTGGAATTAGCGGTGACGAAATAGATTTGACATTGAGTATCTTGAAATTTGGATGTGAATTTAGAGATGAGCTTCTTGTTTGGCAGGTAAATGCTAAGCTAAGCAGTTTCTTTGAAAAAGCTACCCTTCTTTTGTTGCTGGATAGTTCCATGGGTTGACCAATGCCGTTTGAATCGGAGCGAAGATCGACGACGAGACGCCGAAGCCAGCCGCCACGATTCCCGAAACCAAACCGACTCGGTCGGGTGCCCACTGAAAGAGAAAAATAAATTGAACATATCCATTGATACGGTGTGTTGCAAGCTTTATAGAAATCATAAATTTGAGATAAAGAAAGATGAGGTAGCATTAAAATTGAAGGAAAAGATTTGGTAGGATGAATTTTGAAATGTTTTTTTTTTAAAAATCATTGAATAAGTAATTTAGAAGATATTAAATTTAGAAGATATTAAACTTTTGACATTAAAAAATAGTTAGATAGCTAAGAAGCTAAGAAGCTAAGAATACAGAAAGCTAAGAATTCAATTGGTGATTTGAGCTGAAAGATTAAAGAAAGAGAACTTGATTAAAGAAAAGAACTTGCAAAAGTTGAAACTTTGAAAAATCAAAGGGTAACTTTATTAAAACAAAATTGAGGATAACTTTATTAAAACAATAATTCTAGATTTTGAGCTAGATCTAGACCTTGAGCTAGATCTAGACCTTGAGCTAGATCTAGACCTTGAGCTAGATCTAGACCTTGAGCTAGATCTAGATCTTGAGCTAGATCTAGATCTTGAGCTAGATCTAGATCTTGAGCTAGATCTAGATCTTGAGCTAGATCTAGAGCTTGAGCTAGATCTAGAGCTTGAGCTAGATCTAGAGCTTGAGCTAGATCTAGATCTTCTAAACTACTCGTTCAATTCAATCATTCAATTTAGGATTAAAATCAAGATCTAGCTCTAGATCTACCTCTTGATTATAATCCTAAATTTTGTCATCAATTTTTCAACTCACATTGATGACACAGGTGACGGCAACGACGTAGCCGATTCCCTCACCCAGTCCGAACATCAGCCCGTATGTGAGCGTGAAAGCGGGCAGTGAATGCTGGATGGACATCGAGGAGAGGTACACACCACAACTGAATCTCAAGGTTTTGTTTACGGATTAACGTAGAATCTAAACCTTTTAGCACCCGGACTACTTTTCATTTAGGCATTCTGTTGTTCAAAATTTGCCGTTGTTTTTTCAAGAAAGTCCCAATCCTTCAAAGTTATAGTAACCTTTGAAATCGTTTAGTCATATAGCATTTCAAAGCTTCATTAGCTAGCCTTTTCCAGGCCAGTTTAGAGTCTTGGTCTGAATAACTGGGTAATCGTTTAGGTTACAGAATTGAAGGATTAAAGATCTTCAAAATTATGGTAGATTATTGAATCAAGTTTAAGATTTTGTTTCTCAAAAGGCTCACGTGCAAATCGTGCATCCGATAAACGCAGCCATTCTCGGGCCGAACTTCAGTGACAAAGCCCCACCGATCACCATCGCGAATGGGAAACAACCTAGAAAATGTGGATTGATGAGTAAATTTTGGATGTGAAAATGTTTATTTCCGATTATTCAACGATTGAAGGCTTAGTTTTGAAAGAAAGGCGTCTATTAAGGCTGTTCAGAGTTGGATACGTCGGTTCTTTGATGGATTGGGGCTGAGAATGGAAAAGATGGTTGGTGCCGAATCCGCGACCTCACAATTACGGGGCGAACACGCTACCAATGAGCTATACCGACAGGACAGATTCTTATGCTTCTTTTCTTTCTTATGCTTATTTTCTTTCTTATGCCTTCTTATGCCTTTTCGCTCCATCCAAATTTTTTAACCAAAGAAGCTACCGGCTTTTGTATGGTTAAATTTAAAGACCAATTAGTCATAAAGATCAATTAATCATAAAAGTCATAAAAGAGATTTTTGATATCTAGTTTAGTTTAGAGATTTTGAAAAATCGTGAAACGACTTTCTGGATAGCCTAATACTTTGAACCAAAATTTCAAAAACTTAGAAATTCCTTTCACCTTGCAACATCGGTATCCACATTAAGCGCTCGATTCGGACATTGGGATCGGTGTAGTTGCGCATATAAGAAGCCATGTAGGGAAGCATGTTACCTGGAGAAAATTCAAGTTTCAGTTTTTCGAATCAAGTTCTTGATTAGTTTCTCAATACAACGTCTAATTTCTAGTACATTTTTTGAGTTTTATTTAGTACTTGAGCACTTACAGCATTTACAGTGCTCCAGTTTTCATTTACCGTAAATACTGTAATAGTACCCCATCCCCATAACGACGGCTTTGCGTAGTCTAGCTTTGAACGAGTTTTTCTCGACACTGGTTTATGCTACGATGCGCGCTTAGGTATCAAAAAATAGCCCTGAATTTCAGCTATTTTTTGATACCAAAGCGCGCATTGTAGCATAAACGAGCGTCGAGAAGCTAGACTACGCAACACTCCACACCGTCATTATGGGGGTGGGGTACTATTACAGTATTTACGGTAAGTAAAGCTTTACAGTAAAAAAAAAGCCCACCAAAAGTATGATATGTGCCAAGGGTTAAATGAATGAGAATGGCTCCACTCAGCACGATGGTCACACGAAAAAATGGAGAGAGTTTGAAGAGGAATTTCGAGATTAGATCCTTTGAAACGGTCATTCTTTTGGCGATTCTAAAAATTGATATATTGAAAGAGACTGATTGGCTTGTAAAAAGAAAATAAAAAGAAAATGAAAAGAAAATGAATTGCAAAAAGAATTAGTGCAACAAACAACAAGAACAAAAATAAAACTAATAAAACTAATAAAACTAATAAAACTAATAAAACTAATAAACTAATAAAACTAACTACTAACTACTAATAAAACTCGGGTAGGCACTTTGACTTAAGCCGGTCAGAACCTATCTTATGCTTTTTTTTTCTAGTCTATTTTTGCATTTTCTCGAGTAATCAAATACGCTTGATCTATTGGTGATATTTTTAGAGTGTTTTGAATACCGTATTTACTCTATTAGTGGGGTCCTCTCTAATAGTGGGGTCGTCTGGAGGGGGGTTGAAAAAATAGTGGGGTCCTCTCGAATTGGAAGAAGATATTGGTAACGAAAGTGATACATCAATTGTTGATCTCTTGGATTAGTGCTTTTACTGTTTGTTAATGTTTTGTTACGGTTAAAGCTAAATAAAATATGAAGCCAAACTTGTTTTGTCAAGAATTTCGGAGAAAAATTGATATCTTTTCAATTTAAAACTTTGGTTTTATGTTCTTTTAAATTTCTCTAATAGTGGGGTCCTCTCTAATAGTGGGGTCGTCTGGAAGGGGATTGAAAAAATAGTGGGGGACCCCACTAATAGAGTAAATACGGTAGTTTACACTTTGGATTTCACTTTGGATTTCCCTTTGGCCTCATTTTCTAGCTACTGTAACAGTTATTCTTCAGCTAGCTCAATAAAACATTAACAAAGATTGTTCAAAACTTTCTAAAAATATCACTAATAGATCGAGCATGTTTGATTTTGCCAGAAAAAATTAAATAACATTGGGAAAACGGTGAAAAAAAGGATCTGATTAAGTCAGAACAAAGTGCCCCCGAACTTTATTAGTATCAAAATTTGTTTTTATTATCGTGTACATTGAAACTCAATGTTTTTTTTTATTAAAAGCTTAATTTTTTAAACTTTCTTTCGATGATTCAAGTAAAGCAAAAATAATTCGCGCAAAATAATTAGGCTTGGTGAAAAAAATTTGCACATTTTACCGTGCTCTTATCAAAGAAAGTTTAATAGTTTTTGAAAGAAAAGAGAAATTGTTGAGAAAAGTTGTTTTTTCCCTTGATTTCTATTGAAACTCTTTATTTTTCGGGGTCAACCCTTAGGATTAACTTTTAATGGAATTTTTCAGAAATCCGAAAGTTGCTAATAAAGAATAAAGAATTAAACAAATAAAGATTGCTTGCTTATAATAAGAAAATATGAAAAAGAATAATGCAAAGTGCGACTGGTGACGAAAATTACTTTCTATCCCTATGTAAAATGAAACTCATTGTTTTTTTCCGGGAATCAATGCTTTACATTTTCTTTTGAAGACTCAAAGAAAGCAAAAAAAGTGATTGAGAATTCTCTTCAAATATAGAAAAAATATAAATACCAATAATGCTTATCAATTTTAAATCCGATGAAAAATTTGTCATCGAAATTTAAAAAAAGCCGAAAGCCAAAAAGCCGAAAGCCGAAAGCCTTTTTTCAGAAAGCCGCCAAAGTTGAGAAATGACTTTTAACAACTTTTGATGAAAAAGATATCTTAAGATAAACTTTCAAAATCCTCCGTTGTAAACAGATTAGCCCTTTGTTTATAGACTTTTTCAAATTTAAACCGCGGTCAGGGCCCAGAAGTGGCTCATTCCTTTTGCAAATTCCCTTTGCTTCCAATGCCTCTTTATCAAATTCATTTCCCGTTAGAGCCGCTAGATTATGGAACTTGCTCCCAAACGACATACGTGAAATTCAGTCGCTTTTCATATTCAAGAAACGTATCGATGCTTTAGATCTAGTGGCTCTTTGCCGTAAGTAATTGGCTTATTGATTTCAGTATGTATTGTATGATTAAGTATCACTGTGCATTTCTCTATGATTTCTTTCACTTTATCGTTTGAATAAAGTATTATTATTATTATGCTAATGATTATGATAAAGAAAAATAAAAAATGAGTTATCGAAGTGAAAAAACTACTGGTGAGAATTGTTTTTAGTCCCCTTAAATGATGACGTGAATCATCATTGGCCTTAAATGATGCCAGCAAGTCTTAAATGATGGCTTGCTGGCTTGCTGACAACAAAAGTTGCTTTCTGTCCCCATGTACATTGAAATTCATTGTTTTTCTCCGAGAATTAATGCTTTAAAATTTCTTTCAATGACTCAAAGAAAGCAAAAAAAGTGATGGAACTTCTTAAATATGGAAAAAACTGAATCAAATCAAATCAAAGGGAAAAGCGGGAAAAACAACCGAAGTTAAAAAGAAGAACTTTCCCAGAAAACGAGCAAAGTTGAAACATGAATTTTTACAAAAAATTTTTTTGGTAAAGTGGATTCATGGATGAAATCCCATATCTGTTTTCAGTTTCAGAAATTCAATTTTTTTTTAGAAAATTGAAATCTCTCTTTTTTGTGAACAACGGCACTTATGAAATGAAAGAAATGGACATTTTTCCCACTCTTGAGCTCGATTGAAAATTGCAAAGAAAATGAATAGAAAAGAGAGAAGCTAACTAAAAGAGAAGAGAGAAGCTAACTTTTTTTTTTGGGAAAAGTCAAAACACAAACGAAATAGATTGAAAATTGTCTGGACTTTCGGAATTTCGGAGTTTCGGAGTTTCGGATAAACTTCGATTCGATTCGCGTTAAATTTTGTGAGTTTCAAGATTTTCTTCTATACATTCTCAGTTAATTGACGCAATTCTTGATTCTTTATGAAGTTTAAAATATAGTTAGAATTGGATAATAAGAATAATAACAAGATTTTACTAGCTTTTTACTAACCAAACAAAATTAGGTCACAAATTTTGCCACCAGACAATATAAATACTAGGAAACAACAATGAGAGAAGAATGGGGGGAAAGAAGAAAAGAAAACAAGGTTAATGGGGATTCAAAAATGACTCTTTTGTCACAGGAGAAGAATTCTTTAGACTAATAGATAGAAAATAGAAATATTTCTTTAAAAGAATCAAGTTTTTACATTTCTTTGAATTGAATACAACGAAGCTTTCGTGCAATGAATACCGATTTCATTGGCTGTTTGATTCTTATAAATTTGAAACTAGGTATTTGCCAAAGTGAAACTTTTAAAGTTTCTAGAGCTAACAGATTCAGAGAATACTTTTTAATAGTGGAAAATTTGAATATCCACATGATATCCTATTTTCTGTAATAGTAGTGCAGGCAGACGGGGGGAGGGGTTGAAAAAATTAGAGTGTATTCCTCGCGAGTAAGTAATTACTCGAGTAATAGCTCGAGCAATTGTTGACTAATGCGTTTTCTAAAAAGTGCGCCTGCGCGAAAAAATATAAAAGTAATTTTCTGTGCAGATTTTTCAAAAAAAAAGGGGGTGGGACAAATGCGACCTTTTTTTGCGCACCCGGACATTTGCGCACCTTTTTTTTTGCTGGAAAAGGCCTTAGGAAAGGTCGTAGAGCTTCAAAAATGTTTTCATAGAAGGGAATCGTATGCGTAGATTCCGAATTTCGACAAATCAGACCTCGCTGACACGTCAAATTTGGGCTAAAAGGCAAAAACTACGCAACTTAACGCTTTTCCGCAGTTTTTGCCTTTTAGCCCAAATTTGACGTGTCAGCGAGGTCTGATTTGTCGAAATTCGGAATCTACGCATACAATTCCCTTATATGGAAATATTTTCGAAGCTCTACGGCCTTGCCTAAGGCCTTTTCCAGCAAAAAAAAGGTGCGCAAATGTCCAGGTGCGCAAAAAAAGGTCGCATTTGTCCCACCCCCATAGTAGTGCACTCAAGGAAAAAGAAATTTTTGCAAGAAAAATTGGCACAATTAGAATATCGGAATTTTGATAGGTTTTTTTATAGAATAACAAGAAATTAGATGAATTGAAAAAACAAATCGCGTGTACAAACTGGTGATTAGATGAATCTTTAAAATTCTAAAAAGGTAAATAAAAAATTGTGTACATTGTGCTGTTTTGGTGCTCTCTTTTGTTTGGCTTAAGGAGATGGTTTGGTGAGATAAAAATTGCAAAAGCAAAAGTGTTTTTGATCAATTTTGGGATTGAAAAGGGAAAACAAAGGGAGATTTATGCGTTTACTCGTGAAAAGCCTCGGGAAAAAGGGAAAATTTGCGTGGCGAGAAAATTTTGGTTTCAATTGGTGGAAAATTCGGGGAAATTTGACTTCACAAGGTCCTTTAATCACTTATTTGACGTAAATCAAGGCCTAAAGAAGGAAAAGACTTTCTGGACAGCTTAATAAATATTAGGTTTCAAGTTAATTGATCTAAAAATAGTCAACTGGAGGTTAGTTTAGAACTGATGTGTGAAGGAAAGGGAATTTTTTGCAATAGAGGGAAATCCCTTTCAAACTATATAAAAAAGTGTCACGATGCAGAAATCACCTACCGTAACCTGTAAAAGTAGCACCCTCATAACGTACAGTCGCGTACGTACAGACGTACAGTCGCGTAGTCGCTAAAGTAAATCATTTTTTGAACGCGCCCAGATTTTTCTAAAATAAACTGTACCAAAAATTCTTAGCATCAAGCGTATCTTTTAATAACTAAGCGTACATTTTTCGTCAAAGCAGTAGCAGAACCGAGCGGCACAAAATTATGTGTTAAACTACGCGACTGTACACGGGGGGGGGACACTATTACAAGTATTATGGTAGTAGTTCACTTGCAATCCCATTGAGAATTTAAAATTAGAAATTGCTAAATGATTAGAAGTTCATTTTAAATCAGAAAGCTTTTAAAATTCACCTAAAAATAATCGATTTTAAGTTAAACAAGGCGAAAAGAGCTGAGAAGGTTAATTTCTAAGGAGGTCACATTAAAACATTGTTATAAAAGAAAATCAACTCAAAATTCTTAGGAAGCCTTACTTTTCTCTTCTCCAAGAATAAAGTTTTTTAATTCTAAACGAACTCAATAGATAATCAGGTGTAATTCTAGTCAGTAAACCTTTCAAAGGCACAACATAAGTCTGTATCAAGTTAAATAAAATGAAAAGAGAAAGAAAGAAGAAAAGAAGAAAGTTAGTTTTTGAAGGTGTTTTGATTTGTTTTCATCAATTATTTTGAACAGTAAAACAAAATAAAATCAAGAAAATGATTGCAGAGTTTACAGAAATTTTTGAAAACGTGAGAAACGGGTGAATTTTTGGGAAGATGTACCCAGGTGATTGTCGGTGACAAAGAAAAGATAAAGGGGTAGAAGGAGAGAAAGAAAGAGTGGTGAAAATGGCCAGACAAGAGAATGTAATTGTTTGAAGGTTCAAAGACAAATTGCGTCAACACACGGTTATCTTTTTGCTGGAGTTGGAAAATCTGCGAGGGGCAAAGTGGAGGAAAATTGCGGGAATAGTTGTTAGGAAAAAGGAGGTTGTGTAGTTGTTTAAAATTTTACCTTCAATACTTTATGAGTTCAAAATTTAGACTAGCACTCGAGAAGTACAATATTTAGGTATCAGACTTATAGTATGCACTAAAATTTTCGAGCTTTCTGCCTTTGGAATCCGTGAATGTCTATTTTGGTTTTCATTCTTTGATACTGATCTAAGTTTCCAATCTAAGATCTAAGTTTCAACTTGAACAACATTTAATTTGAATCGAAAGCTAACTATTCTGAGGTCGATCATGCAGAAGGAATAAAAAAAAGGAATAAAAATCCAGTGTAGAAATTAAACTAGCAACCTAAATTGCTACTGTAAATTATCGTAGTATCAAACTTACAGTGGGATACTGTAACTCGTTTAGAGTAGATCGTGCAACTTCTGTCGGCGAGGATTGTTGAGGTACACTACTGAACAATGAAATATCATATTTGAAAAAAGATCGTCACTTTCGCGCGTCTGTAACTCCCTTGTCTTTACCGTATTTCTAAATATTAATATTACCATTGTGTAGCCCTTGAAAAGAGCTTTCAGAAAATGTATAACACTAATAGTTTAAACTCAAAGGCAAGGGAGTTACAGACGCGCGAAAGTGACGATCGTTTTTCAAATATGATATTTCATTGTCCAGTACTGTAGATGCCGGCAATTCTAAAGTGGAAAAGCCTTGGCAAAGTTGTTTTTATTGCAAATGCTTTGTCTTTTCCTATGCATTACAGCACTTTCAATCAAACTAAAAAATCGTTAGATTGGGCAATTAAGGTGCAAAAAGTAACATTTTACATCCAACAGATGACTCATCATAAAGTTATTTTTATTTGGAACGGAAAAATCTTTTACTTCGATTTTCAAAACAAAAAGTCGAATTTTTTTGGTTTAAAAATTTCCCCCTTATTATTTTTGTGTTTTTTTGTGCATAACTAAACGTAGTAAAGCATAAAAACTGGTTTTGAATGTATTTTGGACTGTAAAGTTCAATTTAGCTTAAATCTCAAACTTAGCCGATAAATACGCTTTCAAAATTGATCAACATTTGAAAAACTTGCAGAATTTAATGGAAAGCAAAGGATTTGACACTAAGGAAATCAGTAAACGAGTAGAAAAACAATAGCGTTTAGCCTAAGCACTCAAAAATATCAAAAATATCAAAAACCTCGTGAATGACGCGAGGATGACACAAGGAAATGTCCTATTTATCACGTTGAGCCGTGTTGTGATGTGTGTGAGCAGAAGGAATGCCTTGGGGGCGATTCTGCGTCTCTACCCCACCCACCCAAACCCTTTTCTTTCTTTTCCCAGCCCCTAGAGGGCCCACCGCCGATAGACATAGACAAGTCACTTTCTGCACTTTAGCAAAAAGGTTTTGCAGGTTCTGCTTTCGAAAATTAGAAATTTAATTAGAAAAATTTAGCACGAAAACAAAAGCTGTTTGCTAAATGTAAAATCTCATTGTCAGCCTTTTTTTGCTCGCTTCACTGTGCCCAAGCTTATCACCTACTGATCGATTTACTTACTATTGGATTGAAATGTACCCAATCTTTCGCATGATGAAATCACCCAGTCTATCAAAAATATTTACTCACCAAGTTGCTGTTTACTAACAGAGCTTTGGCGGCTTATCTTTTGATGCACTTTTGCATCCGTGGATCCGCTATCGTACCCTTTGAAAAATCCCGCAGCGGAGAATTGCTTTTTGTCGAGCCACTCGCTCACTATTTGTTGCGTCTCTAATGGGCTGAGATTTTTGGATTCTTTTAGCCAGGGATTTATATTTTAGCTGTCAAAATTGATATCGTTAGGCTTGTAACAGAGTTAAACATAAAAATCTTCGCTTGCCGGCTTTTTATGAAATGTAATGCATGAATTGTACATTTTGCAAGATTTTGAAAGTTAAATAGATCGTTAGACTATATGTTTCATGTTTAACGCCGCAAAACAACTTTTAAAACTGAAAATGATCCAGGATTTTTCTGTTAAATGTCTTTTCCATCGCTTTTTAATCTTTCAAAAATTTCTCATCTTTTTCATTTCAGATGTCCACCGATGAGGTCGACAAGCGCGTCAACATCGCTCACATCGAGGGGAAATTCTTCGTGCACGAGACGAAAGAATTGGACAAACTGAAGAACCTCCGAATTGTGCCTATGGATTTCAACCGAGGATCGAGTATTTCGCTTTTCACTCTCTATGGCTTACTCCCGGAAATAGTGCACGCCTTGTACGAGTTGAACTTGGTCAATTTCGTTTCACCCGAGGAATCGCCGAGCAAATTGGATGTTTTACTGGGCTATCAAGGAGAAAATCTACCTACCACTTCTCAAACGGAAGATACAACCGCTTTGGAAGCGAATAATCCACTTTCGAAATGTGATGAAACAATTTCAACCTCAAATTTTCAACCAACAATTCAACCTCAAACCGTCGAATTTTTTCCCGATTCAGCCGGTTTCTATGCTCGTTCCAAAATTTTCCGCGATCTCTGGATAAATGGATATTACGTGACGTGTGGCCAAAAATTCGGTTGTCATTACTTGGCTTACGAAGAATCACCGGATTCTGTGCATTCTTCATACATGGTTTGGTGTTTGGACAATTCAAGAAACGCGGACTTTCTCTCGCATCTCCCCGTCCTTCAACGAGTGGCCACGCAAACGTGCAAGAAAATTTTGCTGGCTACAACAAATCCTGACGCCGATGTGCCTCACTATTCCTTGATTGAAAGATTCACTGGACTTGACCGCTTAAAGAGAGTTGACCTTGAAGAATCGTCTGACTTCAAAAAAAGGCCAAGCACAAATTTTGGTGTCATTCTCTAAATAGGTTTTATTTACGGGTAGCTTTTTTCTAAACGGGTTGATTGTTGAATTGTTGCACTGATTGTTCATTTGTTTTGTTTTCATTTACTAACACTTATAAATTAATTATGTCCTTTCAGATGTCCCAAACAAGACAAATCGCTCCATCGACGACGGTGGAAACTGTGCCCCAACGCGGCGGTGAAGGGTCGAACCTTGTGTTGAGGTAAGAGTTTTGTGCAACTTAAACAGTTCGTATGGTTGTAAACGGCTGATGTAAAGGCTATCGTAAAGCTCAACTTTTTTTGTAATGTATCCATACAAAACAAGTAACAACGCAGGTTTCAATCAAATTTTACATTCTTCTTTAGGTTAAATGACCCGGGCCCTTCGACACAAGAAGCCACCGATCAAAACCACCACGTTCGTTGGGCCACCGACACTGTCGACGTATTGTTTTTATTACGTAATAGACACATTATTAAGGACGATTTTATTGTATTATTCTTTACGATAAAATTTAGAACGAGGGAATGGGGAAAAAGAAGAGCAAATGCTGCTGCATCTACAAGAAACCAAAGAAGTGGGACGAGAGCGATACTGAAAGTGATTCGGATAACGAGACCGAGCATTGTCGTGGACACGTCGAAAAGCGAAGCGGCGGTGGATGTGGAGGCGATAAATGCTCTTGTTAAATTGAGATATTTTCTGTGTTTTTGTGATGTTTGTGATACATTTGATCTTCCCTTTTTTTGCCTTTCAATTTGTACATAAGATAATATGGTTCTTAAGGAATAAATTTCCAGGTATGTCAGCCGCAGCAAAAAGGGTGGCCGCTTCGTCCCTCAACTGGGCAAAGGTCGGCGAGAAGGTAAATTTTTTAGACTTATGCTACTGTACTCGTTGAAAATTGGTTGTTTATTTTAAAATTTTAGCTAACTTCCGTCCATGCCAGCGATCTTGGAAGACTGAGGGGACAGAACTCGACTTTCACCGCTCAAGTCGACCAACTTCCCGCCGATCTGCCAAAGGTTGGTATTTTGTTGCTATATGACGAGTAAATAAAAGAAATAGTCTAATCTAGAATATGAATCAGCTAGGTAAAGCTGAAAAACGCCAGATGCTTTTGCGGATTGCTAAACAGATGCCAACGTTCAAATTTATAAAGTTTTTAGGTTGACTTTGCTGCTTTGAAGAAAGCTCTTCCCACCCATGCGGCCACGATCGACTCTCTTCAGAAACAATACGAGGCTGTGAAGATTCCTTATGGAGAAGTACCCAAGGAGTACCTTGATGTAAAGTTCTATTGAATCTATTATAAACTTCTGAAATTTAGGAAATCAAGCAATGGCAAGAGTACAACGAGACCAGGATCCGATTGCATGAGATGAAAGTGGCCGATGGACTTGAGCAGGCCAAGAAGGTTAATTTTGTTACGGATTAAAAATGGGTGAAGCGATATCAATAGTTTTCAAAAAACATTTTCTCATCATTAATGAGTTGTTTAGGTTGAGGCTAAATGGAAGTCGGCTCCACCAGTTGAGCATTTCGATCGTCAACATTTTGCCGAGTACTTCCCGCAGCACTTCTATGATCTTCGTTACCAGGTATGCCTTTTGTTCACAGAGTTGAAATCTACTAGTAAGGATTCAATGATTTACTTTTCAACGGTTCTAGGCCAAACTAGAATGTTCAGATTTTCTTTTTCTTAAAGCTCTCATTTTAGGAACGTATTCCTGATCCATGCAGCATTGGACTCAACGAGACCGATGCTTTCCAACAACGTTTCTCCGATTACAAGGTGAGCATTTACTACTTTTAAACTTTCAAAGATATCAATCTTCATTACATTATCATCTATTTAGGTTCTCCGTCGTCCCGACAAAGTTGATGACCACTAAATGCACGTGAAATCGGCGGCAGGATATCGAATTTTTTTCTAGCGTCTTTTGTAGTATGTTCTTATTGTACCTGAATCTGCCATGGGTGTCTTCCCGATAGTAAAATCTGTTATTATTAGGTGTTATCGTGAAAAATAAAGTTTCTATATTTACAGCAGATTTTTTTATAATCCGAGCAAGTTTCAGCACATGGATTGCATAAAATACGAACAGTAGAATGAGGTCACCAAGAGGAGATTCTGGCTAAAGTGCAACAGTCAGCACTTTTGTATCGTGAACGTTGCTCATGTAGCCTAGCGGCTATCATTTCTTTTGTCCTGTTATCTCGGGAAATTGCAAACTGTGCGGAAATTTCATTGAATGTTATTGGAAAGCTTGGAAATTTTTGCCTCTTAGCATTGTAACCTTTTCCCCCTGTTTGTTTCCGGTTTTCACATGAAATCCGCGTGCTCTTTGACCGGTGTAGGGGCTGGGGTTTCCCCTTTGGATGCGGACATGAGCGGTGATTTGTACTTTGCTCCCTGTTCTTTGAAAAAGGCATATCAACTGTCCTTTTCTTATCCCCTTCCACACTCCCAATGATATTTTGAGGTGTTTCTGCGGGCATTCGTTCTTACATCAGCTTGTCGCTGTGACTGTTTTTCGGTTTTTTATTGATCCTGTCCATTGGTAGTTGTTAAAATCTTCCCCTTTCGATGAAAATTCGGCTCCCAACTTGAAACTGTTTTCTATTTCAAAGAGATCTTCAACCCATTGGGTTGAAGATCTCCTAAACCTACCTTAAGGATTTGATTGAAAGAAGCTTTGCACGATTTTGATCTATCAATTTGATCAAACTTTCTTAAAAGTGCTGAAGCATTTTAAGTTCTCTTTGAGTACGTGAGTTTCTTTAACTCTATCTAAGCACCGATTAATCCAAAAAAATTTCCCCCACTGTTGCACACAAAAAGTCTCCAAGAAACGTTATTGAATCTGTTGATTTTTTTTGTGTTATCTATCTTTCTCTTCTTTTTTTATCCAATCGGTGAGTTTATTTACAGCCAACGGGAAAGAGAAAAAGGTAGTCTCCTTTTTCTCTCCTTTTTTCTTTCCTACAAAGCGTGAAGGCCATCTTTTTACTTGTTTTCGTTCCATTCTCTAACCAATTTTCACATGTATTTTGTTTTCGATCTTTAGAAACTCGATTGTTGTTTTGAAATCTTGTAACCGTTTGATTCATGCGGGATAGTATTGGACTTGACTTATCCGTTTTTACACCTTTTTATCTTTTTAAGTTCAAAAACTTCAAGTACTTAATTGAATTTTTAGATGGGGTCAAAAAAGGTAATGGCCGCGGTTTTGGCGGCGCTGAGCGGTGGATTGTCGAATGAGGCCAACGGAACGAATGGGAATGGAGTGAAGAAAAGGCGACACTCGGGACAACATAAAGTAAGAACTTTAAATATTACGATTAACTTAAAATTGATCAAACTTTGTAACTTTCCGCTTAACGGGAGGGGGGGTAAGTTTTTTGGCCTACTTCCAGCTGATTTTTAGGCACCTTACACTTGTCAGATCAGAAAGTTTTAATAAGATTTAGATAGCTTAGAACGTCAGCTTTCAGAAAATATTTGTTTGATCAAATGTTATTAACAAAAACCCATTTAAAATCGAGCTGCAAGTTGGCCAAAAAAGTTACCCCCCCTCGTTAACCGGAAAGATCCCAAACTTTTTTAAAAGTTCAAAAGTCGTCGCGTTGTCACACAACGTTTTTGTTTTGATAAAGATTTTGAGAAGTAGCTCTAAGTATCTATTTTTAAACTTTCTAAATAGATAGGTAGATGAGATTTATAACTTTGTTAACTATATATTAATTTTTAACTCTCCCTAATTTTTCCTATTTTAGTTTCCGCCAATATCAGAAGATTCATCGTCAAATGACTCACCAAGCCGAAAAACAAGCGCTGTCTTGAGGAAGGAATACGCAAAAACTGGGTCAGTTTTAGAGATGCAAAAATGATCAGGATCAACTTGTTTATACTCGTTTTTCTTTAGACCTCTCGGCCGTACGGTGCACTATCAACAGGATTCCCTCTTTTCCTCCTCTTCCGGCTGGACAAACTACACCGGTTTCTTCAATTTGGCCATTTTGCTTTTGGTGAGAGAAATTTATATATTTAATGATTTTTTTCTATAGGTGGTCTCGAATGGTCGAGTAGCGCTCGAAAATCTGATCAAATATGGGATTCTGATCTCTCCACTCTATTGGGTTTGTTTAAAAAGTTTTTCTATTAATAAATGTGCTTTTTTAGTTCGAATTTCTCACCGCCGATCTCTCGTTGACAAACTGGCCAAATCTTTTCATGTTCCTCTTCTCAAATGTCTCAATTATCACTGTGCTATTCATGGAGAAACTTTTGGGTTTGCGATATTTTTAATATTGAGTATTTGTCTTTTAGAGCAAGGGCATTTTTGTAATCGTTTTGCGGCCATTTTCTACACACTTTTAATTGGTGCTCATGTTACCCTGCCCGCGGTCGTTACACTTTACATCAAAGTTAGCTAAACATAACACTCTTGTATAATTGAATTCAGGGAAATCCGCTATATTCTGCGTTTTGTCTCGGTTTGATTGTGATCGAAGCACTAAAGCTCGTCTCATTTGTAAGTTGAAATTTATTACTCAATTATTTTTGCCTTTAGGTTCACGTAAACTACTGGTGTCGAAGCGCGAGATTGCAAGTGAAAAAAGAGAGCAGTGATGTGAGTTTTGAGAACAATTGCATCCACAGGCATTCTTCTTCATTCTTCTTAAAAAGTTATGTTAGTAAAGACTCATTTTAGTTCACACCACCAGAATCCCTCCATTTATATCCATCGAATTTGACGCTCGGAAACATGTATGTTGTTTTTATGAAACTTGCACAAATTTTTCTCTTTAGTTACTATTTTATGGCTGCTCCAACGTTGTGCTACGAACTCTCCTTCCCCAGACTGGAAAGAAGAAGAAAAACGTTTTTGATTAAGCGGGCTTGTGAGGTAATTTTTTTTTAGGATCTTTGACGTATTCATGCCTTTTTAGCTAACATTCCTCTCGTTCCTCATCGTGGCTCTTGTGCAACAATGGGTCGTGCCACTCGTCCAGAACTCGCTAGGACCTTTCAGTCAAATGGATATCAGTGAGTTCTGGTCACAGCTTCAAATTGTGAAATGAAAAGATGAAAAGGAAAAGCAATCAATCAATCACAATTTATTTTCTCGAAGAGGAAATTTTAGTTTTTTTGTGCTTACTATGAAACACTTGTATTTTTAGGTAAATGCACAGAGCGAGTGCTGAAGTTAGCGATTCCGAATATTCTTATCTGGCTGCTTTTCTTCTACACGATGTTCCATTCGGCGCTAAATCTGGTTGCTGAGATTCTCCGTTTTGCTGATCGAGAATTTTATCTGTAAGCTTTTATTGTCTTACTATATTTTATTGACACGCATCAAGGTAATTTCGTTTTAAGTAACTACAACTACATAACTACAAGTTTCAATTACTCTTCTAGGTTCTATTAGATCTTGTTCTCATTTTATTTTATTTTATTTTAGTGACTTCTGGAATTCGGAGTCGATTCAATATTTTTGGAAGACGTGGAACATTCCCGTGCATCGTTGGGCCCTTCGACACATTTACCTACCGATGGTTCGAAATAATTATAAGTGAGTTTTTTATTCGTTTGATTTATATTTTTGGTTTTAGCAAATGGCTTGCCGCGTTAACGGTTTTCTTCTTCTCCGCCGTTTTCCACGAATACTTGGTAAACGACTTTAAATTTTCCATTTACTATTCAATCTTTAGGTTTCTGTTCCGTTGTCAATGTTTCGTTTGTGGGCCTACTACGGGATGATGGGACAGATTCCGCTTCTTTTCCTCACCGATTATGTGTTTAAGGGAGGACGAGCCGGAAACATTGTAAGTTTAAAAATTTTTACAAAAGCTTTTGGAATGATAAAATCATTGTGCAATAGTCTAGATGCAATTTGACTCACAACGTAGCTTTTTGAAAAAGGATAACGTAAATTTCACAATTTCCTTTCTAGATTGTTTGGCTTTCGTTGATTCTCGGTCAACCGATGGCCATTCTGATGTATGTCCACGATTATTATTATGAAAACTATCCAAAAGACCCGGTTTTGGCCGGGGATCCTCTGTCGCCTGCTTAAATATGCCTCAGTTTTATTTTTCCGAATAGCTAATTGGTTTCGAATAGCTAATTGGTCCACTTTTTGCTCAAATTTGCCCCTTCGCCAGAAAACAATGCTATACCTCAAATTTTTTTGTTTCCCCACTCAATTTTTGTGATTAGCTGTGCCTTATATTAGATTCGTGTTTTTTTTTGTAAATTTGCGATAATTTGTCATTTTGCGGGTATTTCATTTGTGTCATTTCTTTGAAAATCTCGTCAATATTTTTTTGAATCGTGCTTATTTTCAAAACTGTGAATAGTTTTTTAGAGTTCACTTGTGAAAAATGTAGTAATAAACGTGTAGAATTTACTTGTAAAGTACCAAGAGATATTTCCTTGCTGGATGGGAGAACTGTATTTGAAAATGAAAACCAGCTCAAAATTGAGATTTATGGGTTAAGCAAGTCATCCAATATTTTGAAAAGGTCGAATGAGCATTTTGGATTTATTCGATTATTACTAAACATTTATAATTAGCAGTTTTTACTTTAGTTTATGGTGGCATGGCGCCAAACATCGTCCCGATCCTCACGTGCTTTGACGGAGACCGATGGATGATTTACTGGCGAAACGAGGATAACATCTTGGGTCAGTTTTTGAGCTTAAAAATGATCCATTTGTCAATGTCAATATCTACAACAAGCAATCGCTTTTTATTAAGCAAGTTTGGCAAATATATTCAAAATCTAGGATTACAAATCTTTCACTCCATCATTTAACAAGCACCTTTAACAGATTTCATAATTATTCAATCACAACTTTACCCATTTTAGGTGTCACAAATCTCTTCGACTTGGTCTACGAGAAAAATGTGAGCCGCGACGAGAAAGCCACCATACTCAACGTCGCGAAAACTCTTGCCGATAAATCGTGGATGTTCGCGATAAATTTTGGCCTTAAATTATTCAACTTTAGTGAATTTATGTGTGCGGAGGGATGGCAGATCACAAAAGCCGACGATTCTTTAGCGAAAGTTGGTGAGTTGCTTGCTAGTAAAGTTTTTATGAATCAGTATTAACACTTATTTTTTATCAATTTACTAATTTCTACGTGTTTATGTTTAGGCATTGGTGCTAAAAGAACGTTGCTTCTGCAAAAGGAAAGAGGGGCAACGCTTTTGTGATACGCTGGCCGTAGAGCTTCTGGTTGGTTTCATGGAATTCGTAGCTTATTGTTGAAATACGTTTGCGATAGGAACTGGGTATTTTAAGTCAAATTAAAACCTCATTTTTAGATTCAACGTGCTTCCTGGAGTCCGGAGAAAAAGAAGCCCGAAGTATCAAAATCAGAAGCAACACAAGCAGCTCCTCCAGGAAAAGTAAGAGAATATCGTGGGTTAAATGTGTAGAAACTTTAAATTTTAAAAATAAGCTTCTGGTATAAGAGTTATTCAAATAAAACTATGACATTTCCTTCAATTTTTATATTCAGGGACGTCGCGCAGCTCAGCAAAGGCGATTGCTTGGTTTGAATGATTGGGACGATGAGGAGCAAAATATAGTCGACGAGAAAGCGGAAATTCCCAAAGAGCAACCAAAAGAATCGACGCCCAAGCCAGAGAAAGCCACAGGAGAGCAGAATCGAAAAGAAGAGGTCAATTTTTGTGAAAGTTGTTCAATGTCATTGCTTTAGGAGAAGCCCACGTCAAGTCGAGTCGCGCAAGCACCGACGAAGCTTCTCGGCAAAAGGTCACGCAAGGTAGTGTAATTAAAACAAGTGCCCAATAATTCTGAGGTTCATTGCTAGTTTAAATGTTCATTTTTAGCCAGCTCAAAGAGAACGAAACGCTTCATCGGCAGAATTCATGGACGATGAAGTCGAATTGGGAAGTCTGGTCAAAGAGGTTTCTACGAAGAAAACGCTCAAGGTTTGTTTAATGGTCTCGACTTTTGGAAATGCAGTCTATTTTCCAATTCCAACTTATCTAGTACGCCATTTTTGCCAAATTTAAACCAAAATCACTTTTTTCAGAAGAAAAACGGGAATGCAGCTGGATGATAATTAAAGAAAATTTGTTTGCTACATCTGTCCTATTATATTGTATATTTAATTCCAATCTTTAGATCTCATAAGATCTGTACAATTGCTTTGATTGTTCATGTTTCACCTTATTGGTTGTACAATTGCTGTAATTGCTGTAATACTAACTGTGATTTTATAAAAAATAACCACTTCTGCACTTCTGCAACCCATCTTTATTAGCACAAACACGTTAGAAATTTGAATTCATTTTCCAATTAAGTCGCCATTCCTCTACCGGCAGCGATTCATTTAAAAAGCATCGTCGAGCTCTGTTGACAAGCATCAATAACCTAAAAACTGAGGTTAGTAAGGGGACGAGCCTAATCAACTCTAATCATTTTAATCACAAACCTTTCCAAGAGCCCGAACGAGATCGCTGGCCTTCAAATAGACGTCCTCGCTTGGTGGAGGTGACATGATCGAGAGACAACCGGCTTGCTGATTGATAACTCCTGTAAAATTTTTTATAAAAATCCGACACCAACATTTACCTCGAAGCGTTTGATCCAAAATCATCATCCCCAGCTTTTTCTCGATTCGATCCAAGGGCAAATTCACTTTTTCGCAAATATGCTTGATGTCGATGGCGGCGTAAGGCTCGACAATTCGCGAGATTTCCTAGAAACCAATATTTTTTTATGTCTCTGCAGTCAAGTCAAAGTAACTCGCGAAATGCAAAATATAAAACCAATACCTTTTCAAGCATGGTCTCGTGCAATTTCGACGAGTGTCCTTTCACCACATGATCGTCGTTCAGCTCGGATGGATATGTTTCGAGACACTAAAAATCAAAAGATAAGTAGAACTTATGGCTCTTGGTTGAAATCCGGGCATTTTTGCTGACTAAGGCTTGATATCTTTATTGTGATTTTACATTTTGAAAAAAAAGAAATTAAGCGAAAAACATTCGGTTAAAAATAAAAGCATTTCTGTTTATAAAGAAAACAAAGAAAGGGTCCATAACCCTAAACTGTTCAAACGATTGGATAAAGGATGCTTATTTCAAGAGACTTTGAAAAAGACAAGCAGCTGGGTAGGCTCTTGTAAACTCAAACATGTAAGAGATGGAAGAGAATATTGAGTGGCTTCACGCAGATGTTTAATAGAACTTCTCAATGTCCCCCAAGTAGCCTCGACTCCTTGAGTATGGTACAGTGTTCTGTGGGATCCACAAAGTATTTAAAACGATTACTATTACTTACCCAGCAGCCCACCCAGCTGATTGTCTTTTTCAAAGTCTCTTGAATGAAATAAGCCTCGTTTATCCAATTGTTTGGACAGTTTACGGTTATGGACCCTTTCTTTGTTTTCTTTATAAACAGAAATATTTGATTTTTAACCAAATCCAAATGTTTTTCTCTTAATTCCTTTTTTAAAATGTAAAATAATAAAGAAATCAAGCTTTAATCAGCAAAATACTCGGATTTCAACCAAGACCCGAATTTATTTCCTAGTGTAAAACGTTTTCTAAAAGTTCCCAGGGAAGAGGTTACCAATTGCCCTAGTTTAATTTATGAACAAAGATCCAGAGGACGGTAGCTTTTTTTGCAAGCGCACCTTTTAGAAAGTGACTTAAAGCAATAAGAACACTATGCTACACGACCGGTGTAAAAATAGCCACCCACCTTTTGGAAGCGAGCCAGCGAGCGCTCCTTGAAAGCCACGGCTAATTCACGCATTGCCTAAAGACAAAGATGAATTAAAGCAGATAAATTTATTTAGCACGAAGCAAACACTAAAGTTCACCCACCAAAATGTGCTTCTCTTTGACGTAAGGCTGACAAGCTTCCGAGTCAAGAAGCGAGCGAATCTGGTCGGACTCGTTGAGCATCACCTGAATCCAAAAAGCGGTAAGGGTTACAAAAAGACACAAACTTTCACCAAGCACATGTATTTGAGAGCCTGAGTGGCACGCTCTTTGTCACCGATCTGCACGAATCCCTCAAAAGCCTCGAAAAAGTAAGAGTAGGCCGTCTTATAGTCTTTGTCTTCGGTCGCGTACAAGATGCCCGAGTGAAGGTCTAAATTTTGAAGGTAACTGAATATTTGTAAAAGCTTATAAAATCTACTCACCTAATTGTGCTTGCATTGTGGCGGATGTGTAAAAGCCATGTGAAGCGGTGCGGGCAGTAGCGAGAGCCGTTTTTGCCTAAAATGAATCGAATTTATTAGTTTAAAATCTTTGCTCATTAAGATCAAGAAACAATCAAACTAGAACAACCTTGCTGAAATTGTTGAGCATAAACGCAGCGCGACTTTCCTCCAAAGCCACCTGAAAAGAAAACGGTAAAACCAAGCAAAGAATTAACCTCAATGCTAAGCTCCTTGTCGTCGACTTTGCGCAATTCTTTCGCCAATTCAACAGCTAAAGTATAAAATTGATCGATTGTTAGTTTATTGCTGAAGTTTAGTACAAATTAAAACTGCAAAATCAAAAGATTTCGGAGAGTTGAAAACAACGGTTACCTTTCAAGTTACAAGACAATACAATGCTAAAATTACAGTGTTTATCCTTTTGTATATGAGCAAGTTTGCTTCAAAGACACTCACCAATTTTGCTGGCCTCCACATTCTTGCCGATATCATTGTAGAGGCGGACGAGACGAGAGCGCAGTGAACGCGAGAGATACAGGAGAGATGCGCCTTTTGCCCATTCAATGCTCTCCACACAAAGCGCTTCCTAAACATAAAAAATTCTTTCACTCATTATTCATTATAACTATTTGGTTTGAATGAACATACCAAAGGGTTAAAAAAACTACCTTTTCATTGAAAGATTGGCCTTTCGCGTTGAGACAAGCGTCGACGAGTGTGCGAACAATCTGAAACAAAGAAAAAATTTTAGTATCGTAAGAAAATCGCTAACTCAATTTATTATTGGCATCCATTAAAGCTTAAGAGAAACCAATATTAAGACATTATCCAGCTAAACAGTTAGCACTCAATTAACTACAGGGTGATCCAAAAGTTCAATAGCTTTTCTCAGTCATTTTAAAACCAAGCTTTAGTAAAAAGTTGTACGGGAACTTTTGGATCACCCTGTAGCTGACAAAAGCTAAACTTTTAAGAAAAACGAACTTTGCTAGCCCGAGCAGTCGGCAGTGCGTCGAGCGAGTTGCGAGCGGCGATGAAAGCGTCATGAAGCTCTAAAAAAACAAAATTTCAATTGCAATAAGACAATTTGCCCACCTTTAATCCGTCCCTCATTTGCCATTTGTTTCGCGAGCTCGGCTAGCTTTTGATCGGCTAAACGGGCTTGCTCCTCCTCCTAAACAAATAAATATGATACTTAGCACAGTAAATACTCGATTCTAAGTAAAATTTTCTGCAATGTAGTCAAAAATAAAATACTTGAACCATACCCGAGCCGTCTCCAAGCGAGTCGCCGAGAAATTCGTCATCGATTTGACTGAAAAATGAAATTTAGCCTAAGGAATGGCTTTAGGAGTGAAATTTGATCGTATACAAAAGTTGAGTGTTAAAATTTTAAAATTCAAGTTTCTTTGAGTGTTTCGAATTGTCATCATCTCCCACTGGCAAGCTGCTAATCTCAATTTTTTCTCAAGAAAAAGCTTCACTAGTTTTCTTGCGCAAAATAAAAGGAATAAAAGGAATAAAAGCAATAAAAGCAATAAAAGCAATAGAAGCAATAAAAACAAATCACTCACCCAACATCGCAATTTGCTCATAGGAGGCGCTTGGTGTGGCCATTGTGTGAAGAATGAAGCCAAAGTGCCGACTGAGAGATAAATTGGAACAAGAAATGATTGATTTGAGGAACCAAAAAATGAGACAAAATTGAAATGCAAATTTTGTCATCGTATGCGGAATGAAAATATGAATTTGTCTTTGTATGGTACTATAGTTTTCGAGTATCCCCCCTCTGTCCCCCTGAAAAGTGGGTACTACGACAGTTGGGGGGGTTTCTTCAAAGGTGCTTTTTCTAGGGCGGTTTTTTGCGTAGATACACTAACTAACCGCTTTAGACGCCTTTCTCCCCATTAAAGCGTAACAAGCGTCGGGAGTGGCTATTTTGCGCCAAATTTTATGCGCAACTCGCCATAACTTTCTTCTAAGTGGACCAATTTTTATGATTTTGGTGTCATTTTGTAGATCTCAACAAGTGCAACAAAATGACACCAAAATCCTAAAGATTGACCCAATTTGAAGAAAGTTATGGCGAGTTGCACATAAAATTTGGCGCAAAGTAGCCATTCCCGCCTTTTTTTATCATTTCTCTTTGGTTTCCGAAATGCTGCATTTATTTGGGAGAGGTAGAGCTATATTTGTCACTACGATTAAAACTGCCCTTTTTGGAGGTGACTGCTTTCAACCAAATTTTTTGTGCAATTGGGTCTTTTGCACAACTCGCCATAACGTTCTTCTAAGTGGGCCAATCTTTATGATTTTGGTTTCATTTTATAGATCTCAACAAGTGCAACAAAATGAAAACAAAATGATTTTGTTTTTGGTGCAAAGTAGCCACAAGCGTCCTGTTCTGAAAAGGACGTCCGAAACGGAACGAAAATTTTTGTTCAGTTTCGGATCTCTGATTCCAAACCAGACGTCCGAAATTGAATAATATTTTCAAATGCAAAAATACAAAATCACTGTGCAGCTTAGTCACAATTTATTCTTTTTTTTTATGGTGTTAAATAATATTCATACTTGGCTGTTGTTTTTATTGAACATTCGCCTTTGATTATATTTGCATTTACTTGTCTTGCTTGTTCTTGTTCAGTTTTAATTTTCGTTTTGTTTTGGACGTCCTGTTCGGCACAGGAAGCTTGTTCCGGACGTAATAGTGCTGTTGATCAGCTTAGACCTACATAAAATCTGATTTGCTAAATGCACTTGGAGAAAAGCTACCGTACTATTTTTTAAAAACAGCCAGTTGATGGATCAATTATCTTTCTTCACCGAGACGATTGAAAAATGCAGTTATTAGATGTTTTTGTCAGTGGATTATCGTACCAATTTTTCTTGCGCACTTTTAGAAAACGGTTAAAGAGGGGGTCGCGTCCGTTTCCTTCCTATTTGCGTTGCTATTTTGCAATTATTCGCGTCGCATTTTTCGTCCTTTTTCTCCCTTCCCGAAACTATTTTTTTTTGGTCTGGGGTTTTTTGCCTTCCCTCTTGGGGGACTTTGTTGTTTCATTTTTGATGCGCATGCTGTTTTTGTAATGGGTATTGTTGCATTTCGGTTCTGTAGTAATAAACAGTAACGTTACAAATTCACTTTACTTTATGCTACCCTTCAGGTTTTAAATCCTGTTTAGATGACTGGTTTAACATTGCAGAGAGGTTTTACTAACATTTGTGTCACCATCGACTTAGTATCAATCCGATCTGTACTCTTGTCAAGAGTATTAATCTATTGTTGGATACTACGTGTTCTTGTTACGTTGTAAGCGCTTTTGGGGAAACCCTTTTAACCTTTTGTGCTATTCGGTCATTCTTAAGCAGAATCATCCTCGTTGATAAGGTTAAAGCGGATCGCACCCCAAACTAGGGACACATTACGGTAAACTTTTAAAATCCCTTCATTCACCATTCACCAATTGCCAAAACTTGTCTCGATGCTATAACCGACCATTCTTTGTTTCCTTTCCTGACCGGGTCACTTCAACAGGTGAATCCAGTTGGTTGTCATTGTGGGAAAGAGAATTGGAAGAAAGGATAGAATAGAATAGAATAGACCCTTGTAAAGTCGGCAATTCTATGTTTCAAGTGCGGAGAGGTGAGGTGAGCCACCAAAGAGCCAAAAAGAGCCACCAAAGTGTGACGTGCTTCACGCGATCGGGTACCACAAATACCGTAAATACTCTAATAGAACGTCACTTCTAAATGACGGGTGTACGGTCGCGTAGTCTAACTTTGAGCGTCCCATTCTCCGCGCTGCTTTAAGCTACAGATTTCCACTTGGGTGTCAAATGATAGCCATTGAAATCTAGTATTTGGTATCAAAGTTAGTTGATACCTAACAATAGCAAATGACATAAAATAAGCTAATTCATTACGTTTTCTACGCGCTCAGTCTTATAGATTTGAAATTTTGGCTCTTGCGTAGTTTCCAGGTATTTTGGAAAAATTCGGGTACTTTGAACGGGTCGTCACGCTTTGAAGGTCTATAACTTTGTCCAGAGATAATATTTTTGCTAATTTTTTTATATCATTGTACAGAGGATATTTCAGGCTTTCAAATGATACCAAATAGAGCTTGACTGGATTTTTCATTCCCATGAAAATAAGGCGACACGAGACCCGAATTGGATAGACCTCCTTTGCTCAGAGTTGGCTCTGATTTTCTTGGACTCGATTATCCAATCAAGCTCTATTTGGTATTATTTGAAAGCCTGAAATGTCCTCTATACAATGATATAAAAAGTTAACAAAAATATTATCTCTGGACAAAGTTATAGACCTCCAAAGCGTGACGACCCGTTAAAAGTACCCGGATTTTTCCAAAATAGCTGGAAACTACGCAAGAGCTGAAAATTCTAGTGCCAGCAAACTTTACAGTTCCAGAAACTTTTACTGTATCAAGAATTTATTGCTCAGCAATATTTCCCAGCATCCAGTATCACAATGATAATGTGGCGCAAAGGGGGATGAAATTTCCGCTTCCGCGGCATGCTTGAAAAGCGTGAAAGGGCAAGAGAGGCGAAAAGAAAGGCCAGTTTAAAAAAAAGACGAAGAAAAGAGGTTTCACGTCAGTCTCTTCCTTTCTCTTTTCTCTTTTCACCCGATAGAATAACCAGATCGTAAAAAAAAAGCCGACCCATCCCCCACTTGACATCCCGATGTGTGATCTGACCCTTTACGAAACAAGTTCATTGGTCTCATTTGGGGCAAGTAAACGAGGAGGTGCCTAGCTTTTGGTGTCTAGCTTTTGGTGTCTAGCTTTTGGTGCCTAGCTTTTGGTGTCTAGCTTTTGGTGCCTAGCTTCTTGTCACTTAGTTCTACTTTTGAATGACTTGAGCTTTGTTAATTTTGGTTTTTTCCTTTGATTGAATGGAAAGTCTGAATTTGAGCGGTTGAACATCTCAACTTTTTGCTTAAATTGCTAAAATTGCTAATTGCTTTTCGCACGTCGGTTAATGCTTTAGCAAAACTGTGCCTTTTCTGTGAACTGTGCCTTACTAATGCCTTTTCTAAAAGGTATTTGATTCAAGACTATCATAATCTCCTTCAAAACTTTTAAAAGCTTTAATTTTAATCATTAATAAGAAAGATTAGTATTTCTTTTCATTGCAAAAGTCTTAAAATCATGTTTTTTTTATAAAACAAGCTATTTGAATGCTTTATTAAAGCTTTATTAAATTATTGCTTTATTCAAATTTTTGCACCTCAAATAAATGATAATGATCTGCATGTTTTAACACGTTGACGACAATGGCGTTTTTGCACAAACAATCGCATGGGACAACGTTGTTTTTTTTTCGACAAAAAATGTCACCTGACATCAGGTGACAATGTCCCAGGCGAACGAATATGTGTCAGACAGCATCAGGTGACAATGTCGTCAACGTGTTAAGTTTGAATTTTAGTTTCTTTTATTAATTCAGCTTGAAAGCAGAAATTTTGTTCACAGTTTATTGAACTTTTTAGCTTTTTTTTAATTTGTTAATGTTAATTTTTAATGCTTTTTAATTCTTGCTTAGTTTTCAGTCAAGTAAGAAATATTGTACCTAAGAAAGGACATTAAACTGTCAGTTCAACTTGTCCATCATCGTCCAATCATCGTCCCAAAAAAAATAATCAGCTAATGACGCGCGCTTGAGACGCGTGAAGAAGAAGAGAAGTGGCAGGGAAAGGGTTTTTGTTTTTGTTTGACCGTCCGTTAGTCTCTCTTCTCATCTCCGATCAGGTGTGGACTGAGTCCTGTGCGTGTTGGGCAGGCCTCGCCACCGCCCATGCCATCGATACGATGCCCAAATTGACACTTTCTCATTCTTTTTCCTTCTGTTGCCTTCTTTTCCAGAATTTCCCCCATCTTTCCAATCTTTCCAAGCTTTCCTTCATCTTAACTACGTCAAATCACCTTAATCCTTATCGATTTTCAATCGTAAATGGTTTCTTGTGGGGGAAAATTCTTGTGTTTTAACTTGAAGACTTATACTTGTCAAAGTTCTTCGCTAGTTTCTCTTGTATGCTTTAGATTAAACGTGTTGGACTAAACCTGCTTATCTGAGAGGATTTTAACAAAACAAATCTCTTTATGTTTTTGGTTTTTTGCTAATAGTGTTGCTAATAGTGCTGTTGTTTACTGCAATCCAGCAGTAAACAACTCAAAATCGATTGCATATCGAATATATCTCAGCAAAATTCATTAGCGACTATAAAGGAACTATAAAGGAACTAAATAGGAACTATAAAGGAACTAAATAGGAACTAAATAGGAACTTTCACTTCTTAGCGAGCTTTAAATTTTAAATTCTTAGCGAAACTTAAATTCTTAATAAGTTCCTTGCTCAAAAAATTTGTGATTCTTATTATTTAATTTGTGATTCACCATCAATTAATCCGAATCTAGTCACCGTCAAGCCGTTTATTGGAATCATTGAACGTTAGAAGATTTTTTTAAGGTAGATTTTGACAAATCTTGTTTTTCAGGCCCAAAATGAAATATTTTGCGGCTCAAAACTACATACTTCTGTGTAGGGATTCTTATGTTTCAAATTCGAAAGCTATTCATTTCAAAGTGTCTGAATTTGGCACACCATCAGGCACGAAACAACGTAGCGTAGCCTAGATTATCAAGTACTAAATGTTATATACGTACCGTAAATACTGTAATAGTACCCCAGCCCCATAATGACAGTGCGGAGCGTTGTGTAGTCTAGCTTTGAACGAGTTTTTCTCGACACTGGTTTATGCTACAATGCGCGTTTAGGTATCAAAAAATAACCCTGAATTTCAGCTATTTTTTGATACCAAAGACTCATTTTTTGAAAGTACGGGCGCTTTGAAAAAAATGAAATACTAAAAAACTTTTGCGACTACGCGATTGTACGAGGGGGGTGGGGTACTATTACAGTATTTACGGTACTGTAATAGTACTGCGATTATACTGGCTGTAAATAATTTATCCCGCGAATCTTCCTCGTACAGTCGCGTAGTCGCAAAAGTTTTTTAGTATTTCATTTTTTTCAAAGCACCCGTACTTTCAAAAAATGTGTCTTTGGTATCAAAAAATAGCTGAAATTCAGGGCAATTTTTTGATACCTAAGCGCGCATTGTAGCATAAACCAGTGTCGAGAAAAACTCGTCCAAAGCTAGACTACACAACACTCCGCAACGTCATTATGGGGGTGTGGTACTATTACAGTATTTACGGTATGTTTAACTGCTGAATGGTACCGGATTACTATTTCAGATATGACTGTTAGCAATTTATCTAACAAAATAGAAATCAATACCAAGAACAATAGAAACAATTGAAAATGAGAAACCATGAGACTGACGACTACGCGTCGCTCCAGTTGACACTAACAAAAGATAAAACAAGAGTTAGAAAATAGAAAACAGTTTGTGGGATCCAATACTAAAGAAAAAGTATTAATCATGAAAAAAATGGCGCAATTGCGTTAGTTTACAAACCGTCAATAGCACTAAACTTGAAACACATAAAAAATTAACGTGCAATGAGATCAAAAGCCGAGACAAATGTGTTTGAAATGGTATCGATTTAGTTTTTATAGTTTAGTATAGTTTTTTTTGCACAGTTTCTCTGGTTACGGTGGCTAAGAGATCGTGGATCTCATCCAGCTTGAAACATCTATTATTTTTCTTTCTATAAACATTAAAAAGGTTTTCTAAACCTTGTTTCTCTTTACATTATTGAAATTTCTATTCTTTTCTGCTTGAAAAACCTTTTCTAATTGCTTTCTTTTCCTCTTCTTTCTTTTCCTTTTCTTTGTTTTACTTTTCTAAGAAAGAATTTCAGATGCTCCATGTAGTCAGTGGTTTTTTTGTGCTGGTCGGATGCGCGATGGCGATGGATTTGTGCGAGTATTTCGCCCGTTTAGGATTCGATAAGCCGGAGTGTCGACAGGTGAGATATTGAAAGTATTTCAGATTAAATAATAGAAAAGTAACTTGATTAAACGATAGAAATGGGATAGAAATTTGGAAAAAAAGATGAAGGAAATTTGGTAGAAATTTGAGTAAATACCGTCCAAAAAGAAGCTCACCGAAACCCATTTTCATTGCCATTTTTGAAACATTGAAAAGTTGTAGCTACAACTTTTTAATCGTTATCGTTAAACCCGAGGATTTTGAGTTATCTTTTCTACAGGGTGACCAAGAATTACCGCAACACACAAAAGGCCTGGCTTTGCCAAACCAAATATGCAACCCATCTCGAAAAGTTAACTTAAATATCTTTATTCAACATATAACAGTAACATATAACAGTAACAAATTAACAATTAAATTCAAATTTGCCTCCATCGGCATTCAGACAGGCCTGCAAACGTTTGGGAAACGCGTTGACCGTGGCGAGCAAATACGCATCATTGAGGGTATCCCATGCTTTGATCAGCGCCTTCTTCAAACTTTCGATATTTTTATGTGGTTTTGCACATGCCCTGGCTTCAAGAACACTCCAGACTGAGTAATCCAATGGGTTAAGATCGGGTGAGCTGGGTGGCCACTCAGAAAACGAGATCAAGTCCGGGAAGGTCTTTGAACAGAACTCCTGCACTTTTTTGAGCTGGCGCACCATCTTGTTGATAAGTCCAAATTCGAATTTTGAAGTGGCGTTGAGCCCACGGAATAACCTCCTTCTTTAGCAAGTCCAAATAATTGACCGCATTTACTTTCACACCTTGAAGAACAAAGATCAACGGGGTCTTTCCATTGGCGGTTATCCCGGCTTGACATTAGCCGGAGTAGCCGCTGTTCGTTTTGCACCTCTTCCAGGGCGATCAGAAGCTGTGCCCAGAGTTTCATAACGTTGAATGGTTCGAGAAACGAGGCTTCTGGGGACATTCAGGCGCTTTGAGATCTCGCGCGCCTGAACGCTCGTCTGAACGCTCGCTGAAGCTGCCGCTCGAGCTCAAGGATCGATTGTCGATGTGGAGACGCTTTCACCATTCCTGAAAACAAGCATACTAATGTATTGAAAGCTGGTAATCATACCATAAAATAAGAAAAATACACAAAAACCATAAAAAAAGGTAAGCAAAAAGTGAAATGGGGCTCATAACATAATACGACGTTGTTGCGGTAATTCTTGGTGTATACTAACGTTAAATCACTTCAAAATTTACCTAATGATGATAACTAACTAAATATAGTCTAATTTACAAAATTTATCTAATTTTTACTAATACTAACCAAATCTAATACAGAGATCTCATTTTAAAGGTATAGGTAAATCACTACTTATCTAGCAACGTAATTTTAGTGAATTTTTTTGTTCAATCCTTCTCTACTTAGTAATCTTTGTACTTTTGTAAGGAATGAAGCTATTAGGTTGGCAACTTAATAATGACGCGTTTATGTAACAAATCATTTATTTAAAAAAAACACAAAAGAAGAGCCTTCAATTCAAAAGGTATTCTCCATTAGTATCTATGACTTCTTCCCATCTTCTGCGCAAATCCCGGATCTCATCCTCGAAGAACTTGGGAGTTTTTGAGGTGAAGTAGTCATTCACTGCTTTTATGATCCGAACATGATCATCGAACTTTTCTCCCTTCAAAAAGTGCTTCAGCGACCGAAACAAAAAGTAATCTGAAGGAGCCAGATCAGGTGAATAAGACGCGTGGGGCAAAACTTTCCAGCCAAGTTCCACGATTTTCTTATAAGTGATCTTTGCAGTGTGAGATTTTGGGTTCTCGCGTAAAAATCTGACTCTCTCCGGTTTGAGCCCCAATTTCTTCAAAGACTCGTTAACTCTCATTAATTGCTTCGAATAAAGATCAGCATCGACGATTTGGCCAGGTTTAGCACTTCATAATGCACCAATCCCTTGAAGTTCCACCAGCAACAGAGCATTATCTTCTTCCCATGGATATCAGGTTTGGGAGTGGTTTGAGGGGTCTGCCCAGCAGATAGCCATTGATTTTTGCGTTTAACGTTCTCGTAGTTGATCCACGTTTCGTCAGAAGTGAAAAAAGTCGTTCGATTTACATTTTTGTAGCAAAATTGAGGCGACATTGACACGGGCCATTTTGTTGCTTTGGGTCAATTCGTGAGGAACTCATTTTCCAACACGATTCTTTTTCCCAAGTGTGTAAATAGTTTTCGATTGTCGTATGGGATACTTGAAATATTTCTGCCAACTCACGAACGGTGAGTGTTGGGCAATCTTCAATTAAGGCGAGCAAGTCATCGTCGACCACTTCTGGAGGATGTCCTTGGTGTGGCTCGTCTACGAGGCTTCCATCGCCGCCTTGGAATCTTTGAAACCATCGTTGACATTGCCGAATGTGTATACTTTCCTCTCCAAAACAGTGATGATCGTGCGATAAGATTCAGCTGGAGATTTTCCTTGTTTAAAATCGTAGAACAATACAGCTCGAATACGGAATTTTTTGTCCTCCATTTTTTGCCAAAAAGCGAATGGTGAAATTTGTAGCACTAAATGCTATTTATGCAGACATCTTTTACTTTGTATATATGCAAAAAGAGGGAAGAAACGGTGCTTGAAATTACAAAAAACATGTTAAGTAGTGACGCGTCATTATTAAGTTGCCAACCTAATATTAACTAAGCGTTAAGCAACGTTTTCAAAAAGTTTGCCAAATTTTCATCTATTTTCTTAGCAAATCGTCTTTCGACCGACGGAATTTCAATTATTTGACGGATCGGAGAGTGATGCTTCAAGAGAACAGGTGTTTTATAAAATAATCGGATACCGTATTCTCTCTAATAGTAGTGCATCCCCGCCGAGCCGAGTTGGTGACGATTTTACGGTTTCTAAGTTTTCGCAGAAGCTCAACACTCAAATCCTCCACTAGATCTCATCGTCAGCTACATTTTCCGACCCCACATCAATAGGTTCTGATAAGCGGTTCTCGAGATTTCGAGCAATTTAGGCAACGCTCAGGTTACACTACTATTAGAGAGAATACGATAGTAATAGTCAGTAGCTTTGAATTCGAAAAAAACAGTAAAGTTCTTGTACTAAAAGTTCTTGTTCTAACACGAGTTTATGTGTATTTAGATCAAAACTCTCAATCTTTTGCACTTTATTTTATAAAATTCAAATAAAATTGCAAAAAGTCAAAGTAGGTGGTCACTGGCCAGGGTCGAACCCGGGTCGTGTGAGGCGTGAGGCGAACGCGCTATCCACTATCCATAGGCGCAACTTTCATTTTACACTGAAATTTGCATGACGGGGTTTTCCAACACAGGGAATTCGTTTCTGGCAATCATTTTTACGATTTCTGAAGGCTGTTCTGCTGGTCGGATAGTAATAGTTGGTAGCTTTGTGTGAATTGTCAGCTTCGAGCCAAACTGATATTTTAGTTACTATTGTTATTATTGAATGATTTGTCTATTCTTATGCAAATGTGTCCTCCCCTGTGCTTATCCCTTTTATTGCCGAGAAGGGGCGGAGAAGGGGCCTTGACATCCCGCCATCTCTAACACCCCGACAACCCAACTCAACTCCTCCAACGTATTAGAGGGGAGTCCCTGTGAAATGGCCGACCTGTACTGCAGTTGCATAGACCCGGAAGATATGTATCTTTATTTACAGTAGTATAATAAGACGAATAGATTACAAATAAGTGTAAGGGGAAGGGGGACTCCAACTCTCCAATGAGAGTCTCACTTGTCCTCCTAGGCAATCCCAAGGACCGCCCCTTCTCGGCAATAAAAGGGATAAGCACAGGGGAGGACACATTTGCATAAGAATAAACAAATCATTCAATAATAACAATAGTAACTAAAATATCACTTTGGCTCGGAGCTGACAGAATTCTGTTTTGACTTCTTTTTTGTCTTCTGTTTTTTTCTCTAAACTTTTGACGTTTTGACTTGAGGATAATCTTTCCATTATCCAATAAAATTATCCGAATATTTTAGCAAGTTTTCTACCATCCGACTGCCTTCGAAGTGCTGGATGGCGGGAGGAAAGCGACGACGAAAGTGCTGACATTTCATCGTTTCCCCCATCTGCAAATCGATCCACCACAACAATTTGAAGTGATCGGGAGACAGGGTAATTTTTTTAGAATTAAAGCTGAAAAGTGAGAAGCGAATCTCCAAGATAGGGTAGGTTTTCTTATTAGTCTATTTTGGAGCCTATCTCTAAACGTTTAACTCGATTAAACTCGAGTTCCAATTAGTAGACTCAATAAAACGAATAGCTCCAATCGATTCGCCGTCCCTGAAAACCCCCGGGTACAAATTTACAGCTGAATATCTTTTTTTGAGCCATTAACAAAGGAAAAGAGAAATCCCTGTAGACTGTTTTTTGTGCCGGCGCGTAATCGCTGGCTTTCTGGCAAACCCGTCGGGTATAAAGGGCTTCCCGTTTCTAATCGTTTTTCTATTTTTGGCTTTATTTTTATAGCCTTTTAAGCCGAAATATCCATGGCTTGAAAAAGCAGATTTCACCTTTTATACGATTAATGGTGGTGATAACCGATACTTTAATTATTTACCCCTTCCCCGGCACACTTGATAGAATCTCTCAAGATGGCACACTGTTGATAGGAAATCTTTGCTCAAGATGAATTTAAGCGTGCTAGAAAGTAGATGCTTAAACAAAGACAAAAAGATGGGAATAAGACTTCTTTATCAGTAGCTTTATCAAGAATTCGTCACGATCTTCATTAAAATCTGATTCGATCTCAACCCTGGCTTAAACCCAAAAAATCGCGTATTCAACAGAGAAAATTTCTAAATTTGATTTGCTTTTTGTAAATCTAAACAGAAATTATTGAGTGCTTTTTTTAAAAGCAAAAGAAAGCAAAGATAGAGCTTTTAAGAGACCTTAATCAGTATAAAGCTAACTGTTAACACTTTTACAGTCATGGACATAAAGATTGACTTGAGAAAAGGCCCCCTTCTGGAAGTCCACTTCTGAAAGTCCACTTCTGAAAGTCCACTTCTGAAAGTCCACTTCTGGAAGTCCACTTCTGGAAGCGCCCGTAGAGAGCTGACTTCAAAGTGACCCGAAGAAAGGGGGTCGGGATGAATGCCTTTAACGATTTTAAAGCGTTCCACTATCGGTGTTTTGGCGGCGTTTGGTGTAACATTTCAAGACCAAAGAGTTGCAATTCTCTTTGAATAAGTAAAGGAGGAAGAATTTGTCAAAATTAATTTTATAATGAGCAATTCTGGTGAAGTGCCTCTGAACACGTTCTATTTTTTGAATAAGATTTAATAGGGAAGGAGACCAAACCAAAGAAGCGTATTCAAGAATTGGGCGGACATAAGCAACAAAACACATAATGAAATAATAATGAAACAATAATGAAATAATAATGAAATAATAATTCAAATAAATAATTCAAATAATTACAGGCATGGACAAAAGTCTTTTAACGTTGGTTTTTAGAAGTTTGCTTTTTGTATATCTTGATCCAAAGCCGACCAATTTGCAAACGGTTAAAAGACTTAAGAATTTGAAAAGACTTAAGAAAGAATTTGCAAACGGTTATCTCTAAAGACTTATCTCTAATTTTAACATCACAAAAAGCTTTTAGCTATTAAACTTAGCATAAAAGCTATTAAACATCAAAAACAAATTGATTTTACAGTTATAGAAAACTTATATAATTAATTCTTATAGCCTCATCATAATCTCAAATAATTTGAAACCCAAACTTTTTGCATTCCAGGTTTCGACTATCCGCTGTGCAAGAATTTCTTCCATTCCTGCATGGAGTCAGGAAAATGCGAATCGGGAAACAGGTGGGGGTTTTTTTGGAAAATTGAAAACCGTAATTGCTTTCAAATTTGTACTCATCACAAAAATAAAGGAAGTCAAGGAATTGGCAAGAAAAAGTCGATTTCCGGAGAGAGAATTGAACCCTTGACCTTTTGCTTTCCAGGCAATTGCTCTAGCCAATAAGACAACTGCCAAAAGGCACTTAATTAGTCGAAAAATTTCATACAAACCATTCATAATATTGAAACATTACTTTTCTAATCATTCAAATGGAGGTTAGTCTTTGTAAGAATTCAAATTTAACTCTTTCAATCCAAATTCAATCCAAATCCAATCCAAATCCAATCCAAATCCAATCCAAATCCAATCCATCAAATTAGTTTGCACAAACGGCTACGATCAGACGCCTTGCTGTACATCGTCGGTCAGTAAATGTCCGTCGATCGCCGAGATTGGGGTGAATTGCCGGAAGCCGAAAAGTGTCAATTGGTTAGTTTTAAAGATTAATTCTCGATATCCTAGTCAATTTCGGCATTTCATGACTAAACCATTTAGGAAACCCAAAGAAAAAGCGATAAACTGGTAAAGAGAGCATGGAAAAGCACAAATTTGCACATATCGTATTTTCGCTAATAGTAGTGCACCCTGAGCGTCGCCTAAATTCCTCCAAATCTCGAGAACCGCTTATCAGAACCTATCGATGTGGGGTCGGAAAATGTAGCTGATGATGAGATCTTGTGGGGGATTTGAGTGTTGAGCTTCTGGGAAAGCTTGGAAACCGTAAAATCGTCATATCAACTCGGCTCGCTGGGGTGCACTACTATTAGAGAAAATACAGTAATTTATATCCTTTCACTTGCAAATTTTCGATTATTGTTTTCGGGAAGAATTTTGTTAACGATTTGGGTAGCCGGCTTCGGAATTCTATTATCTTTTTTTACACAAGCAAATTGAAACTTAGTTTTTATCTCTTTTGAATCTCATTAAAGTTCTAAAGAGTCAGAAAGTTTCCGAATTTGAGCTAAAGCTAGCACAATTCTACGTTAAAAAGTCACATTTAATTGTTATATTTAATTTACACTCAACTTTTAGAATATTAGAAAAAAGCGTGACAACTGCTTTACAAAGTACAATAACTTTACGTTAAAACGTTTAAATATGCCTTGCCAGCTGGCATTAATCAGAAATCAGCTCATCTTCCAGCCAAAACCAGCCAACATGTGAAGATGAATAGAAATCAAAGTACTTTTCGCGTTTGAATATTTGGCTGGATTAAGTTTTAGATCTATAAACGATAAAATAATTGATGAAGGCAATAGAAAACAAAGTGATACAAACAAGAGCTCAGTGCTAGCTAGCTGAGCTCTGTTTATATAGAGCGTTAGCTGAGCCCTGTTTGTATAGAGCGCTAGCTGAGCCCAATTTGTATCGAGCGCTAGCTGAGCTCTGTTTGTATCGAGCGATAGCTGAGCCCAGTTTGTATAGAGCGCTAGCTGAGCCCACAACAACCATCATTTAAACCAGCTCAATCTTAAAACTCCCAAAAATGAAAGAATGACCAATGGGGAAAAAGGAGCACGAAATAGTCAACGGCTTTTACCGATTACGGTAGAATAGGGGTATAAAACGGGAAACACTCAACCGGAAGTTGACTAAAAAGCACAATTTTTACTTTTCTCAAAGAAAAAACAAACTCTAGGTGTTACGCCGATTCGGATTGTCGTGGCCGTGACTCACTATCCGGAGATTTATGTTGTCCAACCGGTTGCAACTACAATATTTGTGTGCACTCGATTGAGGCACCGAAGTCACAGATTGCACTCCTCGCTGATAATATGGGTAAGCAATGTAAATAAAGTAAAATAAAGTAAAATAAAGTAAAATAAAGTAAATGATTCATTTTTAAAACGTTTCCCACTTTCCCCCGTAATCTTTCTTCAACTTTTATCCAAGCTATTCATAGAAAAGTTTTAAAATCGATGGCTTTGAAAGTCAAAAACTGAAACTACAGGGTGCGTCATAATTATTGCAACAAGATACTCAAGGCATTGCACACCAAGAAGTTTCACTGGAAGAAGATTTTTAAACAGAAATAGCTTTATTTAACAGTAACAAATAAGGAAACAAGAGATCATTCGATATGACCGCATTTTGCCTTGATAACGGCCCTTAATCGGTTCGGATATGCCTCCACTGCGGCCCGAATGTCATCTTGAGGAGTCGCCTTCCATCCTTTGGTCAAAGACTTCTTCAAGGTCAAAGACTTCTTCAAAGAATCCAAACTTTTGTGTTTTCGAGAGCAGACATTAGCCTCTAAGATTGCCCAAATGGAAAAGTCCATCACATTGAGATCCGGTGAGTTTGGAGGCCATTCATCCTTGGTGATCACTGAGGGAAAGTTGGCCACACACCAGTCCTGAACCGTCTTCTTCGTGTGAGCGGGAGGCAATTAGGCAAGAATAAAGAAGGTAGAACGCAACACAACAAAAAAGGGGCAAAAAAAAATAAGAAAGCTGTTTGGAAAACGATCTTTGAACTCTTGTTGCAATAATTATGACGCACCCTGTAATGACATTCTGTTGTTTTTAGCATTTAAATCTTCATCTTAATTGCAATCTAATCTTCCTTAATTGCTTTGTTACCTTAATTGCTTTGTTATTTTGAAACCTTTAATCTTTAAAACCACTTTTTACCTAGAAAAATCATTTCACAAAGAATTTGATTAAGTTTTTTTAGGTTTTACGATAAAATCAAATAAAATCAGCTCAAATCAAATAAAATTCTCGGTTTTTTGTTCAACAATTTAACATCTTAACGAAAGGTTTATCTTAAAGCAATCGAAATTAAGCTCTTTTTCTTGATTAATCAAATTTCATACTATTCTAAATATTCTAGCTTTACTTATGAGGAGAGACTTGCTTTTTTTGAACTAAAAACTTTACAGCATCGTCGCTTTGTCATTGATTTAGTCGAAACTTTCAAAATCCTCCGTTGTAAACAGATTAGCCCTTTGTTTATAGACTTTTTCAAATTTAAACCGCGGTCAGGGCCCAGAAGTGGCTCATTCCTTTTGCAAATTCCCTTTGCTTCCAATGCCTCTTTATCAAATTCATTTCCCGTTAGAGCCGCTAGATTATGGAACTTGCTCCCAAACGACATACGAGAAATTCAGTCGCTTTTCATATTCAAGAAACGTATCGATGCTTTAGATCTAGTGGCTCTTTGCCGTAAGTAATTGGCTTATTGATTTCAGTATGTATTGTATGATTAAGTATCACTGTGCATTTCTCTATGATTTCTTTCACTTTATCGTTTGAATAAAGTATTATTATAATAGTTTATTAAAAAGAAATTAATTTTTTCATTTTTAAAGGAACTTGTGTAAAAGCTAGAATTGATTTAGTAATTTAGTGATTCTAATTAGGCTTGTAAGCGAAAAATTGAATGTCTTTTGATTTTCAAAGCAAAATCCAACGAATGGAGCAGCTCTGACAGACAACTGCGACAGAAAAACGTAGCTGCCTCATTTGTTGATCTTTTCTTTGAAAATTAAAATTTATTCAATGTTTCCGCTTCCAAGCTCGATTCTAATGTAAAAACATTATTCTGTTAAAAATGGTTTCAAAATCGAATTTTCTCTAATAGTAGTGCACCAAGAGCGTCGCCTAAATTGCTCGAAATCTCGAGAACCGCTTATCAGAGCCTATCGATGTGGGGTCGGAAAATGTAGCTGACGATGAGATCTAGTGGGGGATTTGAGTGTTGAGCTTTTGCAAAAGCTTGGAAACCGTAAAATCGTCACCAACTCGGCTCGCTGGGGTGCACTAACTATTAGAGAAAATACGGTAATAAGACATAAAGGTCTAAAGAGTGGTCTCTCTTTAGACCTTTAGGCTTACGCGCGTGGCTCTCCAGGATCTCCATATTATTCGTAGCTACTTTGTATTATATTATTTACCAATAATGTAATACAAACAAAGGATACATATCGTATTTTCTCTAATAGTAGTGCCTAACTTGAGCGTTGCCTAAATTGCTCGAAATCTCGAAAGGCGCCTATCAGAACCTATCGATGTGGGGTCGGAAAATGTAGCTGACGATGAGATCTATTGGAGGATTAGAGTGTTGAGCTTCTGCAAAAGCTTGGAAACCGTAAAATAGTCATTAACTCGGCTGTGCACGACTATTAGAGAAAATACGGTATCCACTTTTTATTTAATTTTGTGAGGGTTCACAAAGGATATCGAAAGATATAAAAAGTGGATAGATTTAGAAAAAAAGACAAGATTACGGTTGAAAGAAAAGGACACGATTTAGCAAAAGCAATCAAAAAAAAACCTTGCTTGTTTTAAAGCTTTGCTTTCACTCTTTAATTAGGTTTCTCGTCGTTTCCACTTTTAACCCCGCCACCACAACAACCACCATCAACGCCAGCATCGACAACGAATCATCACATTGGTTCGGTTTCAAAAAAAAAAAACTCTAGAAGAACTAGAGATATTGCTTGCTTGATAAATGCTTGCAAACAATTGTACGCTAAAACCCAGCGACCAAAACGCTTTTACTTTGTTTACACAAACTTACACTAGGCTTCACTAGGCTTGAATTGAAATTTGCTTTTTTTCACAAACAAGATTTCAATCTTAAACCACTTGTTTACCTCGATTTAAATGTTATCTAAAATCTTTTTGAAACTAAAATATTAAAACTTTTAAAGCTCTCACTTTTTCAAATCAATTTTCAGTATTTTCTCGCCTTTTGGCTCAGGAACAATGCCCGGATCCGTGGAAAATCGAGGTGCGTTTGTTCAATCGTTTTTTTTTCCTTAGTTAAATAAACTAAAGAACTATCAGACTTAAATTGTTCAATTTAAGTCAATTTTTCACTCGTCAATTCACTTTCAATCAAAATCAAGAGTGAAAAGACGTGTTTTTCGCAAAAAAAAAATCTATAAAACCCTCTACGAAGAGATTGGCTGAATGAATTTCTCTGAAAATTTGGCTATACACCTAACTTTTTATGCTCTATCTTTTATCTATTGACACGAAGATAGGTTTTCTTAGCTAAAAGTGTCTAAACTGGATCATCGAGCGACTTTTTGACTACCCGATTTCAGGCTTCCAAAAAAATCTAGACATAAGACATTTCCAATCCCGTTTTAATGTTGTTTTTGACATTTCTAATCCCCTTTTGCGTATGCGTGATCTTTCTAAGTCAATTTGGGTTCACTTTCAATTAAAACCGAAAGTGAAAACACGTGTTTTTCGCAAAAAATCTATAAATCCTCTACAAAGAGATTAGTTAAATGAATTTCTCTAAAAATTTCGCTATATACCTAACTTTTTATGCTCTATCTTTTATCTGTTGACACGAAGCTAGGTTTCCTTAGCTAAAAGTGTCTAAACCGGATCATCGAGCGACTTTTTGACTACCCGCCTTCACACTTCCAAAAAAAAGACATTCTAAATTTGTTTAAATGCTAGTTTGTAGAAAAATAATTGGCCTTTTTAATGAAATAAAACGTTAACACTTTTTATTTAAAGTAAACCATAGGCTAATTGATGGATTTATTGGTTTCAAAAAGAGGATTACGAAAAGAAACAAGAAAGAAACGAGACGACTTTCTGAAAAGCCTAATTTTTTTGTTTAGATTTGATAAATTTGAAAGAGATAAATTTTCAGGTGAAATGTAATGTTCGACAGCCGACCAGCTGGTGCGCGAAGCACTCGGATTGTCCAGATGTGAACACAGTGAATCCAAGAAAGTGAGTGGATTTGGAAGGCAATTCAAAGTCATATTTAGTCATATTCAGTCATCTTTATTCATATTTATTCATATTTAGTCATATCAAAGTCAGAATTCAATTTTTTCCCTTGTTTCATACATTGAAATCGCTCAGAACTGGCAGAAGTTGTGATTTTGAAAGAATTTTAGAATTAGAATATGTTTAGCTGATCTTTTTTTTAAAAACCGTGCACTTTCTGCCGTAATCTTGTTTATTTTCATTCAAATCTACCGTAAATATTGTAATAGTACCCCACCGCCATAATGACGGTGCGGAGTGTTGTGTAGTCTAGCTTTGGATGCGTTTTTCTCGACACTGATTTATGCTACAATGTGCGCTTAGGTATCAAAAAATAGCCCTGAATTTCAGCTATTTTTTTGATACCAAAGGCGACTCATAAATGATCCATCAACGACCAGTTTTTTGACCTGAGAAAAGGGAAAAAGAAAACAAGCTATGACAGAGTTTTGTTTGAAAAAAAACTGATGTACATAACATTACTGATAATCGTACATAATATTGTGCTAATAGTAAGCTCATAGCTAATAAAAATAGCTAATAGCTAATAGAAATAGCTACCGTAAATCCTGTAATAGTACCCCACCCCCATAATGACGGTGCGGAGTGTTGTGTAGTCTAGCTTTGAACGAGTTTTTCTCAACACTGTTTTATGCTACAATGCGTGCTTGGGTGTCAAAAAATAGCTAAACTTCAGGGCTATTTTTTGATACCAAAGACGCATTTTTCGAAAGTACGGGTGCTTTGAAAAAAATGAACTTTTGATGAACAAAAAATGCTACTAAAAAACTTTTGCGACTACGCGACTGTACGAGGGGGGGTCGGGTACTATTACAGTATTTACGGTATCCACTTTTTGTATCTTTCGACATCCTGAACCCTCACAGGCTCAGGTCAAAAAGTTGATTGATTTGATAAAAATTAAAGACGAGATCACGATAGAAAGAGAAAAACAAGGTTAAAAGGTTAAGGTTTAGAAAAGGTTTAGAGGTAAAGGTAAAAGGAAAAGGTAAAAGGTTTAGAAAAGGTTAAAATCGAGAACAATTTCATTTCAGATGTTGCCCAACAGTTTGCGGCTACACAGCGTGCATGGTGAAATATAACAATAAATGGATGATCGCTTAAAGCGATCATTGAATATTTCTATTTCTCTTTGTACATTTCTATTCAAAATTTGTTCATTTTTAGCAACTTTGGTTAATTTATTGTTTCTTTTCTCTATTTTGTGATACCTCAATTGAATAACTTATTCTAGTACTTGTACTTACGATTTGTACTTGTATTTACTACTTGTACTTGTACTTGTACTTATTACTTGGACTTGTACTTGTACTTACTACTTGCACTTATTACTTGTACTTGTACTTATTGCTTGTACTTGTACTTGTACTTATTACTTGTATTTGTACTAACTACTTGTACTTGTACTAACTACTCGTACTTGTACTAACTACTTGTACTTGTACTAACTACTTGTACTTGTCCTTGTACTTCTTACTTGTACTTGTACTCGTACTTCTTACTTGTACTTCTTACTTGTACTTGTACTTGTACTTATTACTTGTACTTGTACTTCTAGTACTTATTTTAGTACTTTCTAGTACTTGTTATACCCGCAAAATTTGGATTTTAAAAGCTTCAAAAGAACTGAGTCCAGTGTGAGATTGGATATAGAATAATGATAATAATAATAATTGCAAATGCAAATTGCGAACGAAATAGCAAATTTTCGATATATGCGATTTTTAATCGCGCTAATTTTGCGGCTCTATAACAAGATTATAACCTTTTTTTTTCTTATTTTTGATCACTATTTGTCCCTTGACGGCTATCGTAACCAAAATTTTAAAGATTTTTCATCAAAAACATAGTATTCCTTAGTATTCCCGATTCCAAACTGTGATAGAACCCTTTAGTCGTATTGTGCGTTATTTTCTGAATTATAAAATCGTCAAATTGTCAAAACCCTAAACGAAAAGGTGAATTTTAAACCAGCCATTGAGCCATTGACCAAGTCAATTTAAGCGTAATACCAACAATTTTGACTTCAACTCTTTCCTTTTCAAATTTTTGTAAAAGTAACACTTTTTAGCAAGGTTTCGCTAAAGTTTAAATAACAATTTCAAAATTTTTCGCTTTAAATTGTTTCAATGGCTAAAAGCGTGCTTGTTTTAGCAAAGAAACTTTGAGTAATAACAATTACTAAATGGCGTTTCGAGTTATGAAGTGAATGGACAAACACACACACACACACATACAAACTTTGCATCTCAAAATAAGTAAGACTTTAGATCAGCAATGAAAATGATAAGAATTGATTCGCTAACCACCAGCCATTGATCAAGCCAATTTAAGCGTAATACCAACAATTTTGAAACTCAACTTTTTCTTTTTCAAATTTTGGATTTTAAAACGGACTGACCTAGGCATAAAAGAGAGAAAAAAGTCTTCAGATATCACAGTGGACAAACACACACACACACACACACAAACTTTGCATCTCATAATAAGTAAGACTTTAGATCAGCAATGAAAATGCTAAGAATTTATTTGTTAAGCCACCAGCCATTGATCAAGCCAATTTAAGCGTAATATCAACAATTTTGAAACTCAACTTTTTCCTTTTCAAATTTTTGTAAAAGTAACACTTTTTAGCAAGGTTTCGTTAAAGTTTAAATCACAATTTCAAAATTTTCCTTTAAAGATTATGCTTTAAATTTCAAAATAGCTTTTAAAACGGATTGACCTAAGCATCAAAGAGAGGCAAAAGTCTTCAGGTACCACAGTGGACAAACACACACACACACAAACCTTGCATCTCATAATAAGTAAGACTTTAGATCAGCAATGAAAATGATAAGAATTGATTCGCTAACCACCAGCCATTGATCAAGCCAATTTAAGCGTAATACCAACAATTTTGAAACTCAACTTTTTCCTTTTCAAATTTTGGATTTTAAAACGGACTGACCTAGGCATAAAAGAGAGATAAAAGTCTTCAGATATCACAGTGGACAAACACACACACACACACACACAAACTTTGCATCTCATAATAAGTAAGACTTTAGATCAGCAATGAAAATGCTAAGAATTTATTTGTTAAGCCACCAGCCATTGACCAAGTCAATTTAAGCGTAATACCAACAATTTTGAACTTCAACTCTTTCCTTTTCAAATTTTTGTAAAAGTAACACTTTTTAGCAAGGTTTCGCTAAAGTTTAAATAACAATTTCAAAATTTTCCTTTAAATCATTTCAGTGGCTAAGTTCTTAGTTCTTAGCTAAAAACGTTGTTGTTTTTAGCAAAGAAGTTGTTTAGAGTTAAAATCGAGTTTTTAGGTGAAATCTTTCAAAATCCAAGTCTTAAAGCCCTTTTTTTTGCCTCGGAAAACACACTCAAAAAGCAATTCAATCAAAAAGGCCAAAAAGTTTTGATTCAAGAAAAGAGCAAATAAATTTTCAAATATTTTAGAGAAATTTTTGTTTTAAACCATTCATTGTTGTGTTTTTTATAGATTGATTGGACCTAAAGTTGTCTAATGTTAAAAATTTTGAAACTTGTTTTTAAGGATCCATCATTTTTAGCCGATTTTTTACCAAAAAACAACAATTTCAATGAGAAAAAGCTGAAAAAAGCTGAAAAAGGCTGAAAAAGCTGAAAAAACTGTTCCAAACTTCTCATCTTTACGTTTAAGTGAGAAAAAATTACCGTAAATATCGTAAAAACTTTAATAGAACGGCCCCCCTAGAAGAGCGTCGCGTAGTCTAAGTTTCCTCTCATACAAACGCTCACATCTCGACACCAGTACGTTTTTTTTCCTCGCTTTGGTATCGAATTAAAGTAGAGAAAATGGGTGTTTTTTTGTGATATAACACATATTTTTAGCGTTAGCCAGCGCTTAGAAGAAATGATTGAAAAGTAGCAAAAAAGCCGATTTTTATCATTTTTCAATCATTTTTTCTAAGCGCTGGTTACCGCTAAAATACGTGTTATATCACAAAAAAACACCCATTTTCTCTACTTTAATTTGATATCTAAAAATGCGATTAACAAACATCCTGGTGTCAAGATATGAGCGTTTGTTTGAGAGTAAACTTTGACTACGCGACGCTCCTATAGGGGGCTTCTATTAGAGCTTTCCGGTAGTGAAAAGTTGTTAAGAAACAAACGATTTTAGGAGGGATTTTCTTTTCTTCATTTCTTAACCTGCCCATCTTTCCGAATTTGCTTATATTTTGAGACCCACTAATTTATGGTAGAAAAACCCAAGCATTCCCCCGTCGACATTCAAAATGACCGAATTGCAGAGGAGGAGGTGTTTGTAACGGAAACTCGCCGCAACTTCACGAAAGCGTAATACCAAGAATTTTGACTTCAACTTTTTCCTTTTCAAATTTTTATAAAAGTAACACTTTTTAGCAAGGTTTCGCTAAAGTTTAAATAACAATTTCAAAATTTTCCTTTAAAGATTATGCTTTAAATTGCAAAATGGCTTTTAAAACGGATTGACCTAGGCATAAAAGAGAGATAAAAGTCTTCAGGTACCACAGTGGACAAACACACACACACACACACAAACCTTGCATCTCATAATAAGTAAGACTCTTAGATCAGCAATGAAAATGATAAGAATTTATTCGTTAAAGCAACCCCCATTGATCAAGTCAATTTAAGCGGGATACCAACAATTTTGAAACTCAACTTTTTCTTTTTCAAATTTTGGATTTTAAAACGGACTGACCTAGGCATAAAAGAGAGATAAAAGTCTTCAGATATCACAGTGGACAAACACACACACACACACACACACACACAAACCTTGCATCTCATAATAAGTAAGACTCTTAGATCAGCAATGAAAATGATAAGAATTTATTCGTTAAAGCAACCGCCATTGATCAAGTCAATTTAAGCGTAATACCAACAATTTGGACTTCAACTCTTTCCTTTTCAAATTTTTGTAAAAGTAACACTTTTTAGCAAGGTTTCGCTAAAGTTTAAATAACAATTTCAAAATTTTCCACTAAATATATGCTTTAAATTTCAAAATGGCTTTTAAAACGGATTGACCTAGGCATAAAAGAGAGATAAAAGTCTTCAGGTGCCTTGACAAAAGAAGCTCTTTTCCTTCGTCTCAAGTAGGCCTTTTCCCCTTTTTCGATTTCCCTCCGACCTAAACAAATTTATGTGAAATCCTCTCTTTTGATAGAAAAAGAGGTTTTTCGTTGTGAAATGCAAAAAGAAAAGCAGAATGAAAAAGCAAAATTTCCTTAAAGTCGATCACGTCATTTCACACCATTTTCTGAGCTAAATGCATCGATTTGAACATTTTTTCGATTTTGAATTTTGTTTACTTATCGCAAAAGTGATTAGTCGATTAATGTGGGGCAATTAGTTTAACCAGGCGATAAATTAAAACAACTTAGAACTCTTAAAATTATAGTTTAAAGCACTTCGAACTTAGAATTAAAACTTCAAAACTTCAATTTAATTTGAAAAAGCTTATTGAAAATAATCCGAGTGAAATTCAGCAAAAAAACATTTCTTTTTGCCGAATTGAAAGGCTTTTTAGAGTTTGATGTAGCCATTTTTCTTAAAACTATTACCTTTCACTTCAGATTCTTGACTTTATCGGGCAACTAGTGAAATTCATGCCTTCATGTCTTCATGCCTTCATGTCTTTATGCCGTACTCGGCTCGCTCCAGAAAATCCCGAGAAAATTCATGCTCAGTTACCTTCTAAATCTAGATCTAAATCTAGATCTAGATCTAAATCTAAATCTAAATCTTAAAAAATTACTATATTTAAAATAAATTCTTCTTTTTGGAAGACCACCAATTCGAAATTTTGGATTTCATAAGTTCATAACACCAAATTATTCAAGAAGAGCCAGATAAGGGGTTGCTTAGACCGAAACGTATTAAATTGTTAAAAATGATCACTAAAATCGCTTGATAAACCGCAGTTTATCAAACAAAACTATGATATTTCAACTTTTGCATTGTCAAATACGTTTTGAATACGGTCAAACCTCGATTTAATAATTCTCAAGGAACCGGGATTCTCTATCGTTAAATCGAACGTCTTTATAAAGTAAATAGCTTTCAAGGGATCAAAAATTGATATCGTTAAATCGAGAGAATCATTAAATCGATGTAATTTCAAATTGAATGCAATTTCAATTTCACTGTAATTTCGACTGTAATTTCAATGCAAGAATTCGCCAGATCTGATTGAGGACTGGGTTACTCACTGGATATCCCTGAACTTGAAACTTAAACTTTGTAACCATTAGTCCATTGCTAACATGTGTATTTTGAATTATAATTTTAAATTTTAATAAATACTTCCAAATTTTGATTATTATTTTGTTTATTAGTTTGTTTATTGCTTTGTTTATTACTTTATTTATTACTTTATTTATTACTTTATTTATTACTTTGTTTATTACTTTGATTATTACTTTGTTTATTAGTTTGTTTATTACTTTCTTTATTACTTTATTTATTACTTTATTTATTACTTTATTTATTACTTTATTTATTACTTTGTTTATTACTTTGATTATTACTTTGTTTATTAGTTTGTTTATTACTTTCTTTATTACTTTATTTATTACTTTATTTATTACTTTATTTATTACTTTATTTATTACTTTGTTTATTACTTTGATTATTACTTTGTTTATTAGTTTGTTTATTACTTTCTTTATTACTTTATTTATTACTTTATTTATTACTTTATTTATTACTTTATTTATTACTTTGTTTATTACTTTGTTTATTACTTTGTTTATTGCTTTGTTTATGAGTTTGTTTATTAATTAGAAAAATGAAAGGTAACTGAGAATGAATTTTTTTGGAATGAAGCATTTTACTAGTTGCCCATTATTTCCATTATTCATTATTCCATTATTCCAGATTAATCCCTAAAAATGACACTGATGGTAATCCCCGTCTCACAGCACAAATTAATCAAAATCCGGAAAAGAAATCGGCAAAAGTTAACGAAAATCGCTCTTTATTGCTCGACAGCCGGCGCTTTCTGCAATCTGTTGGGTGAGATTTTTTAAAGTTTCAAAATTTCCATATTAATCCCCATTTTGAGTCGCTTCTTTAATGTCCGAAGGTTCCGAAATATTTGGTATTCTAAATGCGAAAAATTTCAAACCATTTTATTAAGCGATTAGTTAATTTTTTGAAATTCTTTTGCAGTAGATAGTGGTGTTCAAGTATTTCCAAAAGAAATTATCTCAAGGAGTGAGATCATCGCTTAGGAAAATGGTTTGGCATTTTTCGCATTTGGTATTCCAAATGGTTTGTTCAAATGCTGGATAGGGGCAATGAAGAAATTGAATCATTGTGTTGAATTAGGAAACGGGACGGATTCCTTTTTCAAGTCTTATTTTGATTCTCTTTTTAATCTCAATTATTAGCATGATTTTAACTAGCTATTTCTGGGTTTAAGAAATTTCAATTTTGATTTATTAACTATTCATTTGAATTGACAACTTCTAGAGTTTTTGGGAGAGATTTCTATTTCTAGAAGAGATTAATACATAGAGGACTACGTGACTTGATGCCGAGCCACGTTTGGCAATCCGTTTGGGCCACGTGACTCGATGCCGAGCCACGTTTGGCAATCCGTTCGGGCCACGTGACTCGATGCCGAGCCACGTTTGGCAATCCGTTCGGGCCACGTGACTCGATGCCGAGCCACGTTTGGCAATCCGTTTGGGCCACGTGACTCGATGCCGAGCCACGTTTGGCAATCCGTTTGGGCCACGTGACTCGATGCCGAGCCACGTTTGGCAACCCGTTCGGACCATTCGATGCCGAGTCACGGCTGTTTCTTGTGAATGGCTGGACCAAAAGAACTGAAAATTTGTCAGGACATGTAATTCTGGATCCTCTTTTCGAATCCGGCATTAGTTTTATCAGAAAGTTGTGTGATTTTTCGTAAAAAGCGGAAAAATCGGGTGTTACCTCGTTTTCCGTGGCCGAGTGGTTTAAGGCTTTAATCTGAGGCTCCAATAAAAAAGTTTAAGTTTTACTAAAAATCTAAGATCAAATTTGGATTGCGGATAATTTTTTACCCTTAGTGACAAGTTTTTGTGTTATATTTTTGTGTTACAATTTTGAATCTTGTTCCGAAACGGTAGTTCTGATAAAACAGCGCGATCATCTATGTGTTAAAGTAGAAAAAAAACAAAACGAAACTCATGTGAAGAGTAATGATTTAAATAGAAATCTTTTTGTTGACTCTCTTTTTTAAAATATTTCTTTACAGGCAGCTCAACAGACAGCTGGATTTCGACATCCGAAGTTCTCAAATATTACCGCTTTCCGAATTCCACTGAATATGTAAGATTTCAAAGATTTATCGCATAATTTGTCGTAGTTGTCATGTTTATAGTTGTCATAGTTTTGTCGCTTACTTTTGTAGTTTATTTGGTAGTTTACTTTGTAGTTTACTTTGTCGTTTACTTTGTAGTTTACCTTGTAGTTTACTTTGTAGTTTACTTTGTCGTTTACTTTGTAGTTTACCTTGTAGTTTACTTTGTCGTTTATCTTGTAGTTTACCTTTTAGTTTACCTTGTAGTTTATCTTGTAGTTTACTTTGTAGTTTACTTTGTCGTTTACTTTGTAGTTTATCTTGTAGTTTATCTTGTAGTTTATCTTGTAGTTTACTTTGTCGTTTACCTTGTAGTTTACCTTGTAGTTTACTTTGTCGTTTATCTTGTAGTTTACCTTGTAGTTTACCTTGTAGTTTACTTTGTCGTTTACTTTGTATTTTGTAATGTTCATGTCTAGTATGGCTTTCTATTCGAGTATTTACAGTTGTTTTTTTACAGAGTATCAGCCACGATGGATATGGCATTGAACAGGTTTATTTCAAGAATGCCACCCTTGGACCATGGACTTTTTGCTGGTCAGATCGTGAGTAATAAAGAGAAAACAAAGTCGATTAGCCATTTCTAACAGCTACTTACGAATTCGATTGCTACCCGGTGAACTACTGGATCGATGATGAGCCATCCGATGTTACAACTGGAGTTCAACGTTGGTTATTTTTAAAGATAGAATTCTTACAAGATTCTTACAAAATTCTTACAAATATCTACAAAACTCTTACAAATATCTACAAGAAACAAAGCAATTAACTAAATTAGCTTTTCTTATCAATATATTATTAGGTTTTTTAGAAAGTATAAAACGAAAAGACTTGAACAGCTTAATAGAATATCTACAAATATCTATAAATATCTACAAGCATCTATAAATATCTATAAATATCTACATAGGGTCATATTTATCAATTATTGGTTTTCAATAAATGCAAGTGATATCACTGACTGAAACGCCACCGCTCACTATCGACTCACTCTTGCTCCACACAGCCGCACAGCTGCTTTATTTGCGTTTTCTTCAATCCAAGAATCAAGCCTAGAATCAATAAGCGAGATAGGGTCATATTTATCAATACAAATTTATAAAAAACGCGTTTATTACACGAAAAGAAATCGGAAAGAAAACAAAAAGAAAACCAAAAGAAAACAAAAAAGAAAACGCAAATGAAGCAGCTGTGCGGCTGTGTGGAGCAAGAGTGAGTCGATAGCGGCGGCGTTTCAGTCAGTGATATCACTTGCATTTACTGAAAACCAATAATTTGATCTAAACAATGGATACATAAATAAGAAATAAAGGTCTAAATACACAAACAAAGGAATTAACTAAATTAGCTTTTCTTATCAATAGATTATTAGGTTTTTAGAGATTAGAATAGAATAGAAAGTATAAAACGAAAAGACTTGAACAGCTTAGTAGAATATCTAAAAATATCTATAAATATCTATAAATATCTACAAATATCTATAAATATCTATAAATATCTACAAATAGATATTTGACACAAATGTAATGTTAGCATTTGATTTTAGCTCAATTCAGCTAGCAATCAAATAAGATTTTGACTTTTTTGAGATACTTTTCAAAGATTTCAAACAATTCATTGAAACTTCAACTTTAAAAAGCAAAAAAAGTAAAGAAATTTTTCAGAAGGCGTTCGCAAATCCTCACTTTTCATGGTGCTCGGCGTAATTTTTGATCTTCTTGGTAAAAATTTAAAAAAAAAAACAATGTTTGCCTCTTCTTATGTGATTAGAAAACTTTTCGGAAGTTAAACTTTGAAAAAGTAATCTGATAAGTAAAAAAAAACTGATGTTTCCTGGAGTTTGATGATGTAAAATAAAGTTAAAACAATTCGAAGATGGAATTGAAATCCTTTAACTCTTTTCCAGGTGCTCTTGTTGGATATTTGTGCTTTCGTAGAAGAAATCCGTATGGATGGCTGCTTTGCTCGGCGTTATTGCATATTTTTGCGGGTTTGTTTAGAAAACAAGGATCTAATGGAAGGCTATTAACTAAACTACCGTAAATACTGTAATAGTACCCCACCCCCACAATGACGGTGCGGAGTGTTGTGTAGTCTAGCTTTGAACGAGTTTTTCTCGACACTGGTTTATGCTACAATGTGCGCTTTGGTATCAAAAAATAGCCCTGAATTTCAGCTATTTTTTTGATACCAAAGACGCATTTTTTGAAAGTACGGGCGCTTTAAAAAAAATGAAATACTAAAAAACTATCAATTAATCCGAGTCTAGTCACCGTCAAGCCGTTTATTGGAACCATTGAACGTTAGAAGATCTTTTTAAAGTAGATTTTGACAAATCTTCTTTTTCAGGCCCAAAATGAAATATTTTACGGCTCAAAACTACATACTTCTGTGTAGGGATTCTTATGTTTCAAATTCGAAAGCTATTCATTTCAAAGTGTCTGATTTTGGCACACTATCAGGCACGAAACAACGTAGCGTAGCCTAGATTATCAAGTGCTTGATTCTAAATGTTATATACGTACCGTAAATACTGTAATAGTACCCCACCCCCATAATGACGGTGCGGAGTGTTGTGTAGTCTAGCTTTGAACGAGTTTTTCTCAACACTGGTTTATGCTACAATGCGCGCTTAGGTATCAAAAAATAGCCCTGAATTTCAGCTATTTTTTGATACCAAAGACGCATTTTTTGAAAGTACGGGCGCTTTAAAAAAAATAAAATACTAAAAACTACGCGACTACGCGACTTTGCGACTTTGCGACTACGAGACTGTACGAGGGCGGTGGGGTCCAATTACAGTATTTACGGTAGCTTTTCTTATCAATAGATTATTAGGCTTTTTAGAAAGTACAAAAGTACAAAACGAAAATACTTGAACAGCTTAATAGACAACGTAATCGTGGCTCCATTCAATCAGCTAAATTTTCATTCAATCAACTAAATTTTGATTTCATTGATTGAGTCTTGTGATTCCTAAATGGAAATACAAAAAAAATTGAGGTGATCAAAAGCAAATTGGTGAGCAGTTTACGGCAAAAAAATAGATTTTTCTTTAACTGGATTCCAGGGATGACCAATTTCCTGTGCATCATCGTTTATATGGCATCCGTATCAAGAGAAGTTCGTTTTTAAACCTTCAGAGTAGAGATTGGATTAGTTAAACTAGTGGAGATTCTTTTAAATAAACTTTGAAATGTTAAGATTTCGCTTTATGACACAACTCAATAGAATTGAAATATCTCTTCTTGAAATAACAATCTCTTCCCTAGGTTGGCAACAAAATCTACCCGGCTTCCGAATTGGACGATCCGATATTCTACTATCACTATGGCTTTTCATTCATTTTGGTTAAAGTATCGTTTTTAAAAGATATGGTACCATACCATGGTATCCCCATCCAAGGTATCCTTTGATGTCAACTTTGATTGATTACCATGATATCCCCGTACCTAGGTATCCCCATCCATGGTATCCCCATCCATGGTATCCCCATCCATGGTATCCCCATCCATGGTATCCCCATCCAAGGTATTCTTTGATGTCAACTTTGCTTGATTACCATGATATCCCCGTACCTAGGTATCCCCATCCATGGTATCCCCATCCATGGTATCCCCATCCATGGTATCCCCGTACCTAGGTATCCCCATCCATGGTATCCCCATCCATGGTATCCCCATCCATGGTATCCCCGTACCTAGGTATCCCCATCCATGATATCCCCATCCATGGTATCCCCGTACCTAGGTATCCCCATCCATGGTATCCCCATCCAAGGTATCCCCATCCATGGTATCCCCCGTACCTAGGTATCCCCATCCATGGTATCCCCATCCATGGTATCCCATCCATGGTATCCCCGTACCTAGGTATCCCCATCCATGGTATCCCCATCCATGGTATCCCCATCCATGGTATCCCCATCCATGGTATCCCCGTACCTAGGTATCCCCATCCATGGTATCCCCATCCATGGTATCCCCATCCATGGTATCCCCATCCATGGTATCCCCGTACCTAGGTATCCCCATCCATGGTATCCCCATCCATGGTATCCCCATCCATGGTATCCCCATCCATGGTATCCCCGTACCTAGGTATCCCCATCCATGGTATCCCCATCCATGGTATCCCCATCCATGGTATCCCCATCCATGGTATCCCCATCCATGGTATCCCCATCCATGGTATCCCCATCCAAGGTATCCCCATCCATGGTATCCTTTGATGATCCTTTGATTACCATGGTATCCCCGCACCTACAGTGGAGGACAATTAAATAGAACCGATGCTCCATTTGCACAAAGATCGCGAATTTTCCATGATTTTCACACCCATTCAAAAAGACATCCACAGCTATTTTTTTTGTGATGTTATCTTAGCTTTCGTTTGGCACCGCTCTTAGCTGAAAGTTCTTTCTCTGTAACTTGGTAGTTTAGATTTTCTTCAGCCTACCCCATTATAGCGGCGACAATTAAATAGAACCGATCTTGAAATCTGCTTTTTTTCGGAACTTTCGATTTAATTAGTTTTGTTGCAAGTTTTCTCTTTTTAGATATGGGACGAGGTATTCATATCACACCATTTCAAAGACAGGAAGTTGTGAAATTACGAAAAGAGGGCAAGAGTTTTGCGGCAAATGGAGCACCGGTTCTATTTAATTGTCCGCCACTGTAGGTAACCCCCACCCATGGTACCCCCACCCATGGTATCCCCCATCCATCGTATCCTTTGATGTCAACTTTGATTTATTCGATTTCAGTGCAGCTTTTTGTTGACAGAAACGGCGGCTCTTTTGACAGTGGTTGTCTTTATGGCGAAACGGGATGAAAGGTTTTACCGAGTGAACTTTTTGCTGTAAACTTTTTGCTGTAAACACACCCCCTTCTAGTGCACTGAATTCTATATTCCTCTTGCAGTTTGAGCCATGAGAAAAGTGAAGAATTGTGTGCGCTAGAAAGGCTGGGTTTACAAGGAGAACAAAGTAGACAAAGGAAAAAGAAACTGAATTGTAGAGTTGAACTTTGAGGTGATCAAAAATGAAACAGTGTAATTTTGTCTAAAATTTGTTTTTGTCTAAATTTTCTCTCAAATTACAGAACTTTTCACCGCTACAAGATGCGCTCGTTGATGAATTTCAAGAAAATTACCCAAGTGAGTCAAGAGAAATCATTTCCAAGATTTTCTCATCTAAACTGCTCAACTTAAACTGCTGTATTCTCTGATTCAAACTGCTCAAATCAAAAGGCTGTAATTCTTGAGCTTGAACTTGAATTCTTCTTTTCATCTTCTTTTTCAATTCAATTCAATTCAATTATAATTTCATGTCATCGATTTCTAGGACGGCGATTTGAGAACAGCCGTTCCAGAGGCGACCACCGGGCATACACACGCGAGATTTTCTTCTTCAAGACATCGGTTAGAAAAAGTTTTTGCCTTTTATTGGGTTGGTGAATTGAAAACTGCGGGCTATTGTCAGTTTGAGCACTTTCTTCAAAAGAAACCCATTTTGGGGTCAATGGAAAAGTTGTAGAGAATCAAAAATTAAGCTTATATCCAAATTTTCAGAACGATTCAAAAACTGGTTTTCAAGAAATGCCAAATTTACGAATTTTCACAAAACTTTCATTTTAAGCGAAACTACTAAGTGTATCTTTTTGGAAATTTGGCTATAAGCCTAATTTTTGATTCTCTACAACTTTTCTATTGACACCAAAATGGGTTTCTTTTGAAGAAAGTGCTCAAATGCTCAAACTGGGACATCTCCAGTCCTCCATTTTTGAGTCTCACACTTGTCTCACACACAAACCGAAATCCTACTACGAAAAAGGAATCCACAAATTGCCTGTAAAATGGGCAGAAGTCGTCAATAATAATGGAAATTATTTGGAATGAATTGATGGTTTTATGTTGAATAAATTTTAGTTCAAAGTCCCGCAGTTTTCAATTCACCAACCCAATAGCTTCGTTTTTTCTGATGTCTGATAGTTTGCACAATAATAAGCCTTTTTCAGAGTCTCATTCGTGGGGAGTCGTGGAAGTCGAACGTCTTTTGATCACATCTATCAACCATCATCGCGAATGTCGATCAGTAGCTCGGCTGGAAGGGTCACTCCGACGCTGCTACCTTTCATGGTTAGTTGGAAACCTTAGAGTTGTTTGTTGTTTAACTAGTTGTTTGTTGATAGCGTTCTTAGAGCTAAATTTTAAACTCAAATTCTTTGTTAATCTGGCTAATTGGTTAATTGGTAAGTTGATGGGTGACTTTAACCCATTAACTTACCAATTAACCAATTTGTTCTTTTTCAACGAAAGTACAGAACAAAAAGATTTTCTGGACAGCTTAATATGTAGATTGAGTGCTCTGCTGCCATTATTTGATGCAAAAGAATTTGAAACATCCTTCTTTAATAGGACAGCCTAGACAAGCTACCGTAATCCAGCCGCCAGTTTCCATTCAATCAACCAATTTTGATCATTGACTATCATTGACTGAGTCTTGTGATTCTGATACTGATTCTGATGACAATTCTGATGACATTACTGATTCTGATGACAATGATACGAAAATTGGAATGATCAAGAGCAAACTGGTCAGCAACTGGTTAGCAAAATCATAAAAATCAAAGCCCGGTATAGATAAGAAAATTAATGTTTCAATTTTGCTCATGTTGAAACATGCTAATCCGATTTTCGTTCCTTTTTTGATCCCTTTTCAGATTTTAGTTCCTTTTTTGATTTTTAGCGTCCTCCTCAACAAAACGTCTTAAATAAAGGCGTATTGAATCGCTTCCCGAATCCCAACCATCAAAGGAGTCGTGAGGAAATCGAGGAAAGGCGGAAACAAATCGACGACAATTTGGCCACCGTTGTGATACTTTAGCTCAAGTTTTTTTTCAATGCTAATGATTAAATAATAAGCTAGTTCTTTTAGTTGGCTTCTTTTAGCTTTTTATACAATAAATATTTGATCTTAAGCACATAACAATGGAAATTCGATTTCATTTAAAAGTCGATCAAAAAAACGCAAAGAAAAATAAACAGTCGATTAACAATTACCGTATTTCTTCGAATAGCAGACCGGGTAAAGAGTATCATCGCGTACTCCTGCGTAGCAGCCCTTCTTAAAATTTCTTTTCTGCATAAAAGCTTTCAATCAAGTGCTATAGAGCTGGAAAATGACTCAAAAATACCACATGAGCTAACAGATTTTTGAGCCATTTTCCAGCTCTATAGCACTTCATTGCACTTCACATTCTAAAAAATACCGACTCGGGCTACCAGTGGTGAATTTATCGCATACACGAAATATATCAATCACAATACAACGACACACACAATACTAGGCTATATCTTAACTTAACCCACGTGATGACAGACGGCTCCCTAACCCTAAGCTCAATGGGGAACTAAATAGCTTTTTTGGTGGTGAAGGGAAGATGACGATGAAGGAGTGGCTTGTCACTTTAAAGAACTGGGGCCACAACCACCAGACTGCCCTCCAGAAAACCTCTCAACCCGAAGGGAAAGGAAATCCGAAGGGGGTGACCATGTCGCATGTGGGGTTCGAACCCTCGACCTTCCGATTAAGATAAAAGACACTTAACCAGTCAGCCACACGTGCCACATTCATCTTCTATTCGAAGAAATACGGTAACAAAAATTAACAATGTTTCACTTTACGCCTGAACTTTTTATAGTAAAGCTTTCTAATCAAATACGAGTCAAATTAAAGTTGTTAGTTTTTTTTTAAGTTTAAGATAACATTTTTAAACTGTTTTATTAAATTTTTGATTTAATTTGATTGCTATTTTGAGCTTCGTTTCTCAGATTAACTTTCTCAGACTAAAGTTTGTTCGTAGGCGTAGTTAGGCTCTTGAAATCAGCTTAAAACTTTCCCAAATTGAAAGGAAATTCTTTTGAAAAGATTTCTAATAAATCTATTATTTGTTAATAGATTTAACTTGGCTTTTTTTATTTTTAGGGAATGCATTTAAATGTGGTCACTCGGTTTTAATAGAATAGGGCTCAAAAAGTTTGTTTCAACTTCGTTCGCTTCAATTTCGTTCGCTTCAACAGGCTCTTTGCTTTCCCATATCGCTTCAATTTCGTTCTCTTCAACTTCGTTCTCTTCAACTTCGTTCGCTTCAACTTCGTTCGCTTCAACAGGCTCTTTGCTTTCACTTATCGCTTCAACTTCGTTCTCTTCAACTTCGTTCTCTTCAACTTCGTTCGCTTCAACTTCGTTCGCTTCGACTTTGTTCGCTTCAACAGGCTCTTTGCTTTCACTTATCGCTTCAACTTCGTTCGCTTCAACTTCGTTCTCTTCAACTTCGTTCGCTTCAACTTCGTTCGCTTCAACAGTTTCTTTGCTTTCACTTATCGAAAAATGGTTTTTTGTAAACAATTTAGTTTGAAAAACAATTAATTATAATACCAATCTTCATTGTTTCCCTTGATCGCAATCTTTGCACTTGAAAACATGAAAAATTCCCGGATCTATGTGAAGCGTTATCAAAAATTTGCGATTTACAGCCGCACAAATTTCTTTTTTCGGTTTTCGGGAATTCCCAAACACTAGATTTTTTTAAAATGAAAATCTTGCAAATGAAAAGCAAATGATTTTAAAATTTATAAAGATTTCCTAGCCCTTAAGATTTATTAACGTCGGATTTGTTCTCCTGTACTTTCAAAACTTTGAAACACACTTTATCAAAAGCTTCATTTTCAAGAATTTGTGTAATTTTTTGAATTAATTTGATTAATTTATTGATTTACAGTCAGTAAATTGAGTTTAACGCAAAAGGGAAGTAGACGTTACGCTTTGACGATGAAAACTCTGTTTTTCCGACGAAATATCAATGCGACGAGAGATTGCATCTACATGTTGTCCTTAAATGAATTTCTCGCCTTTTGCATCAAGCCCGATGAAATGATCGATCATTGATGTTTTATTGCTATAATTTGCTGGCCTTAAATTGCCTTTGCGTGCTTTAAATTCTGTTTTTGCCTTTAAGCTAGCATTAACTGATCTCGAACTCGGAGATTTATCAAACCGAAACTTTTAAATTTTGGCGGTTAATGCTAGTTTTTCGTGACTCTTTCTTGTGACTAGTTGATTATTGATTCTTTTGCAAAAAGATTTGGTATTTGTTTCAGAAAATGCATTTTCTCTTGCTTGCCGGCTTTTTCGGTTTCTCGATGGCGATGCCCTTTGATCAGGCTGAGATCAGAACGAGAGACCGATCAAAGGTGATTTCTTAGCTTTTTGCGGTTTATTTTTTAATTTTTTAATTTTTAGAATCCTTAGATTAGATAAAAAAAAACTTGAAATGGCTTTTAAAATGGTTTCAAAATGAGTTCGAAGATGAAATCTCTTGTTTTAGTTTTCTAAAAGTAATTTTTCAAAAAGTAAATTGTTTTGCTAGCTTATTGAGATCTAGAATTCATAAATTAGATTGTAAAACTTGAAAACGAGCTTTTAAAGCGTTTTTGAATCAAAAAATAGTCAAAAAATGGTCAGAAAAAGATGATCAAAAACTCAGTGTTTCAAGTTTAAATTAATTCAATAGACGGGGTTCTTTTTAATGAAGTCGAGATGAAAAATAATTTTAAAATATAAAAATCTATCAGTGCTGAGAATAATTTAGTTCATTTTGAATACCTGATGATTTTATTTGAAAGAAATTCTAGTACTTCTAGTACGCGGACGATTTCGCGCGCAACATCTTTTTCCCATTAGCTCTTTAATCTTTAATTTGATCTTTAATTTGATCTTTAATTTGATAATCCCTCCAGTGAACACTTCTACGCGAGAAAGCCTGAATTGAACAGCTTGAAGCACATTCTTTTATTTGATAATCCCTCCAGTGAACACATATTCAACGTTAGACCAAAACCTCTTCTTTAACTCTTGTAGACGACACTCACTTGGAAAACTTCGGACAATTCCTGTGGACTTTCCATATGCTCTGTGTATGCACTCTCGTCACTTTGGATTTAGCCAAAAAGTGCCAACGTATAATAAACCGATTGTAGCAGGATTGTGGTTTTTCAACCTTGTCCGGGAGCATTAAAGTCAACTTTGTTGTATCAGCTCCTTTGTCACACATTAGCACTATCCTTTTCTTTTCACTGTCTTCTACGCGAGAAAGCCTGAATTGAACAGCTTGAAGCACATTCTTTTATTTGATAATCCCTCCAGTAAACACATATTCAACGTTAGACCAAAATCTCTTCTTTAACTCTTGTAGACGACACTCACTTGGAAAACTTCGGACAATTCCTGTGGACTTTCCATATGCTCTGTGTATGCACTCTCGTCACTTTGGATTTAGCAAAAAGTGCCAACGTTTGAATTGGAGAAATAGGCGATATGATTGCCAAAACCATGCTGCGAAGACAGGTTTCTTTGCAAATATCGTTTACGAATATTGCTGGCGATATGAAGAGGTAAAACTTGTCTAGCATGGGCTGATCGCTTCATTTGTTGCTTGAGAGCCTTGACCAATCTCACTTTTCGCACACTTTTCGCAATCTCCTTGTTAAATTTTCGATCATTTTCTGCTGATATCCTGATGCGATAAGCTTCTTTCCCAGTTTTCCGTTTCTTGTTGATTTGAGGCATTTCTCTACCTGTAAAATACAAATCATTAGTTGGAATCATTAGTTGGAAACAAAATTATGTAAACAATTAAAAAAAGAGCCAAAGTTTTGATCAGAAGTGAAGAAAATAAAAAAACACATTTGTTTATTTTATAATTTTGCTTAGGCTTCTTTTTAATGATGTCTAAGTTAAAAATAATTTTAAAATATAAAAATCTATCAATACTGAGAATAATTTCGTTCATTTTGAATGCCTGATGACTTTAATTTGAAAGAATTTCTAGTACTCGGACGATTTCGCCCGCAACACCTTTTTCCCATTAGCGATGGGCGCTTATGAGAGCGATCCGCAAGCCTGTGTCACGTCGGGAATTCAGGGAAAAGTATGAGATTTTAAAAAGCAATTCAATTAATTCAATTCAATTCAATTTCTCAAATTTCTCAAATCGCATTTCTCAATTCCCAGGTGAAACGTTTAATCAACGTTCAATGTGATGTGGACAAAAAGGACACTTGTGCCGGTTTCACCGCCTCGTCCGACTCGCTGAAAGCGATCGTTTTAGCGTTTAGGTGAGAGGAAATTAACGATTAGTTAAATAAAACGATTAAAAGATTTCCTTGCTACAGAAATTTCTTTTCAAATCAGATAATAAAAGAAACCAAAAAAATCGAAGTTTTTTGGATTCCTGGAGCTTAAACTCTAGAAAATCTCTTTCTGGACGATTTTCCAAAAAATCTTTCCATTCCTTTTCATAGTTCCGTTGAAAAATAACAAATTCTCCGATTAATCTATGGCTTAGTCTAAATAAAAAGTGTTTACCAAAGATCAATATGAAAAAAAATCTGATTTCGAAGTTTTTTGGATCAAGTTTTTAGTGGAAATGTTTATACCTTCAATAGAGGTTTTTAATAAAGTCTTTATTTTGTACAATTTCCCATCTTTTAAAGTCAATTTTGGTTTACTTTCAATCAAAATCGACAGTGAAAACACGTGTTTTCTATAAAAACCGCTACGAAGAGATTGGCTGAATGAATTTCTCTGAAAATTTGGCAATATAACGAACATTTTATGCTCTATCTTTTATCTATTGACACAAAGATAGGTTTCCTTAGCTAAAAGTGTCTAAGCTGGATCATGTCTTTCGACTTTTTGACTACCCGACTTTACACTTCTAAAAAAAACCCAGACATCAGACATTTAAAATTCGTTTTGATGCTATTTTGTAGAAAAGTAATTGACCTTTCTAATAAAATAAATCATTGTTCAATTGGTGGATGCGTTGGTTTCAAACAGAAGTACGAAAAGGAATGAAAAGATTTTCTGGACAGCCTAATCATCACCTTTCCTTTGAGAATTGAAAAATTTGCAAAGCCAATTGATGGATTTGCAGAGGAACAAGTCGAGACTCGCAACTCGTCATTGAAATTCTCGATGCCATTAAAGAAATGGTAGGTCAACTTTTTTGAAAAAAAGACATTTTTCAACTTATAGACTCCATTTGGCGGCGGTGGAGTTGCTTACTATTTCTACAAAGGTTTTATGAGTGTCTGGAATGGCGGTGAGCGTTTGGAAATGTTTGATTTCAAAGTTTCGCTGGGCAAAATCAGATTCAATTGATTCAGATTGACACCATATGATCAGCTAATTTAAGTTAACTACTCCAAAGGCTTAGAAGTTTATGAAAACATTTTTCAAACAAAACAATATACCGTATTTTCTCTAATAGTAGTGCACTCTGAGCGTTGCCTAAATTCCTCGAAATCTCGAGAACCGCTTATCAGAACCTATCGATGTGGGGTCGGAAAATGTAGCTGACGATGAGATCTAGTGGGGGATTAGAGTGTTGAGCTTCTGGGAAAACTTCGAAACCGTAAAATAGCCATCAACTCGGCTCGACGCGGTGCACTACTATTAGAGGAAATACGGTAACCATGGAGAAAAACTGACTAAAAAAGACGCGAAATGAGCCCATTTTTAACAATATTAGAGGAAACACGGTAACCATATTTTCCGTTCAAGCTGAGCCTGGCCTATAGGAAGCCCTGAGTGTCCGTCAGTCAGGCTGACCTAGATCTGGCTCTGACGTAGCCGTCTCTGCCTGCTTGGTATACACCGTATTCTTTAATAGTAGTAACACCTTGAGCGTCGCCTAAATTTCTCGAAATCTTGAGAACCGCTTATCAAACCCTATCGATGTGGGGTCGGAAAATGTAGCTGACGTGAGTCTTTGGGGTTTGGTGTTGGCTTCTGGGAACTTCGACGTAATGTCCCCTCGGCGGGATGCACTACTATTAGCGAGAATACGGTAATCAAATTTAGTTGACTAGCCAATTAGCATAGAAAAACGAAAATTAAGATTTCAATTTTTGAATAAAAATTAATAAAAACGACTTATCGCTTTGAGTTAGCCTTTTTTTACAAATTCAAATTCAAATTTCAATTCAAATTCTAAAGTTGACGTTGGAAAAAAAGGCAAAACAGTTACGCAAGTACTTCAAGTACTTGTTTACTATTTTCCTAGCCAACTTTTAAATGCTAATTTTGTTTTACATTCTCGGAAAACAGTAGCAGATCTGAATTCAAAAATTTTAGGCCTGAAAGACGATTTTTTGACCCTTCGCCAACAATATCCCGATTATGAGATTTGGGTAAAGAAATTTTCTTTTAAAAAAATCAAAAAATTCATCGCAACAATTGCAAAAGTTTGAAAAAAGTGTTTTACAAAAAATTATTAAAAACTAAAAAGCCTTGATCCGCTACTATTTTTGTCAAGGATTACTTTGAAAAATCAATATTTCTCCATTTTTTTATATCTATATATCTTTATATATGTAATTCATAGGTGTATAGGATTTTATTTATATATATGTCGTAGCCGATTATGAATGATTTGCAACTTTCTGGTAGGGCCTTTTTGAAAATCCCCAGACCCGTGCGTATGATGAGGTCCAACATCAATATTTAGTATCTTTCAACGAAAATCATTGATAATTATGTTAAATTTTTAAATTCGCAAGATTTGATGAAAAGAAAAAAAATTAGAGCAAAAAAACTGTTTGTTCAAGAGAAAACTTTGAAGCCCCATAATTTGTATTCTTTTTATCAAATCTTGCTAATTTTAAAAATTTAACATAATTATCAATGATTCTGCATTGAATGATACTAAATACTTGATGGTTGGACGCTCCTAGACCCACTCCTTCATAATCGGCTACGGGGGTCCCGCCGATTTTGAATGAAACGTTGTAGCACCGGCAATTTTTAACCTAACCTCACACATTTGGTACCAATCGACGCAGAATTCAATTAGCTACAAGATGATATAATATTGTCCTCATACATTAAAGGGTTGCTCTACTAGAAAGATTTGCCAAAAAATTTCATTCATAATCGGCTAGGACATATATGCTTTATTCAGGGGTAAAATTTCTTTTATTTCTAAAAAGTCCAATGAAAAATTGTAGCAATAATTTCACACTAATACATAAAAAAATCTAATCTAATACATAAAACAATGAAGAGATATTGATTTTTCAAAATAATCCTGTTTTTCCTAGAAACAAATGCTCTGAAGTGGTTGAAAATAAAAACTTTTTCAATAAAATATTAATGGTGCTGAATGCACTGACTCCAAGTAGCGTAGTTTAAACTTAAATCTTTTGAAACATCCATTTTACAAACCCTTTTTTTTATCAAAACCTAATTGTTTAACGAAATATTTGTAAGAAAGATTCATTTTCGAATATCTAAATTTTTAAATTATCAAAATTTGATAATTTAGATATTAAATTTAGATCTAAATGACAAAATTTGATTCCAGGTGACTGGCCACTCGTTGGGCGCATCAATGGCAGCGATCGCCGCCGATTATTTGGCCATTAACTATAAACCCGATATGACCAAGTTCAAATTGGTTTGTGATAGTGAAAAAATGCTTTTCAGCAAGTAGATTAGCATTTAAAAATCAAATTTAAAATCAAATTTCAATTCAAAAGTACCTATTGAAAAATGAATTTTCTCCATTTTTGATTCAATGTTTCAAATTAATCAAAGACACTTCTTAATTTCGTTTTTCTATGAGTGTTGAGGCTTTTAAAAACAAAAAATAATAATAATAATTGAATTGAATTCCCTAAAAAGTCATTGTAAATTAGGAATTAACAAACAAATTTAGAATTTTAGAGAAATCAGACTTTCAGATGACTTTTGGTGAGCCACGAACCGGGAATGCCTCCTATGCCACCGCACATGATGCACGGGTAAGATTTGATTTGTTTTGTTGGTCAAAACACTATTTCTTATAGAATACAATAATCCGCATTATTTTTTCTGGAACCTAATAAAACTATTCATTCATTGAATATTTTTAGAATCTAAGCAAATGTCTGTTAAAGAGGTGTTCCAAAAGCTAATTGAAAAAAGTTTCTAACGGCTTGCCATTTAATCCAAAGCAATTGTGCTGATGCAAGAAACCACTGATATTTGAAAGAATGCCAAGACGACCTCAAAAGTGAAACTACCGTAAATACTGTAATAGTACCCCACCCCCATAATGACGGCGCGGAGTGTTGCGTAGTCTAGCTTTGAACGAGTTTTTCTCGACACTGGTTTATGCTACAATGCGCGCTTAGGTATCAAAAAATAGCTGAAATTCAGGGCTATTTTTTGATACCTAAGCGCGCATTGTAGCATAAACCAGTCTCGAGAAAAACTCGTTCAAAGCTAGACTACGCAACACTCCGCACCGTCATTATGGGGGTGGGGTACTATTACAGAAATTTACGGTAGCTTTTCTTATCAATATCTATTGATATTAGGCTTTTTAGAAAGTACAAAAGTACAAAACGAAAAGACTTGAACAGCTTAATAAACAACGTAATCTTGGCTCCATTCAATCAACTAAATTTTTATTTCATTGATTGAGTCTTGTTTCTCAATACAATTTCCAATTTCTAGTACATTTTTTGAGTTTTATTCAGTACTTGAGCACTTACAGCATTTACAGTGCTCAAGTTTTCACTTACCGTAAATACTGTAATAGTACCCCATCCCCATAACGACGGCTTTGCGTAGTCTAGCTTTGAACGAGTTTTCCTCGACACTGGTTTATGCTACGATGCGCGCTTAGGTATCAAAAAATAGCTGAAATTCAGGGCTATTTTTTGATACCAAAGACGCATTTTTTGAAAGTACGGGCGCTTTGAAAAAAAATGAAATACTAAAACGACTACGAGACTGTACGAGGGGTACTATTATAGTATTTACGGTACTTTAGATTTATAAAAAGAATAAAAACTATGAACTTTTACTTAATTTCAAGAATGGACTCGTCATTTTTTTTCTCTAAAAACTCTTGATTCTATAATTTTGTTTGACACTTACCTTCTATTCTAATGACCTAAAGCATCCCTACAAATACAGGTTCGTTGCAGCAGTTTGCAGAAGGTTGCGGCAGTTTGCAGAAGGTTCGAGGCTTATTAATGCCTCGAACCTTCTGCAAACTGGATTTAAAAGCTTATTAGCTATAAAATTAGGTACATTGTCAAAAAAAGATACCTTTTGACAACGTTTGATGCACTTTAAAACCAAATAAGCTTCAATAAAGGTTATTTGAAGCATGTACGAGGTTTAGAATATAAAAACTAAATACCTACCTGCTGCCATAAACCTCAAACAAATTCAATTTGCAGCTTCCCTTCTCATTCCGCGTCGTTCACAATCACGACATCGTCCCTCAGTTGCCTTTCCAATGGATGGGATACCATCATCACAGCGTTGAGGTGAGAGATTTCAATTCTATTTCAAGATAGAAGAGCAAGATCGAAGAAGAGCTGCTGCAAAAGTTATAGTTTTAAAAGCACTATAGCATTTTTATTTGCAAAGATTCCCCTTTTGGCAATTTTTCATTGGGATTTTTGAGTTTCAAAGAAGGGCAGTTAAACCAGGATTTGATTTAATAATGATTGGATTTTGATCTGATTGAATTGAATAATGGATCTGATCTGATTGAATTGAATAATGGATCTGATTGAATTCAATAATGGATCGCTTGAATTGAATATGGATCTGATTGATTCAATAATGGATCTGATCAGATTGATTGAATAATGGATCTGATTGAATTCAATAATGGATCTGATCTGATTGAATTGAATAATGGATCTGATTGAATTCAATAATGGATCTGTTCAGATTGAATTGAATAATGGATCTGATTGAATTCAATAATGGATCTGATCAGATTGAATTGAATAATGGATCTGATTGAATTCAATAATGGATCTGATCTGATTGAATTGAATAATGGATCTGATTGAATTCAATAATGGATCTGATCAGATTGAATTGAATAATGGATCTGATCAAATTGAATCCAATAATGGATCTGATTGAATTCAATAATGGGGCCGACCCGGATTGAATCCAATAATGGATCCGATTGAATCCGAACAATGGATCTGATTGAATTCAATAATGGATCTGATCAGATTGAATCCAATAATGGATCTGATTGAATTGAATAATGGATCTGATTGAATTCAATAATGGATCTGATCAGATTGAATCCAATAATGGATCTGATTGAATTGAATAATGGATCTGATTGAATTCAATAATGGATCTGATTGAATTCAATAATGGATCTGATCAGATTGAATTCAATAATGGATCTGATCTGATCTGCTTCAATTCAATAATCCATCACCAACGCTATCTACGATCAACTAGGTTTAAGCTTAAGTTTTGAACAATTTTATAAACTATAATAAATGAGATTAGAAACCTAAATGCAAATTTTAGGTCTGGTATCCAAACAAAATGGCTGTCGGGCAACCGTTCAAAATCTGTGCACAACAGGAGGATCAGTGAGTTTAAACAGGATTCCTGACAAGTTTTTTTTTCTAAATTTTATGGTTTGATAGTAAAATAATACATAGAGCTTTAGAATTTTCTAAAAAGATACGGAAATCTAAGTCTATTCTTCATAAAATGTCTAAAATTAAGAATGAATTCTTTTCGTAAACTCCTTTCAAAGAGAAAAACAATTTTTCTGAAGGCACATTCGTGACGAATTTAGCACTTTTTCTGGCTAAAAATTTGCAATTCGGGGTTTTCGAGGATGGGGAATACGAATTTGTTATTAGTTTTTAAAGAAAACGACTCTATTTTTGGATATTTCATTCGGTTTAATTACCCAAATGTAACCGCAAATCTAGGGCTGTGTGCCAGATTATAAAAACGTGAAAATTTTCATTTTTCCGTAATCGTGCGGCTTCTGGATAAGGATAAAGGAGAAAAGGACAAATTGTTGTACCAAACAAAAGAAAAGGATCATCCAAAATCCAAGATCCAAAAGAAAAGGATGTTGTACTTTGATAGAGGTACTTGATCAGAGCAAAGACTGAAACCGAAGAGTTTTTTCGTTCTTTTGTTCTCCAATTTGGTTTAATTACTCAAATTTTTAAAGAGTTTTGACCGTATTGGCTCGGAAATTAAAGTTGCTCAAGAAATCATAACGGATTCAGATTCTCCATCCCAGAATGCCTGCGGTTACAAATTCTCAGATCTACAATAGAAAGCTGTCATCCGAAACGGCAGCTAAGCTAAAAATAGCTTTATCTTGAATTTCTTAAAGCAATAAGATTAGTTTAAAGTGTTTTATTAGTATTCAGGCTATAGTTCAAATGTAGAAAAGGATAAAATGTCGATAAAATGTCTTGATTTATAAATAAAATCTATTTTAAACACCTGAAATTTTCAGAAGTTCAAAATGAGAACAGTACTCGCTGTGGTAACTGTGGTCGTCAGCGGGGTGACCGCTGTTGTCGACGTTGATACTGAGGCTTTTTTGTTCTCGATTTCCACAAGTTTCCGCTCACCAGAAGCTATCAATTTATTGAACTGAGTGATGAGTATGTAAGCGTGTTCTCGGGCATATTCCGGGCCCTCCTCAGTCTCCATGTAATTCTTCGTCACGTCGTTCTCCGCCATTTTGTCTTCTGCATTCAACGTCGCCATGAGGGCGGACCATCTGTCCTCGGATTCGTTGAATTTCCGCAGATAGCTTTCGATATTCGACACCTTTTCTTGTAGAAACTCAACACCCTTTTTGATGTTTGCTGAAAAGTACGATTCAAGCAGGTTTTTGGTATTCTCATCTTCTCCATTGATCACTGTATTCAACTCCTTGAACTGGTTACAATAGAAAGCTGTCATCCTCCATTGATCACGGTATTCAACTCCTTTAACTGGTTCAAAAAGCTGTCATCCTCCATTGATCACTGTATTCAACTCCTTCAACTGGTTACAATAGAAAGCTGTCATCCTCCATTGATCACGGTATTCAACTCCTTCAACTGGTTACAATAGAAAGCTGTCATCCTCCATTGATCACTGTATTCAACTCCTTCAACTGGTTACAATAGAAAGCTGTCATCCTCCATTGATCACTGTATTCAACTCCTTTAACTGGTTACAATAGAAAGCTGTCATCCTTCATTGATCACGGTATTCAACTCCTTGAACTGGTTACAATAGAAAGCTGTCATCCTCCATTGATCACGGTATTCAACTCCTTTAACTGGTTACAATAGATAGCTGTCATCCGAAACGGCAGCTAAGCTAAAAATCACTTTATCTTGAATTTCTTAAAGCAATAAGATTAGTTTAAAGTGTTTTATTAGTATTCAGGCTTTAGTTCAAATGTAGAAAAGGATAAAATGCCGATAAAATGGCTTGATTCATAAATAAAATCTATTTTAAACACCTGAAATTTTCAGAAGTTCAAAATGAGAACAGTACTTGCAGAATATTCGACTTTAAATAGCGATTAAAGATTACTGATTAAAGCATTTAAGTGCTAAAACTAAGTGCAAAGCTTCTTTTCGAGAAAATCATTTAAATTGAAACTCATTTTTTTTTGCTGAATCCGTTTGTATAAAGAAAATCATTGAGTAGATTAAAATTTCGAAAAATCGAAGATTAAAGCTGTTCAGAAGTTGTCAAGACGGTCAATTGGACGTTTGGATTCCGGATCACGATGATTATTTCGATATCGCTGACGATTGGGTGGGCAAAGGATGTCCAAGAAAATGAGAAAATCATCAAATTTTATGTACAATGTAATAAAAGCTTTGAAATCTGGCTCAATCGTATGGCACAATCGAAAAAATGGAAACGAGATCGAGTTGGACAAGTGAACAGAATTAGAATTAGAAGAGACCATTGGCAGCTTCGCTTCGCAGCAGCTGATAGTAATTGAGATTTGTTCTTCTTGTACAGCTTCATTTTCAGCTTTTTCTTGATGATTGTGTTGACGGAGCTTCTCTTCAGACCCATTCTCTGTGCCATTCCTCGAGCCGATTGGTTAGGGTTTAATCTTAGACGATCGCGCACTTTCTTGACATTAGCCGGAGTAACCGCTATTCCTTTTGCACCTCTTCCAGGGAGATAAAATCCCTGGATCAAAACAAAACTCTTGCACTTTCTTTGTCTTGTGAGCCGGCGCACCATCTTGTTGCTAAGTCCAAATTCGAATTTTGAAGTGGCGTTGAGCCCACGGAACAACCTCCTTCTTTAGCAAGTCCAAATAATTGACCGCATTTACTTTCACACCTTGAAGAACAAAGATCAACGGGGTCTTTCCATTGGCGGTTATCCCGGCTTGACATTAGCCGGAGTAGCCGCTGTTCGTTTTGCACCTCTTCCAGGGCGATCAGAAGCTGTGCTCGGAGTTTCATAATGTTGAATGGTTCGAGAAACGAGGCTTCTGGGGGCATTCAGGCGCTTTGAGATCTCGCTCGCCTGAACACGCTGCAGCTTGAGCTCAAGGATCGATTGTCGATGTGGAGACGCTTTCACCATTCCTGAAAACAGCAATGTATTGAAAATTAGTAATCATACGATAAAATAAGAAAAATACATAAAAACCATAAAAACAGGAAACAGGTAAGCTCAATCAAAACAAATGGAAACGAGATCGAGTTGGACAAGTGGACAGAATTGAAGATGATAAAGAAGAAAGAAGGACAGAAAGAAGAGAAAATACCATTGGCTTGGCAGATCTTTCCATCAGATACTATAAATTGAAACAAGCAAATTTTATCTTCGGCTCTCTCTTCTAATCCGTTTTCTTTTCTTTCTTTTCTAAAACATGTTCTCTTTCGAGGACACGTTTTGATTAGTTAATTAATTAATTAAAAATAATTGAAGTTATTGAGTTAATGTTTGTTAACTAAACCCTGGATAAAGTGAAATAGTAATTTCAAAAATCTCTGATGGACATAAAATAGCTTTTTTCAAGTTATTTTCATAAAATATAATGCATAAAATAAATGTTTATTTATAGTTTTAAGCTTTAAACGTAAATGCTCAAAATTAGAGTGCTTTCTGGCATCCGCTGCTGACCCAGTCGTCCAAATTTACTCCAAAATAGAGGCGATGCTCGGTGATGTTGTACTTCGATAGAGGCACTTGATCAGAGCAAAGACTGAAATCGAAGAGAACTTTGATTTTTTGCAAAGTGATCATAGAAATTTTCGTTTTATAGCGATTTATAACGATTTTATTTCACCTATCCTTTTCTCAAATACTACATTTTTTCTAAAACATATCTAAAACATATCCTCTTTCTTTTTCTATCATTATCTTGTCTTTTCTTTTTCTTACAATTACTTTCTCAGTGATCCAGTGATCTCAGTGATCCTTCTCAGCTAAAGGATTTTCTAAACCGTATCACCTTTCTCATTCTACTGTAATCTAATCTCTTTTTTATTCCAATCTATTCACTTTTTGGTCGGATTTTTTGAGGGTTCAAAAAGGATATCGTAAGATCCAAAAAAAGTGGATAAATTGGATAAAAAAGAGACAAGATTACGGTAGAAAGAGAAAGAGGACACGGTTAAAAAGGTTAAAAAAGATTAGAGATGATTAAAACGATTAAACGATTAAACGATTAAAACGATTAAAACGATTAAAAAGAGAGAAATCCTTTAAACCCATAACACGAATTGCATCTCGAAAAAGCTTCGTTTAAAATTTTACAATCTTTGTTTCAAGGTTAAGCTTTTAATTTGACAACGTGATCACTAAACTTAAAACCAGAAAATTCTTTCTATCATCAGCATGTTTTTTTTGCTTTAAAAGTTTGCTTTAAAGTTAGCTCTTGGATTGACATCAAAAAACAATCGAAAACCAATCGAAAACCAATGGAAAACCTTCTGAGAATCAATTAAAATTCAATCAAACCCAGTTAGTTATTAAAACAAAGCAAAAAAAATGATTCTTTCAAAATAAGCGACTCAAAGAAGGTTTATAATTTAATTAAAGTCTAATAAAGTCGATGAATACTGGGGGAAATCAGAAATTAGTTAGAGAAAGGCATAAAAATTTCCTTGTTTTAAAGGAGGCTACTTTAGCAGAAGTATTCAAATCTTAATTGACCCTTTCTTATCAATTTCTTACAAACTCACGGATCTTCTTGTCCTTGACAAGTGGAATAATCAGCAGTCGTCATGTCATTGTTGTACCAGATCTAAAAACAATTCTTAGTTTGCTAATTGCAAGTTCAAGTTTTGATCTCATTTCCAAGCCATTTCCAAGCAATTTCCAAGTCAAAAAATCACCTCCGTGGTGTGATGTTGAAAATTGACGAATTGCGGTGGAATGTGCGGGCCAATATCATTGTGGTGAGTGACACGGAAAGTCGAGGAACCGAACTGAATCCCGTTGGAAAGAAAGTCAAAAAAACTTTTGCGACTACGCCACTGTACGAAGGGGGTAGGGTACTATCACAGTATTCCCAGGTAGCTATTACTGTTTTCTGTTGTTATTAGAACTACTTGAAAACTTTTGAATCTATTAGGTTGGAAAGAAAGTTCTCGGAAAAAGTTTACACGATGATTTCTCAAAAATCAAGCCATCAATTCTTCCCAATTCAATGACTTGGTCACTTTTTTAGTGACCAGCCTTTAGACAAGTTTTTAATTGGTTAAAGAATAGGCAATGGATCCCATTGAAAACCTAAAAACAAGTACTTAAAATAGGGAAAATTTGTGATAAAGGCAAATTTTATCTAATACTTTAACTTTTCAGGACACCTTTTTTAGCAGACACTAAAAGACACTTGCCCAAAAAAGACACTTGGCCAAAAATAGAGATTATAGAGCGTATTGTTCATTGCTCATTTATGTTAGCTTTACATCATAAAGAATCGCTTTTCTCTTGCAAAAAGTGAGCTGGATTTAAGCTGGAAAATTTGGTATCATTCATTCAACGCAGAATCATTGATAATTATGTTAAATTTTTTAAATTATTGGGTTGGGGAGAATGAGTCGGCGCCGAAAATGAAAAAAATGTCTAAAACTTCTATTCGACTTCGTCAAATAATATGCGTTTGATATGAGTAGAATGGTTAACTAATTCTCTACAAAATCACATTTAAAAGAAAATTCAAACAGCGCCTCCGCCCAAGAAAAAGCCATTTTTTCACAAAAACTACAAACTGTGATCTAGAAAAAACCATTGATGGGATCTTCCTGCAAATTTGGCAACTTAAGTAATTGAATGTGCTCTATCTTTTTTATATAAACACCAAAGAAGGTTTATGTGAAAGAAACTGTTCAAATGATGAGTCGGACTCTTCGCCATTTTAACCAGCTGCGTTTGGAAGTTCATAAACTCCACGAAAGAAAAGCTTTGTGGAATCTCTCAAAAGTCATTTTGTAGAGAAATAGTGGATCCTTTTGGTGAAACCAAACGTATGTTTAAAGAAGGCTTTATGTGTGCAAAAAGTCCCTTTAAAGTTTGGCGCCGACTCATTCTCCCCAACCCAATAGAAAGATTTGATGAAAAGAAAAAGCAAAAAAAACTGCTTGTTCAAGAGAAAACTTTGAAGCCTTGTAAATCTTTTTCTTTTTATCCAATCTTTCTAATTTAAAAAATTTCACATAATTATCAATAATTCTGCGTTGAATGATACCAAAAGCTTGATGATTGGATGCCCCTAGACTCACTTATTCATCATCGGCTACGACATCTACAAGATAACGAAAGATCAATTTTTGTGCTTCAGCTATGGACTTTAAACGGTATTCAGTGCTTTTCGCTGAATACTTTTTATCCCGGTGGGCTATAAATTAGACAAGAAAATGGTCTATTACAAAAATTTCTTTCAATATACTCACCCTTGCATCATGATCGTCAGCGAAAGCTTGATCGCCGACACGAGGCTCACCGAAAGTCATCTAAAATGGAATTGGATGGAAAGAAAGCTCATCAATCAAAATCTAGCTATATGGCTTAATTTTTATGAAACTTACAAGTTGCAAATCGAGATCATAGTTGATCTTGAGGAAATTGGCGGCAATTGTGGCCATTGCGCCACCAAGAGAATGACCCGTCACCTAGAAGTTTTGATTAGTTCGTTTTCTAAAAGGCATCAGTTTTGGTTTTTCACTTTTCTGAAAGATTTAGTGTCATCTTTAATTCATTTTTTTTCTAAAAGAACTCTAGAAAAGCTCTAAAAGCTCTGTTTCTTGTCAATTTTTATTGTTTGGCTTCTAAAAGCAAGTGCTTGGCTTATAAGTAACCTTTTAATGCAATTTGCGGAGGAATCTGGGATAGCTGTAGCTGGGATAGCTGTAGCTGAGATAGCTGTAGCTGGGATAGCTAGGATATGCGAACCCTGAGCCATTGAAGCTCCAAAAAAAATGCTCCAAACTTTACATCCAAAAGTGACAATAGAGTCTTTTCCTTGTGATTAAATCATTAATTTGCCTAAACAAGTTTTTAAGTTCGATCAAAGCTCAATGAATCAAGTTTAGTTTCAATAAAACAATTAAACAAATTGCTGTAGATGTAAAGTAGATTGGCTGAATTGGCTGGTACATCCTGTAGGGGTACATCCTCTAGGGGTACATCCTGTAGGGGTACATCCTCTAGGGGTACAGCCTGCAGGGGTACATCCTCTAGGGGTACATCCTGTAGGGGTACATCCTCTAGGGGTACATCCTCTAGGGGTACAGCCTGTAGGGGTACATCCTCTAGGGGTACATCCTGTAGGGGTACATCCTCTAGGGGTACATCCTCTAGGGGTACAGCCTGTAGGGGTAGAGCCTGTAGGGATGGCGGAAGGAATGGAAGCACATTCACTAGAAAGTCCATTAATCACGAGCATAATCAACTCCTTTGAAACTCAATTTTTTTAAAGATTATTTGGCAAGATCAAAATCTTTAGCAAGGCTGATTTTTGGCAAATAAATTGCAATCGATTTGCCGAAAAAGCAAAAAGCATAAATTGCAATCTATTTTATGACTAATTTCTCAGCTTATTTCTAAATATCAACTCAAAACCCACCACAATATTGTAGTTGGGATATCGTGAGCGCTGGGACAAGAAATCGTCTTTCATACCTGCAAGGCTAAGGCTTCTTTTCTCAAATTTTTTTCACCAATTTCACCTGCATTCCAAATTTTCTGAAAACCCTCATAAAAGTATTGATCGACGTTTCCCTTTCCAAGTTGAACCTAGAAATTTGTTTAAAAAAAAGAAATGGTGCACTTGTAAAGAACCTTTTTGTGCAAAGTCTCATCGATTTCGGCGATGAGTTGCTCGTCGGTGGTGGTGCCTCTAAAATTGTTCTAAAGTTCTAAATTTCTAAAGTTGATTGATTAAATCGATTAAATTGTGCTCAAAGTTAGTTTTAAAGGACATTTTAAGTCCTGATTTTATCTAATGAACGCCAAAAATTTTTCAAGTTTCAACTTACGGTAAATACTCGATTAGAAGCAGCAAAAAAACCCCATTTTTCCATTTTTCAATTTTTTTGTTCTAAGCAATGGTTAATGCTAAAAATATGTGTTACTGGAACAATTCTTTTTGCTAAAATAACCCTAAAGCCTTTTTTTGAAAGCTAATCACTTTTAAAGCAAATTCTTTCGTCTATCTAAGCTCCAACAAAAATTTTGACGTTTCAACCTAAGTTTCAATGGGCTAAAGCCTTTTTGAGCTTTGAGCATCAATATTTCAGCTTTGAGCATCAATATTTCAGCTTTGAGCATCAATATTTCAGCTTTGAGCATCAATATTTCAGCTTTTCATGCTTTTCAAGCTCTCATCCACTTCATTATTTTAAAAATGCAATAAAATCTATTAGAACCAGCAGGAAATTCAAACCGAAAAACGACGGCGATAAGCCGCTTGTCGGGCGCAATTGCCGTGTATCCACTGCAGGTATCGTCGCTGAACACATCGCACGGGATGGTGATTTGACGGATCACCTGAGAATTTGAATGAAAAGCTCAAAAGATTGTCTTCCAAATTTAGATCACTGATCAGCTGCGCTGGGCGTCCGCACGGATATTCCACCTAGTAGTACCGAGGGCACATAGCACAAATCTGATTGTAGATTCGGATTCCTCGCCCCCGAAAATCCCCGAGTACAAATTTTCAGCTTTCTAGCTCGCTTCGTTGTAATTTTACATAGTTTGTATGTTAACGTAATTTGTATTATCGCGTAGGGGTGATGGATGGACAAACGGACGTTTTATTTTTTCTGTATATAGTAGATTTAGCTGTAGAGATTTAGATTTCTTTGAATTTAGTTGTAGATCTTTAGAATTTCAATTGAAATTTACTGGTTCAGTTGTACGGTGAACCAGCTGCACTGGGCGTTCGCTACGCGGCCATACAGATATTCTGCCTAGAGGTATTGAGAGCACGTAACACAAATCTGATTGCAGATTCGGATTCCTCGTCCCCGAAAACCCCCGCGTACAAATTTTCAGCTTTCTAGCTCACTTCGTTGTAATTTTACGTTAAACGTAATTTGTATTATCGCGTAGGCGTGACGGACGGACAAACGGACGTTTTATTTTCTTTGTATATAGTAGATTTAGCTGTCCAGTAGTAGGAAAAGAAACGAAAAGACTTTTTGGACAGCCTTTTTGGATTAAACAAAACTAATTATTTTTGAAGTCAAACTTTTTGAAACACAGAATTTTTCAACAAGTTGAGACTCGTAAAAGTACAAAAATTATACGCTAGCTTAAGCCTCAAGTTTAATAAGAAAATTCTTTTAAAGTTTCTCTATTTTTACCTGTCCTCCTAGCCATTTACTGACACAATCCTTTGGATTTCCATAAGCTGAAGCGGCCAATGGGTAGAAAATCTTGCGCGCGTCATCGTCACTGTACGTCTGGAAAGGGTTTTTATCTTTCAATATATTGAAATATTGAAAAAGAGCATGCTTTAAAGCATTTAGAAATCCTCTTGATAACCTTTAACCGATGTTGAGGCGAAAATTTGAAAGAGAAAGAGATAGGTAAGTCTTTGAAAAGCCTTTTAAAACAATTGTCCCAAAGGTATTACTGCTTCTGTCAAACATCTCTAATTGTTCAAAATTGATTTTTCTAACTACTCATCCGTCAGGTATAAACATAGATTGAACTTTTCTCACTTGAAACCTCAGAACAGCGCCGTCTTATCATAGATTTGGTTGAGTGCTTTAAAATTGTAAAAGGAAAACATCAAAACCCTCTTTTTTCGGCTAAACTCGAGGCTTTTGGCGAATAGGCGTGGCTTTTTTATCGAATTTGCTTTCTCTAAATCCTCTAGAGCTTTGTAAATCGTGTGATTAAAGTTTGGAATGCCCTTCCCGACAAGTTGCGTTTGATCTCCACCGCGGTGCACCGTGTCTGATTTTAAAAGGGCTACTTCGTTGCATTTTAAGTCACTTTGTGTTCCGGTACATTTTTCCGGTCATTTTCGCACTTTATTTCTTTCTAAATAAAGTATTTATATATATATTAGTCAGTTTGTCGACAAAAGAGTTTAATTCTTTTTAAAAATAAACAAAAGTAATGTTTTACAGGCTGTTTTACAGTACTTTTGTTTATTTTTATGTAGTTAAATTTCTATTAAACGTTCGGTTTTAAGGGACTGGCGCAAAAGCGGCCCGGCGCGCTTTCTAAAGTGTAGATGCGCTACCGTACCCCGCACAAAAATCCCCTTTCGCCATTCTTTTCATTTTTCTTCAGTTTTCGCTCGTTTTTTCGGATTTTTTGATGGAATCGGAAACTTTGTCGGGATTTTATCCGAAATTTTAAAGTTTTAAGTAAAGCTTTTATTAGTAAAGCAGCTTTGGGACAATTGCTTTACCTAAATTGGCATGATTTCTCTTTAAAAAAATTCAATTTCAAATCAAATTCAAATCAAATTCAATTTCAAATCAAATTCAAATCAAATTCAATTTCAAATCGAATCAAATCCAAATCCTCACCCGATTCGCGCAGTTTACTGCCAAAATCAATAAAGCAAAAGAGAAATATTTCATTTTGAAAGATCTAGCAGTGTAGTTTTTCAGAAAATTAGTTTCAGAAAATCCAGAAGTATTCCGGTTCAAGGGAATTTTTTTTCTAATCTTTCGTTCGACTTTCCCCCGCGAAAAATTTCTCATCAGTGAGATAAGGAAAATTACGTTTGTCTCTGCAAAAACTTGGACAGTTCATGAAAATTGAGAATTTTTAAGGGCAAAAGACAAACTACTCGTCAAGCAAACTACTCAATTACTAATAAAAGCTAAATGTTTCAAAAAATTCTGCAAAACTTAAGATAAAGTGTTCAAAAATTTATGCAAAAGATAGTAAATTGAGATTCATAAGCTCAAAAAGCTTTCAATTGTTTCAAAACTTTTACAAAACTCAATACAAAGCGTTCAAAGACTTTTAACGCTCTCAGAAAGCTTTCAATTGTTTCAAAAATTCAGCAAAACACAAGACAAAGTGTTCAAAGACTTTTAAATGAACTCAGAAAGCTTTCAATTGTTTCAAAAACTTTACAAAACTCAAGACAAAGTGTTCAGAAACTGTTAAATGAACTCAGAAAGCTTTGAACTCTTTCAAAACTTTTATAAAACTCAATACAAAGTGTTCAAGAACTTTTAAAACCCTCAGAAAGCTTTCAATTGTTTCAAAAATTCTGCAAAACTTAAGATAAAGTGTTCAAAGACTTTTAACGAACTCAAAATGCTTTCAATTGTTTCAAAACCTTTATAAAACTCAACATAAAGTGTTCAAAGACTTTTAAATGAACTCAGAAAGCTTTCAATTGATCCAGAAATTTTACAAAACACAGGACAAAGTGTTCACAAGCTTTTGACGCTCTCAAAAAGCTTTCAATTGTTTCAAAACCTTTATAAAACTCAATACAAAGTGTTCAAGAACTTTTAAAACCCTCAGAAAGCTTTCAGTTGTTTCAAAAATTCTGCAAAACAAGACAAAGTGTTCAAAATCTTTTAAACGAACTGAGAATAGCCAGAATAGCCATTTAAACGATTTAAAATAAAAAAAAGACTTCAATAAAAGCTCTACATTTTCAAAAACATTCATCTCCTTTTGAAACACTCTTTTTTTAAATCAAAAAACTGAAATCACAATGAAATTTGATAAATCTTAATGAATTTTCAGCAATGATTTGTCCAATTCCACTTCGTATTTCAACAATTTCGTGTACTCGCTCAACAATTTTCGCCAATAATTCGTCACATCGCGGTTGGTGAGCTTTGAACGGATCCAAGTTTGAGCTCTGAATGATGACGTAAAACTGTACGAAACGATCAAAGTTGGAGATTTGCGCGCAAAACTATTTCATGATATTTATGGCTTTATCTCATTGCATATTTGCATTTTTTCATTAAATTTATTTCAAAAGTATCAACTAAACGCTGGAAATCGCTGGAAAAAAAGAAGTTTTTTTTGAAATTTCAACCTTTTAGCCATTTTCTCCGCAATCTCGTCATGGCTTTGGAGAAAAATGATCGTTTTTCGCCAATTTTCTTCCGTATTCACTTCGAGTGGAATGTAATGGTAATAAGGGATCTGAAAACATATCTCTTTTCAAGTTTTCAAGTTTTCAACTGGTTGCTTGGCTTAGATTTAAACACAATTTACCGTAAAAACTCTAATAGAACGGTCCCCCTATAAGAGCTTCGCGTCTAAGTTTACTCTCAAACAAACGCTCATATCTTGACACTAGTACATTTGTTTCTCCTCGCTTTGGTATCAAATTAAAGTAGAGAAAACTGGGTGATTTTTTTTGTGATATAACACATATTTCTAACATTAACCATCGCTTAGAAAAATGTGGTTGAAAATCGGCAAAAATCAGCTCTTTTTTGCTACTTTTTAATCACAATTTTCTAAGCACTGGTTGATGACAAAAATATGTGTTATATCTCATAAAAAATTACCCATCTTTTCTACTTTAATTTGATACCAAAGCGAGGAGAAACAAATGTACTAGTGTCAAGATATGAGCGTTTGTTTGAGAGTAAACTTTGACTACGCGAAGCTCCTATAGGGGGCTTCTATTAGAGCTTTCTGGTAGTGAAAAGTTGTTAAGAAATAAACGATTTTAGGAGGGATTTTCTTTTCTTCATTTCTTAATGTACCCATTTTTCCGAATTTGCTTATATTTTGAGACCCACTAATTTATGGTAGAAAAACTCAAGCATTCCCCCGTCGACATTCAAAATGACCGAATTGCAAAGGAGGAGGTGTTTGTAACGGAAACTCGCCGCAACTCCACGAAAATTTACCAAATATCTGAAAATTTGAATGTTCAGAACAAAAAATGAAATGAAAATCTGAGATAGAATTGGAAATTGAAAAGAATTTGCGTTTTGATGATGGCAAAAATAATTTTGGCAAATTGCCTTACGCTTTATCTTGGTGCTTTCTCTCGGTGCTTTCTCTAATTTCTTTGGAACTTGGAAACAACAAGCTTTTATCTCATTTTAACACATTCACGACGATATGGCATTGCTAATGACGTACTAATGACGATTATTTTTGATTATTTGACGGTTACAACCAGTTTTTAACGATTTTCCTATTCATTTTGCAGAAAGTTCTTGATAACTTTGTATTAGTTTTCAAGAGGAGATTCAGAGCTATCGAATGACTATAATAGTTTGGTTTTTCTTTGAATTTACACAAAATTATCTGTAAAGTCGTTAACGACTACACGACTGTACGCGCAAAACGCCGGCACCGTGAATGTGTTAAAATTCTGACGCGAGAATACGAAGCACGATTGCCGTTACCATTTTCACTGTATTTACTTTTCATTTGAAACAAGCTTTCCCAAAAACTCACTTGTAATGACAATTATATTCAAAGGGTTTTTCTTCAGCTGGTGGATAGCCAAGGGTATCCTAAAATTAGCTAAAAAAATCTTTTATAAGCTTTTTTACAAGCTCTTTTACAAGCTAATACCAATTTCACACCATTTCCACACCATTTCTACAAGCTAAATCCAATTCCACACCATTTCCACACCATTTCCACACCATTTCTACAAGCTAATACCAATTTCCACACCATTTCCACACCATTTCTACAAGCTAAATCCAATTCCACACCATTTCCACACCATTTCCACACCATTTCTACCAGCTAAATCCAATTCCACACCATTTCCACACCATTTCTACAAGCTAAATCCAATTCCACACCATTTCCACACCATTTCCACACCATTTCTACAAGCTAATACCAATTCCACACCATTTCCACATCATGTCTACAATCTAAATCCAACTCCACACCATTTCCACACCATTTTTACAAGCTAATACCATTTCCACACCATTTCTACAAGCTAATACCAATTCCACCCCATTTCTACAAGCTAATACCAATTCCAGACCATTTCCACACCATTTCTACCAGCTAAATCCAATTCCACAAAAAGCAAACTCAAAAAAATTGTCTCTAACGTCAAAAAGCCAAAGAAACTCTTTTAACTCACATCCGGTCCTTTGTACGCTTGATTTTTAGTGAATTGAGCGTCAACGAGATCGGGGGATTTTCTGCAAAAAAAGGTTGTTTTTCATGTTTCAAAGCTAAAACAAGGAAATAATTTAACTGTTTAGAAGTGTTTTTAAAAGAATTAGAATCAGAAATAATCCCAAAATAAGCAGAAACTAATTGTTTTGAGTTTGTTTTGAAGTTCTAAAATTTGAAACTCTTTGCGTGGTTTTGAATTTTATAAGAATTATGAAAAGCGTCAAAATATCAATAAAAATATAGAATGTTTCAAAATAATTAAAAAAAAAACGAATGTTTCAAATTGCAAAAGCCGCAAATGCAAAACTTTGCTGAAAAATCAATGATTTACAATCAATCAATGATTATCAATCAATGATACACGTGTTCACGATTGGAGGGATTCTCCAAAAGTGATTTACTATCGAGCGTGATTTACTATCGAGTAATTTACTATCGAGCTTTTTGATCTTGTATTTTCTTAAACCTTTTGTCGGGAGCTTTCAAAAGTGATTTACTATCGAGCGTCGAATGTATCCAGAAATATTTATTATTAAGTTATTTATTATCGAGCTATCCAGAAAATCTTTCCATTCCTTTTCATACTTTCATTGAAAAATAACAAATCCATCAATTAACCTTTGCTTTTCTCTAAATAAAAAGTGTTTGTTGTTCAATTTCCATTGATTTAAGTCAATTTGCGTTCACTTTCAATCAAAATCAATAGTCAAAACACGTCTTTTTCGCAAGAATCGATAAAAACTTCTACAAAGAGGTTAGTTAAATGAATTTCTCTGAAAATTTGGCTATATACCTAACTTTTTATGCTCTATCTTTTATCTATTGACACAAAGATAGGTTTCCTTAGCTAAAAGTGTCTAAACCGGATCATCGAGCGACTTTTTGACTACCCGACTTCGCGTTCCAAAAAAAAATGCAGACATAACCCGTTTTAATGTTATTTTGCAAGAAAATAATTGGGCTTGGGCTTTCTAATGAAACGGTTTGTTTTATAGTTTTGAAGTTTGTAGTTCAATTAGTGAATTTGTTATTTTTTAACGGAAGTATGAAAAGAAACGAAAAGACTTTCTGAACAGCCTAATAATTGTAATAAAAAACTAAACCAACCTTGATAGTAAAACCAAAGTATCACGAATTGGCGAAGTCCTTGAACCAAGGAAAAACGTTTGATTTCTCTTTTGGTGCCATGGAAGCCGATCAGCATAGCTGTAGTTGGGAAAGATTTCGTGCAGTGGTGATTTGAACAAGGCCATTTGAACAAGGCGATTTGAACAAGGAACTATTTATCCGAACAATTTTTTCGGATAAATTTCTTACAAATAATAGAGATTGATTTGTTGAAGTTATTGTAAAATCGCATTAAATTGGCTCTTTTGTAAATGCGACTCGGCTGAGCGCAAGAGCTGTGCAAATTAACAGATGCAATTGCTCGTTGATTTGAAATAAGTTTAAAACATCTACTCTATACAAAAAAATAAACGTTCGTTCGTCCATCCGTCACTCCTACGCGATAATACAAATTACGTTTAACGTAAAATTACAACGAGCTAGAAAGCTGAAAATTTGTACGCGGGGGTTTTCGGGGACGAGGAATCCGAATCTGCAATCAGATTTGTGCTACGTGCCCTCGGTACCTCTAGGTAGAATATCTGTATGGCCGCGTAGCGGACGCCCAGTGCAGCTGGTTCACCGTACAACTCAACCAGTAAATTTCAATTTAAATTTTAAAGATATACAGCTAAATTCAAAGAAATCTAAATCTCTACAGCTAAATCTACTATATATGCAAAAAATAAAATGTCCGTTCGTCCATCCGTCACTCCTACGCGATAATACAAATTACGTTAACGTAAAATTACAACGAAGTGAGCTAGAAAGCTGAAAATTTGTACCCGGGGGTTTTCGGGGATGAGGAATCCGAATCTGCAATCAGATTTGTGCTACGTGCCCTTAGTACCTCTAGGTGGAATATCCGTGCGAACGCTCAGCCCGGCTCAGCTCAGCTGATCAAATTTACATTTAAAAGCCTTAGAGTGTAGATTCGGATTCCTCATCCCCGAAAACCCCCCGAGTACAAATTTTCAGCTTTCTAACTCACTCCTTATGTTTAAACAGTCACAAGTACTATTATTTTTATTTTACCTTAACACCTTTTTTCTCGTCTCATCCCAATCACCAATCCCTTTTGGATATGTGGAAATTGCTGGCCCTCCTTCCCAAAATGCCCATGCCGGATAGAGAATGTCAAGGTTTTCCAATGGATTCTGAATAATTAATTGTATATCTAGAAACTTCAAAAACTTGCGCACCTTGCTAAACGAGAAGACGGGGAATTTCTGAGCGTTTGTGTGGACTTTCGGAGCATCGAAATCATTCAGAATAAACTCAGTGTTTTCCAGGGAAGAAGCGATTTTCTTCAGAAAGTACTCAACGCCATCACATCGAAAAAGCGACAAATTTCAAATGTTTCAGTGCAATCGTCGCACTTTGGATCTTTCAAAGTTTAGATTGCGATTTCTTTCTGATACCTGGCCGAGAAAACGCAAGCATGCGTCCGATAGATTGATCCATTGAAAATTTGATATAAAGCACCGTATCCCATCGCGCCGATCACCGATTTTTGGTCAATCCCCCCACGAAATGGTCGCAAATCTTCGAAAATCTGTCTGCAATTTGAAACTTATTCAAATTTTTCTTTTCTAAAGACTTTGCAAAATAATTTAAATTAGCCGGGCCTGGAGTTTCCTCAAATTCGTCAGCCTTCGCCAATTTTCTATGCAAATCGTTGGTGAATTGATCTAATCGAAAATTTTTCTAAATTATAGCTCATTTTCTTTACCATAATTTCCCTCAGCTATTGAAGAAATAAAATATAGCTGAAAATAGAGAAGATATAGCATTTGGAGAAGCTTTTTGGAATGTGTTTGTCTTTTTGACAAAGAATTGAAAATCATTGTTTCAAGTTGGACGCTTTGGTCGGACGCTGGACAAAAGAGTGTTTAATTTATTAATGCTTATGTCTCTATTTGCTCTAAAAACACAATTAAAGTGAAATAAAAAGCTATAGCCGGTAAAATGCTAATCTACAAAGTTGGGATCTTTTAAACTTTCACTAAAATATATCGGGGCAATGTTTGTGCACACTTTTCTCTCAAAGTTAGCCAATATTCTACGCTATGCGGTTAAATTTCAATGTTTCTTTCATAATTTGATAAATTGGTGATCAGCGCGAGGGAATAAAGTGCTTTGTAACACTATTGCAGAAGCAGCTTCGCTAGTGTTGAAGAAAGGAAAAACTTGTACTCACCGAATTCATGTGAACATGATAGATTGTCGATCCGAGCGCCGAGCAAGCGAATGCGTCATCTTTTTAGGTCAATTTGGGTTCACTTTCAAGCAAATTGAAAGTGCTTTTCGCAAAAAATCTATAAAAATCTCTACGAAGTGATTGGCTGAATGAATTTCTCTGAAAAATTGGCAATATAACGAACTTTTTATGCTCTATCTTTTATCTATTGACACGAAGATAGGTTTCTTTAGCTGAAAGTGTCTAAACCGGATCATCGAGCGGCTTTTTGACTACCCAACTTCGCGTTCCAAAAAAAATCCAGACATAAGACATTTCTAAACCCGTTTTAATGTTGTTTTATAGAAAAATAATTGGACTTTCTAATGAAATAAACCATTTTTCAATTGGTGCATTTGTTGGTTTGGTTCAATTGGTGCAAACGGAAGTACGAAAAGAAACGAAAGAATTTTCTGGATAGTTTAAGAAAAAAGCGAAGCACAGATCATTGTATTTTTGCTTGAAGAGCTTCATCTTTTCGCTTGTCCATCCACAAATATGTGCGTTGCGAAAGCAAAGCAATCAACGGATTAAGAAATGAAGAAAACGAGAAAAGAAGCTTGTACTTTTTTGAAAAATCATTTTCGTTTTCTAATTCTTTTTGAAATTTCGTTTTTCAAAGCTCATTTCTATTGGGAAAAGCTAGATTTCAAAAATTCAGTAATACTTGCTTTTCAGAACCTTAGTTTCAACTTGCCAACTTAAAATGATGCAAAATTTTCGACAATGGCCCTGTCTTTTTTCGATTTTCATTTTCAACAAGAAGAAACCACAAAATTAAATTTTATTGGTTGTAAAGCTATTTTTAAAAATAATGAAAATAAATTATTGAAAACTAAATGAATTGTTGCATTTTGGCCCTAAATTTTGCGAATTTCGAGCAGAGAACTTTTTTTTAAATGATTAAAATCATTTCACTTAGCTTATAATAATCTATTTTGAAACTAAGCTTTAAAAACGTGTGTGAGACTCAAAAATCGAGGACTGGAGATATCCCAGTTTGAGCATTTGAGCACTTTCTTCAAAAGAAACCCATTTTGGTGTCAATAGAAAAGTTGTAGAGAATCAAAAATTAGGCTTATAGCCAAATTTCCAAAAAGATACACTTAGTAGTTTCGCTTAAAATGCAGGTTTTGTGAAAATTTGGCATTTCTTTTGTGTAAATTTGGCATTTCTTGAAAACCAGTTTTTGAATCGTTCTGAAATTTTGGATATAAGCTTGATTTTTGATTCTCTACAACTTTTCCATTGACACCAAAATGGGTTTCTTTTGAAGAAAGTGCTCAAACTGTGACATGTGACAATAGCCGGCAGTTTTCAATTCACCAACCCAATAGTTTTCTAAGCACGACACATACCAGGAATGTCCGTAAAAGTCGCTACTGAATGGAACTCGCGCTTTGAGACTCCATAACTTTTTCTAGAAATAATATTATGCAAACTTTTGTTCTAAAGAGGGCACTTTAGGTTTTCAAATGATACTTTCAATTCACCAACCCAATATCTTCTTGCAAGTCAAATTCAAATTTTGACAAATAAAGTCAAAGTTTTAACTTTAAACAAAAACTGACAGAAAATTTTGGTTTTAAGGGACTTTTTCATTTTAAAATAAAACCAATAAAGCCGTACGGCTTTAGTTTTGAGTTTGGTAATATTATTTTTTTCATTTGGTATTAGGTTGGTAAAAAAGAAATGAGCGTCGTGTTTTTTGATTTGTATTTTATTCACAGTAAAAGATTTTTAAAAATAGTTTATTCTATTGGAAAGAGCGGGTTCTTGCGCATCGTTTGGGTGTCCAACTTCTTCGAGTCGCAGCCGGTCGAGTTCTTCAAGAAGGGCATCCATTCTCTGCGTGGGCGACAAGTCATTGATGGCGACAAGTCATTGATGCAGATGGCGAATACCTTTTGGATTAATGTATTGTTATCTTGTTTTTATAATAAAATAAACCTTTAACGAAAACGCGCATTTCTTTTTTACCAACCTAATAATTTATTAATTATTAAATTAAAATTATTAAACTTTTTATTATTAATTATTAAAAAAATTTTTTAAACCCTTGTTTCGTTGCTAAAAATTGATTAATTACCCTTTTTATTCATTGCCAATCCATTATCAAATGCTGGTTAGATTAAGAGTTTCAACTTTGCGCGTTTAAAATGCTGAACTGCAAAGTTGATGTCACTTTCTGTTGGCGGATGGTATTTTTATAAGTTTCACTTTCCAATTACCGTAAATGCTGTATTAGAACGGCACCACATTTACATTTGAAATATAGTTTTTTTTAATTTCCATTCTAAATTTGTATTCAAACTGGGCAGCTACGCAAAGTTTAAAATCCATTTACCAATGCATTAAATTAAAATCCATTTACCAATGCAAGTGCTGGTTAGATTAAGAGTTTCAAGAAGTTTTCAAAACCTCATTCTTTTCATTTTCGCGCCAAACATTTATTACATTTATCTCTCACTTTTTGTTTCGATTATATTTCAATTATTTATTCTTTTTATGAATTGGATCGACGACGACGAGAATCGACGAGAGCTCTCGATGGATTTGAAGAATTTCGAGATCAATGGGAAAATGATGAACGAGAAGAATTCTTCAAGAACAGGGATGATGAACAAATTGAGGGTTTACGACGAACAGCCGATTAGGACTAGGGCAATGAGTGAAAATGAGGATCACGTGGAGGAAACACACAGGCGGGAAGAAAAAGCAGGTCACTCGATGCAATGACGAAGCTTGAAATTCTTGCCTTTGCGAAACGGACTTCGAACAATGCGGCTGCAAACAAATTTGGTGTGTCACGTTCGTCAATCATTTATTGGAAAAAAACAAGCTGGGTGATCTCAAAAATAAAAGAAAGCGACTTGATGGAGGTGGCCGACGTCTTTTGGCACAGGAGTTGATCAGTTGATCATCGATTGGATTCGATCTCAACGCGACGATAAGCAGCGAATCACTCGAAGGATTGTTCTGGACAAGGCAGCAATGGAATTTACATGCTCGTTTGAATCAAGAAATCACCGAATTGTTGCAATGATTGGATACACGTGCCGATGCGCTAGCTGAAGATGCTCACGAGGATCCTTCGAGAGATACACGTGCCGATGCGCTAGCTGAAGATGCTCACGAGGATCCTTCGAGGGATACACGTGCTGATTCGCTAGCTGAAGATGCTCACGAAGAAAGTGATGACTTGAATCTTTTCGATTGACAAATAAAGTCAAAGTTTTAACTTTAAACAAAACTGACAGAAAATTTTGGTTTTAAGGAGACTTTTCATTTTAAAATAAAACCAATAAAGCCGTACGGCTTTAGTTTTGAGTTTGGTAATATTATTTTTTCATTTGGTATTAGGTTGGTAAAAAGAAATGAGCGTCGTGTTTTTGATTTGTATTTTATTCACAGTAAAGTTTTTAAAAATAGTTTATTCTATTGGAAAGAGCGGGTTCTTGCGCATCGTTTGGGTGTCCAAACTTCTTCGAGTCGCAGCCGGTCGAGTTCTTCAAGAAGGGCATCCATTCTCTGCGTGAACGTTGGCGACAAGTCATTGATGCAGATGGCGAATACCTTTTGGATTAATGTATTGTTATCTTGTTTTTATAATAAAATAAACCTTTAACGAAAACGCGCATTTCTTTTTTACCAACCTAATAATTTATTAATTATTAAATTAAAATTATTAAACTTTTTATTATTAATTATTAAAAAATTTTTTAAACCCTTGTTTCGTTGCTAAAAATTGATTAATTACCCTTTTTATTCATTGCCAATCCATTATCAAATGCTGGTTAGATTAAGAGTTTCAACTTTGCGCGTTTAAAATGCTGAACTGCAAAGTTAATGTCACTTTCTGTTGGCGGATGGTATTTTTATAAGTTTCACTTTCCAATTACCGTAAATGCTGTATTAGAACGGCACCACATTTACATTTGAAATATAGTTTTTTAATTTCTATTCTAAATTTGTATTCAAACTGGGCAGCTACGCAAAGTTTAAAATCCATTTACCAATGCATTAAATTAAAATCCATTTACCAATGCAAGTGCTGGTTAGATTAAGAGTTTCAAGAAGTTTTCAAAACCTCATTCTTTTCATTTTCGCGCCAAACATTTATTACATTTATCTCTCACTTTTTGTTTCGATTATATTTCAATTATTTATTCTTTTTATGAATTGGATCGACGACGACGAGAATCGACGAGAGCTCTCGATGGATTTGAAGAATTTCGAGATCAATGGGAAAATGATGAACGAGAAGAATTCTTCAAGAACAGGGATGATGAACAAATTGAGGGTTTACGACGAACAGCCGATTAGGACTAGGGCAATGAGTGAAAATGAGGATCACGTGGAGGAAACACACAGGCGGGAAGAAAAAGCAGGTCACTCGATGCAATGACGAAGCTTGAAATTCTTGCCTTTGCGAAACGGACTTCGAACAATGCGGCTGCAAACAAATTTGGTGTGTCACGTTCGTCAATCATTTATTGGAAAAAAACAAGCTGGGTGATCTCAAAAATAAAAGAAAGCGACTTGATGGAGGTGGCCGACGTCTTTTGGCACAGGAGTTGATCAGTTGATCATCGATTGGATTCGATCTCAACGCGACGATAAGCAGCGAATCACTCGAAGGATTGTTCTGGACAAGGCATCAATGGAATTTACATGCTCGTTTGAATCAAGAAATCACCGAATTGTTGCAATGATTGGATACACGTGCCGATGCGCTAGCTGAAGATGCTCACGAGGATCCTTTGAGGGATACACGTGCCGATGCGCTAGCTGAAGATGCTCACGAGGATCCTTTGAGGGATACACGTGCTGATTCGCTAGCTGAAGATGCTCACGAGGATCCTTCGAGAGATACACGTGCTGATTCGCTAGCTGAAGATGCTCACGAGGATCCTTCGAGGGATACACGTGCTGATTCGCTAGCTGAAGATGCTCACGAAGAAAGTGATGACTTGAATCTTTTCGATTTCTTGAATCTTGAATCAATATAATACATTTCAACTATTTACTTATTTTTGTGAACACCCAGTTTCAATTTTGATAAGTTCAAGCCGCAAACTTAAATGTTAGTTCAAAGCCGCCTTTTTTAGGAAAGAAGACCAAGCAAAATCCTTCACAATTCAAATTCACGCAAATAATTCACAATTTAAATTTCCAAGTTTCACATTGAACAGTTCAAATCCAAAAATGCTTGTCTCAATTCAATAAAAAAAGCGCTTCACATCTTTTCAAATTAAGGAATTAAACGCCGCGAAAACGCGAAAACGCATTTTCTACAAAATTCCCCAGATTTTTTTGGCTTCCCGGGAAAATTAGTTGGAGAAAAAAAGGATGGGGTGAAAATATTTGATTCTCAAAGAGATCTCAAAGGGATCACAAAGAAGATTTGAGATTTAAGGCGAAATCCCCATCAGAAATCCGGAGAAAATCCGCCTATCCGTGTGTGCCAAATCCCCGGCTCAATTTGCTTGATGAAAAGATTTTCTCTCGATTTTTGTCCAGACATTTCCCTATGTAAAATTTGATTTTTGCTGATATTTTTGCTGATATTTCATTCATTTTCAAAGAGAATTTTACGATCGATCAAGGATTTTCTCAGCTCGACAACGATGCCGCCATGAGGAAACATGGGCATTTGCACGGTTGGTTTTTTTCTTTGGATTTTAAATTCGAAAACTTTATGCTATAATATTAGATTCTAAAGTACATTGGATTCTAAAGTACATTCTATTCTAAAGTACATTAGATTCTAAAGTACATTCTATTCTAAAGTACATTAGATTCTAAAGTACATTAGATTCTAAAGTACATTAGATTCTAAAGTACATTGGATTCTAAAGTACATTCGATTCTAAAGTACATTCGATTCTAAAGTACATTAGATTCTAAAGTACATTAGATTCTAAAGTATAAAGTAAATTTTAGAGTTTAAATCGAAAATGATTCTTATTCTAGTTTTCTAAGCACGATACATACCAGGAATGTCCGTAAAAGTCGCTATTGAATAAAACTCACGCTTTGAGACTCCATAACTTTTTCTAGAACTAATATTATGCAAACTTTTCTTCTAAAGAGGACACTTTAGGTTTTCAAATGATACAAAATAAAGAAATAGAGGTTGATTGGTTTAAAGAATTCTGGGAGAATTGAGAGAAAAAGCTCTTGGATCTGGTTCTCCTCTGGATCTGCAGCAGTTCTCCCATTTTGGGCACTTTTGGACGATTCTGATTTGACGGAATGAGGAATTTGTATCAAAAATGCCGCCAAATTTGAGGCAAAAGTTGCTCCCAAAAATTTGAGCATAGTGAGGCTCAAAGCGGTAAAGCTGGCTCAGCCGCTAACCACTCCTTTCCCTTTTTGGGAAACGGAAGTCTTATATACCGGAGCGATTTGCCAGAAAGCGAGCGATTAAGCGGTCGGACAAAGAACACCTCGCCAGTCATTTACAGGGATCTGTAGATAGTCCAAAAAAGATATTCAGCTGTAAATTTGTGCCTGGGGGTTTTCGACGTCGGCGAATCAATTGGAGATATTAATTATTTCTTGAAGTTATAATAAGTTCCCTAAACCGTGTCTCCTTCCCCCATCTATCGTAATCTTGTTCCAATTTTTATCCAATCCATTCACTTTTTGTATCTTTTGATATCCTTTGTGAAAAAAACAGACAAAAAGTGAATAGATTGGATAAAAATAAACGTAAGATTACGGTAGAAAGAGAAAGGAGACATAGAAAATGGATTAGAAAAAAGAAACAGACAAATTCCGGAAGATACCATTACTAAATTGAGATTTAAAAGCTAATCTTGCGGCCGCTTAGCTTAAAAATTAATAATCTGATGATATGTTTTAGTTTTGAATAGGTAGATGAGTGAGTTGAAAGCCTTGAACCTCATAAAATCATCGTCAATAATTTTCTTTTATTAGGTTGTTCGGATATAAACGAGCGTTTGCACTGCTTAACTCGGGAGGAAGCTATTTCCCGCATCAGATCGTCTTTCCAATGGCGTAGAGATGGAGTAGAATTTGAACATAGAAACTGTTGAGCAAGTTCACGCGTTGACATGGATCCGATTCGATTGCAGCCCTCCAAGTATCGTTGTCGACCGTTTGAGGTCGACGGAGGTCGACGGAGATCGACGAGAGTGTTCATCATCCTCGAGACTTTCATCAGCACTCCGAAAGCGTTGGAACCAGGCTCGGCATCGGCTTTCGGACAATACATCATTCCCAAATGCTTTTACCAAATCCAAAACGAGCGTTTGCACTGCTTAACTTGTGAGGAAGTCATTTCCCGTATCTGATCGCCTTTCCAATGGCGTGGAGATACTCATCAATAGTAGAATTTGAACATAGAAACTGTTGAGCAAGTTCACGCGTCGTTTGACATGGATCCGATTCGATTACAGCCCTCAAAGTATCGTTGTCTACCGTTTGAGGTCTTGAGGTCATGAGATCGACGAGAGTGTTCATCATCCTCGAGGCTTTCATCACCATTCCGAAAGCGTTGGAACCAGGCTCAGCATCGGCTTTCGAACAATACATCATTCCCAAATGCTTTGACCAAATTTCAATGAGATTCCGCTACTGTTTTGCCCAGTTTGAATCGAACGCAAAGTCGAACGCAAACTTGATAATATTTAAAGTCGATCATCTAAAGCAAGAAAAAAGATCTTAAAAATAAGAAATTATCCGTTTAAAAAGATTCCAAATATACACAAGTTAACGTACTTTTAAATACAGAAAGACATGTTTTAAAAGCTTTTCTCACAACAATAAGTTTAGCAACGCTTGTTTATATCCGAACAACCTAATAGGTATTTCTTCAAATTGTGGTGTTCGTATCTTCAACGCTTTATTGAATACATCAGCCAATCAATAGATTAACAAACATAGTAACGCACAAAAAAAACAGATTAAGTAAATACATCAACCGAACAGTAAAAAGACAGTTTAAAAGCTCCAAAAGGCATGCAAACAATTCAGTTAAATGACTGGATATTATGCATTTTCCCTTACCTCGCCGCTAATCGCTAATCGCTAATCGATCATAATCGATCGACTCCGCCACTAACCCTAAATATCCCCACATATTGCTCATTGTAAAGCAATGAGCATTCTGAGGCTGTTGTTCTGATGCTGATTCTGATGCTGTTGTTAGCGTGCAAGGTTGAGTACCCGGATAACATGTTTTTGTTCCGTTTAAACATCCGTTTAAAAAGATTCCAAATATGCACAAGATAACGTACTTTTAAATACAGAAAGACATGTTTTAAAAGCTTCTTTCTCACAACAACAACGCTTGTTTATATCCGAACAACCTAATATCTTAAATGTTTATCTGAACTTTATCTAAAAGATCTGAAAGTTTAATAACTAAGTTATAAAATGATATTCGATTTTACAGAGCCATGAGGCGGTGCTGATCGCCGCAAATGGTTCTTCATCAACCACGCAACAAGTGATGATGGTGGCAACGACGACACAGAAAAGAGATCTCCAAAATCAATCACGACCACAAACCGAGGAAAGACCGAAGCCACAGTTGAGAGAATTTAAAGCCTACGCTCCACCGCCGTTAGAAACGAAACATCGGATATACGATTACATTGGGGTGAGGCTTTATGGGATTTTGGGACATTTAATATTGGCCCGCCATAGCAAATATGATCATAGCAAACAGCATAACATTTGCCATTAGCAATCTAACTTTGAGCTCAAATATCTTGGTGTTGGGGGTTTTCATTTTCAATATTCTTCGTACCATTAGGTGCGCCAAGTCTTTCTCTATCGATTGGTACAAAAACTATTTAAATTGGACAGCCCAATACCAAGAAATTTGAGCTCAAAGTTAGATTGCTAATGGCAAAAAGGGCGGGGCACGTATGAAATCTCCGATAACAAATGGATCAAGACAAAAAGAGAAAGTTAGTTTCAAAAATGTGGTCATTGAAATCAGAAAATGGTAGCTAATCACAAATAGGAGAAGCTGGTTTCAAAGGTGTCGCCATTGAAATCAGAAAAATGGTAGTCAATCAGTACAGGCCGGCAACTCTCCCAGCTAAATTCTAAAATACACCTAAGCTACCGTATTGCCGTCAGAGTAAGGCTTGATGTCTTACTCTTGTTGTAAAAATGATTGCTATATATTGATCGTTGATCATTAAATCAACCACTTTTGAATCTGAAATACGATGCAAATTATGGTGTTTCAACTTTACTAAAAGTTTAAGGGTGTCCTCTCTTTCTTTCGCTTAATCCTTTCCAATGGCCTCACTTCATCAAAACGATCACCGAGATTCTTCGTGGCCATTGAAGTGTCCAATGATGTCTGAATGAAAGCATTAAAGGATGTAGTATGATAATCGTTTTTAAAGCAAAAACAAAAAAAAACTATACCTAAACTATACAAAATTTTTGAGGTCAGGCAGGCCATAAAGCGATAAAAAGCTATCATAAAATCTTAACCCTAACCAACACGTTTAACTGCCTTTTACTAAATTTACCAACCCTCACCTTCGCCGCCACCTCAAAACTCTTTTTCAGCTTGTACAAAAGCGACGATTTGACGGGCATTTGCGGTAGATTTTCAAGACTTTTTGAGACTTTCACAAGACTTTCAAGAGCATCAGCGGCCAGATTCGAGAAGGAGACCTAGAAAACAAGAAATCTGGATAAAGTTCTGCAAATTTTACCTGTTTAATTTTCATTTCTTTATTAGCCGGCTGTGTTTTCGTGAGTTGAGTGGCCGCTTGTGGAACTTGCAAGGAGACGGATGGACCGGCAAAAGTTTTCTAAAAAAATGGTTAGTGATTTAAAATTGCTAATTTGGGCATAAGATATCTTGAGACAGATACGGGTGAAATTTAATATAGTACTGGAGAAAAGTATCAAAAATTTGCCAAATAATTAATTGAATACCTTTTCATTTGAGTGCTGAAATTCTCTCCGAAAATTCCTGCTTCTTCTTCTTGAGTGGCTTCAAATCGCTCGTCAAACTCGTTTTGAAATCTCTCTAAACAAAAGTATTGAAAAGCCCTTGAAATTTAGCATAATCTACTCAAAAGCTTATCCAATACAAAGCAAAGTGATAAAATTCGCTAAAACGCACCTTTACCCAAGAGACTTTGCCATTTCAGCCGGAGAAACTTTCTGATATCCAGACATCGGCTTGATACTCTCCAACCAGTTGGTAGGGGAGCCTGAAAAGAGAGAATTCATATTTTTAGAGCCTAGTTTTACCTTTTGAAACAAAAACTACGCATCGTTTCAAAAGTTTAAACCGACAAAATTTAAATAAACCTACTCGATAATTTGCTTGTCAGGAAATCCTCTTCACTTGACGAATTCTCCTCAACTTCTACGGAAGGTTTCCATCTTGGTGACGACAGTGGTAATTGTTTTTGCTGTGCGGCCTGTAGAACCTTGCAAGACTTCGCTTGGGCTGGTTGTTCCTTTTGTCGTCGTTGCTGTGGCTGTTCTTGTGGCCTCAAAGTATTTTCTTCTGCTCGTTGTTGCAGTCTTGGCCCTTGTTGTGCTCCTTCTTGTCTTTCTTCTTGCTGCTTCTTTTCTTTTTCGTCTTATCGGCCGCTTGAATGAACATCCGGTCGAAATGGGCCCTGCAAATTTCGGAAATGAATTTCTAATGGTTTCATAAAAGCCTAGGTTCTATGAGAATTGGAATCTCAAGTATTAAAAAAAATTTTTAAGAATTACGTACCATAGAGATTTGATCAATAGCAAAATAAAAATACCAATTTCGGCGCAGGTAATGTGTTATACCAATAGTTTAACATTGCATTGCAGTCTACAATATTTATTCGTCACATATTCGCACCAAAAATCACATTTTTTCCTTAAAGAGCCAAAGATTTTGCATCCAATCAAATACTTATTGTAGAAATAAAATGTTAAACGAGTCAGAAAAGGCTGAAATGGAGAACCACAGCCATCATGAAATTTCACAACGTGACGATCAATAAAAGATTTTATCTAGGAAACACGAACTGTTGTACATCTTAATTTGATAGCGAAAAGTGTGTGGAGGCGAATGAAAGAAAAGCATTTGTAAACCCCCACAAATACTTGCCTCTCAACGAGCGGAATGTAAGCCTGAAGGAAGATAGCAGTGCGTTGCGGCAGTGAAAGCAGAAGTGCAGAGTGAAGATAACAGACCTCCAATCGTTTTGTTTGCAAATTCTCTCCGATTATCTAAAAAAAATCAGAATTTCTTATTTGAAAGTTTTTGTTCCAAAAATGCCGTTTTATAAAAGCTTTGGCGCGCCAAATTTCGGAATATTTCTTTTAGATTGGCGTACACTTCTTGAGCAGTTTTTCCTTTCAAAGGCCGCAATAACACAACTTTTGCCATATGATCTAGATTTTTTATAAAAATATTTTGATTTTTGATCAAAAAACCTGATGAGCTATAATGAACTTAAAGGCACCATTGGGCACTGCTTGCAAATCAAGGAGATCAAGTTGACACCGTTAGTTTGGGTGCTCGGTAAGAATTGGCCTGACGACTCTTCCTTTCTTTGATGTGCAGTGTTTAACTTTACATTGTACACATTGTGAAATGAACACCTTGATGACTTCTCTAAAATAGTGAGAAATGATTTAAAAGAAGTATCCAGTGGGGTACGAATTTAGCCTAACTTCAACCTATGATTGAGAGAGACTTCAACCTATGATTTTGAGACACTCCCCAGCGGATATTCCACAAGCGCCAAAAGAAATAAGTGACGCTTACTTTGAGATACCATACCAAATCCTTCAATGATTTCCATATCAAACCGATTTCGAAAAAGTAGCACAATGCTCAGTGATTCGATATTTGATAAAGTCACCCAGCTACCAAATTCCTCTAATGAGAGTGCTATAACTTTATCCAGATTATCAAACTGTGCAGAAAATTTCCTTCTCGATTCCTTCTTAAAGCTAAGAGACCACGGCTATAAATTTCTGCAGCGAAACGAACGGACTACGGTAACTGTATCGAATTTTAGGACTACGCTAACCAGGGATTTTGAGACGAAAAGAAATACATTAGCTATTCTTTTGAACAGTGGCCTGGCTGCAGTAACCCAGTCAGTGAATGAACAGTTGTAGGCAGACTAAAAGACGTAGGAGCCAAGTATACCTATATTTGATCCATAACTATTTCTGGGTTAAAGAGCTAAAAAACCATTGTAATTTCAAGAATCTAGCCAAAAATTGTGACAAAAAGTTAATTGGGAGTCAAGGAATCGAGCAAACGGTTGATTCAGGATTCGAATCTGAAAGTTGCAAGTCGGATTTTGTCTTTTTTCCATTGTAAAGTGACTTATTTTGGAAGAGTTTTCTTCTCGATCACACCGTTCGTGTAAGATTTGACTGTAGTGTATGTAGACACTTTTTAAGGAAAGTTCGATATGTTATACCAATAGTGTAGCATTTCGTTGTTTTGTACAGTATTTATTCGTCACATATAATCACTTTTTTTGTCTTAAAGAGGCAAACATTTTGCAGCGAATAAACTATCTAATCTAGATTTTAAATCGTAAGAGAATCAGAAAAAGCCGAAATGAGAAACTTGAAAAAATCAGACATATATCATGAAATTTCACAACCTGACGATCAAAAAAAGCATTTCTCTAATTCATACAAATTGTTGAAAATGCTGAAGCTCACAGTGATACTTGTAGATACTGATGTCATAAGGAAAAGCGTGTGGAGGCCGATGAAAGACGAGGCTTTCGTGATCCTCTCAAGTACTTTCTTCTTAACAAGCGGAATATGAGCCTGAAGGAAGATAGAAGTCAGTTGCTCGTATCTCAGATCCCCGCTCCTCACTTGATCGCCATGAAATTCAATGGAAAGCCAAGCATTGAAACGAATGCTCCTCACGAAGAATTTCACACAATCCACGAAACTCTCCCAATTATTGTATGATAGCATGAACGAGACATCTTCTTTCATTAACGAAAGATTTTCTTGGATAAGGTCAAAACGAAGAAATTCCAAATGGAGAAACTCACAGAGCACCCAGCGATTCTCCATAAATCGCAGAATTTTACGATTAACGTCACCAGAAACATCACGATTGCCATCTGGAAAAGTCATTCTCACGCCTTTGCACAATTGGATTGTATTATACATTGAGAGCAGCGAGCGAGTGACGCCTGAATCTCCCTTGAATTCGAAGCCTACGTAGTCCAAAGGCTTTCCCTTATTAAGTGGCAAAAACTTCTGGACATCAAATTTTGGGTAACTCCTGGTAAAGCTGGTTTCAATGCAGCTTATTTCCAATTTGACGAAATGTGCAAGCTTTCGAAAAAGTCGCCCGTGAAGGGGACTCACTTGCACAATCGCACCTCGTGCGTACCTACTTCGCTCGCTAAAAAAAGAAAGCCAAATGTTATCATCTTGTGATATAATGTGATATAACATCTGAATACCAATCGCACTTGCCACAATTCGTCCGTTGTCCTCATCTATTTTCGCGTTGTACAGCTCCACTTCAACACGTTCGAAATTTGAAGGGATAGGCCCGCAAAATAGGACGAATGAGCGCAGATCGTGATTCACTTCCAGCAATTGAAGTGCCTCAAACGCCCTCAATTTATGCAGAATCCGTGTTTTGAGAAGAGACGGCAAAGAAGAGAAGCTTTGGAAAGTCATGAATTCTTTTTGTTAGGGAAAAAGTTATGTATTGGATGATTGGAGGACTAAAGGCGAGGAAAATGCCCGAAGCAAAGCAGCGCGCGAACGTAATTGGAGTCATATTTTGCCTTCTCTTTGAAAATTTCACATCTGCCCTCAATAAGATAGAATCAATAAGACTGTCCAAATCACGGGTACCTTTGTTAGTTCCAAACGTCAGCAATTCAGCTGTGAAAGCAATATATATGGACGATCAAAAACAAGGGAAAAAATATCAGAAATAATATTTTAGTTATCACTTTTTGTAGGACATAAAAGCGTAGGTAATCTCTTCTCTCTCTTTTTTTTCAAGAAAAGTGTCTCGTTATTTACGCCTTTGCCTTTGCCGAAAAAAACAGGTACCGTATTTACTCGAATAGAAGACCGGTCTTCTATTTTTTTTCAATCACCCCTAGACTCCGTCTTCTATTCGAGGCCGGTCTTCTATAGCCAGACTAAAAGACGTATGAGCCAAGTATACCAATATTTGACCCATCACTTTTCCGGGTTAGAGACCTAAAAACATTGTCATTTCCAGATTTCAGCCAAAACTTGTGACAAAAAATCAATTGGGAGTAAAGAAATCAAGTGAACGGTTGATTCAGGATACGAATCTGAGAGTTGCAAGTCGCTTTTTTTAGTGTAAAATGATTTGTTTTTGGAGGGTTTTTCTTCTCGATCACACCGATAGTGTAAGATGTGATTGTAGTGTAAGTTGACACTCTTTAAGGAGAGTTGACGTTGTACGGTCTTTAAACTAATTTCCTTTTTGACTTTGTCAGGCAAATCGGCATAAATCTCGATCGATGACTTCTTTGGATCAGCCTTTGAAAGAGTTTTCATCTGCAAACCATCTCCTTTTGTCGTCTTTCTGTGTTTTCCCGTATGCTTATGAGCATTTGCTGTTCCAGTTCGAGCGTATCTTTTTAAAGTTTTTGATACAGTACTCTTTGAAAGACCAAGAGATCGAGAGATAAACGTCTGCTTCTGTCCATTTTGGTGCATTCGTACAACATCTTCGCGTTTCTCTGTTGAAGTCTCTTTCTTGCTGCCTATCTATAAACAGAAGTTAAAAAAATTAGTAGAGGCTTAAAAATATAAAAATAGAACAAAAAAGTAATATACTTGAGATTTTAATGAAAGTTTCCAAATTTATGTCCTCTGGGTTTATAGATAAATGCATTAAAAATAATAGTTTTCAAAAAATTCAGAAATTCTGTCTATGGATTATTACGTTTAATGGTTTTTTACGTCATTATTTAGAGTTGTTTTTAAAAGTTTCCAAATTTATGTCCTTATAGATAAATGCATTAAAAATAATAGTTTTCAAAAAATTCAGAAATTCTGTCTATGGATTATTACGTTTAATGGTTTTTTACGTCATTATTTAGAGTTGTTTTTAATAGTTTTCAAATTTATGTCCTCTGGGTTTATAGATAAATGCATTAAAAATAATAGTTTTCAAGGAATCGGTGAATGACAAAGAAAAGGGAAAAGGATTGACAAAAGTGAGACCGGAAGGCACAGACGTGGAAGAATCCTCGATTTTTCCTTTCCACCGTGAAATTACATATTGGCGTTATTGTTCTTTTTTTGAAGGGCAAAGCAACTTTTCTGTGTTCACTTCGAGAATTGACGTATACTTGGCTCATACATCTTTTACTCTATCTACAACTGTTCATTCACTGACTGGGTTACTGTAGCCGGGCCACTGTTTAATGAAACAGATGCCGTTGTTCTTTTCGTCTCAATTTCCCGGATTAGCGTAGACCTAAAATTCGGTACAGCTACCGTAGTTCGTTCGTTTCGCTGCAGAAATTGATAGACGTGGTCTCTTAACTTTAAGGAGGTATCGAGAAGGAAAATTTCTGCACAATGTGGATAAAGTTACAGGGCTTACATTGGGAAAATTTGGTAGCTGGGTGATTTTATCCAATTTCGAGGTGTTAGTTGGGTAGGTTGAGGCATTAATAGCGTAAGCTGGAGCACATTGGAGAGCCAAGAGGTCAAAGAAGTTAGATATGGACCAGTTACTGTACT